AATCCAGCCGCGGTGGTGGATGTCATTCGAATTCTGTTCATTCATCTATTGATGGGAGGCATTTTTGAAAACTAACTAACTTCTAGTCATTGGGACCACTTGTAACTGTCCGCGTCCCGTTTGTTGTAACGTTACGCTACTTGTTGGAAACACGCCACCAGAATATGTGGCATTTACTCCTATAAGGGTTACATTATTCCTTTTCAACGTAACAGCACCAGGCAGTGTGGAACTTCTGGAACCTAGTCACCTCACATATCTACACTCATAGGTTCCGTTTCTTGCACCCACAACCACCGCTCCGAGTTTGTTTAGCATTTTCTGAATTGCCCACCGACCTTAGCCACTGTTCACTTCGGCAGCCCCTTTCAGTGAATGCCCTCATCGTCTCCTGCTGTCGATACACAGCGACGGGGGTTTCCCTCAACTCGTTTTTCGATGTTTCCCGTATGTGACCTGCCCAAGCTTGGACGAACGATGCCCGCAATGGCGGCTCAACGCTGGCGATGGCCGCCGCGAAAGTGCAGCAATGGCAGGCAGCCACAAGCGATAAATGGCTATGTCGACAACACCGGCAACCAGGTCAGTTTAGGCTGCTGGCAGGAGTTTAGGTCAAATAGAATCTGCAAGTTACGTGAATAGCTTTCACGCCAGAGACGTAGGACAACAGGGCGGTGACCCCGGCCACTGGCCGGCAGACTGGCCCTCCTTGTGCGACACGACGAAAACAAGAAGGTCGGGAGTAATCGCCGGCCGTTAGGAGGAGCCCAACCGAACCCTTACCCCCCACACTTTATGACAGCAGCGCCGCTTCTGCTATTCCTGCTGTTGTGGCCACACATGATGTCTTGGGGTGTAATACGGCTGTCGCTGTATACTAGGTATAAGCTTGCGAAGGGGGTGAAAGCAGGAGGAGGCGGCGGCGGCGGCGGCGGCGGCGGCGGCGGCGGCGGCGGCGGCGGGGTGGTGGTGGTGGTGGTGGTGGTGGTGGTGGTGGTGGTGGTGGTGGTGGTGGTGGTGGTGGTGGTGGTGGTGGTGGCGGCAGCAGCAGCAGCAGCAGCAGCAGCAGGCCATGTATGCAAACTAGTAAAAAATGCCTACCGCTAGGACGATCGGCTCCTGCTCGGCTACCTGCTGCACTGACCTACTCGAGATGAATACTCAAGCTAGTGGCAGCAACAGTGAGCAGGCTCCAGACGGGGCCGTTACACTTACCCTCTACGATGGTCGGGATCATCGTTATCACCGGCCGTTTCTGCAGCATCAACGACAGCGATCACGACGGTCGAATACAATGATAGAAGCTACAGAAGCAGGAGCTGCAAGAGTATCAGTGACTGTATTATCTGTCCTTTAATGTCGTCCCGCCTGAGGGACGAAAAGATCGACTTGTCATACGGTCGAATGTAGACGCACGTACTACTGCTGACCGCGGTAACCACCGCTATTGGAATAAAGTTGCTGAGATCTTTCAGCTGAACAAATCGCGGCATATAAATCAAGTCCATCGTGTTCATACTACACATTACCATTAAAAAATTCTATATCATGTTGCTGTCGCAATGTCTGTGTCAAAGCGACGCTGGAGCGACTGCTAATTTTAGCAGTTCAGCATCGCTCTGTGCTAAGCAGATTGAGTTTACTGCTTTTAGCAGCCATTAACGACAAATGGTGGGGAAATTAATTTATTATTCCACGTGTTGTAATTAGAAATCACGTCCGTATGTTCTCTCTATAAAAGGATCTAAGTAGCACTGAAGTAACTAGAGGTAAAATAACCTATAAATCGATGTATTTAATACGTTCGATTGGTTCTTTTTATGAAGGAGCAAACATATGAGGTCGTTCAAACATGGATGGACATAAAAACGGCCTTGTTTTGTGTAGGAGTACAGTACACTCTCCTTTGATGTGTACTATCAAATGTACGAGATAAATTCGAAGGTAACGCGTCTACTTCTTGCCACTGATTGTTGGTAAACTTGAAAAAAAGTACAACCAAGTAAGAAAAAGCTCACAATGTCCAAGCCTTGTAAACGCACTATATATTCAATGTCTCCATATGTTTTTTTTATTCAACAATTCCAATAGATGGAGAGGGAAAATTCATCGTATAGCAGACGACGTAAACCTTGTCGTCTGTAATAAAAATAATAGTGCCAACGACATGCCGAGGCTAGACGACTGTTCTATCAGCACATAAAAATATTCAATTTCGATTCTAGATTGTGATGTACTGTTCTGAATAAAAGTTTGCTGATATCGACAGATTTTATGCTGACTATTACTTACGACGGCCTAATAAAACCGCTGAAAGAAGATTACGCTCTGGTGACAGAAATGCGATAGTTGATAGCAATCAAGCGTCTAAATGAGGGCTAAACAATGACGACTTTCTGTGGCATAGCTCTTCCTGGGCATATTATATATGGCGCTCGAGAATTTACTACCAAATGACCCACAGGCTTGATAATGGTTTGGGCCCTAATGATCACTTTGTTATGAAGCTCAATTACTAAATGAGATAATACAGAAAGGCAGCTATTATGGCTTAAATTTGCACGCGCCTGAATGAGGTGAATCTTTCAGCAGTACTAATGGTTACGATAATAACGCTAGGGTAAAGAACGCGATTTGGCTTTCAAAATATTACGACCACTTCATGGAATATGAAAAAAATTAACTATTGGAATCAGGTATAATGGGCTTATTTGGAAGAAACCCTACGTTTTAGACAAATGTCTTTTTAATTTCGGCGAGAAAAATTCGAGCGAATGCTGAACGGGGGTTATATCCAAAGTTTTCTAGAGCTTCTGTATTAGACTGAGAATTTCTAGACCTTGAGTACTGCACAGTTAGCGACATATTATCGCCTTATCGGAAATTGAATATTGGGACACTTTCATTATCATGGCTAGATCTTACGTTTCAAAGCGCGTCCCACTCGTCTGCTACTACATACGTGCCAGTTCTGGCAGATTCTTCCGTTTAGGCCTCCTGCTGGTATCGGTAGCCTGTAGTATTATCTGTTGCCGACTAACCTTGATGGGGCTTCTAGGCACCTGGGGCTACAATAATCGTCTAGTACTATAACACCAAGTCATTATTAAAGGTTTGGCTTTGAAAAAATCTACATATAAATATGTATGCTCGAGTTAAAATATAAGTCGTTAGGATCACAAACGTCTTAAATGAAAAATACGTTACAAAAGCCTATTGAAGTAATTCAAATGTCCAGGATGTATTGGCAACTTTCAGTTTACATAGCTTCGAAATGGCGATAACATTGATAAGAATAAACCCCATTATCGATAAAATTGCTATATAATAAAAAGTTATGATATAATCTGGTTCAGTAAATAATAACGAAAGCCATTTAAGAGTACAAATACCCTGGATTCCAATGGAGATCATACGTAGCGCCCTACAATTATCGCAGATAGCACCTGTTTCGATCGTCATACTTTTACATGTCCGAAGGTGACAATTCTCTCATTTTGCTGTTATCAGAAACGCCAGCTGCTACAAACCAGGACGGTTTTTTAATGAGATAGCTTGAATGGTACACGAAACGAAGTAGGCCGAACAGGACAGAACCAGAAAAAATGTTTCATTCTCTGGCTTTCTCTAAGGACGGCAAAGTAGATATCAGGGACGGCAAGTTAGCTAACTCAACTCGGGCCAGCACGTTTGGCCCGTAGAACAAAATTGCAATAGGTCGAATCACAGAATTGCTGCCGCTGAGTCGCTATCTCTCTGCGGCTATCTTATCTTAAGTGCTCTTCTGCGTTACTTCGGCGATTTACTCTCGGAGCGGTCAGGAAAATTCAATTAACGTGACTGTGCCTGGCTGAGCAATAATGATAAATTTGCTGTGTGTACGTACCGTCCAACGATCGACTAGAAAGACTGACCAAAATGAAACGACGACGAGCGGCGAAGACTTTCCCTAAACAATCAATGTCCTTAGTGTTGCTATTGAAACAAACTTGACTTCAGGAAACGACCAGGCCATGGATCTTCTGCTGTTTCGGTACCGCGTCTAGCGGCAAGCACTTCTCTCAACTCATTACTACATTAGCAGACGGCTGACGCTAGACGAATTTCTCGGAGTGTAATGTAGTAGTAATTATTTAGTGGTGCTGGACTATCGAGCCAAATCAGTTTCAGTAGTATGTAAAATGGCGCCCAATATACTTCGATTGGTCCATAGTAGCTTCTAGCACTGGTGTGCTTTAACAATGAAACCACTAACAAAACGCATCAAATATGCTCTTCTACTAGTTACGTATAGAGCTGATTGCTTCAGTGACCTCGCAGCGTGCTCGATTTTCGTAACAAATGCTTAAACTAACAGACGATTATGTTGCATTCGTTTCGTTCAGCTAATCACTGTCAAATCGATTAGCAATCTATAACAATTTGAGATTGCGAAACGCAGGAACAATGACGCTACGGGAACCGTGTCCATTGTGCAATCCGTGTGGGCATCACCAAATGACCAATCGAATAACTGGGCATTGCCAGTAGCAATCAGTGCCAGATTATAAACCTGCTGAATATCACCAAGTGTTCGATTCTAATCTTATATTTTTGATAAAGAAATGACATATTTCTAGAATGATTTTGACTTGTCCCAATATTTAGAACCTGACTTTGCTACAGGTGCTCAATTTGTCTCTCGTTTAGCTACGAAACAAAGAGTCGCAGCTTTTAGGTTGAATGTGAAAATCAGGCTGACAAGCCTATTTGTTTCCGAGTAATTTCTAGGGAAGGCTGAGAGTTCTATCATTCGGATGGGGTATGATCCGAATATGATGAATGATGAATTCTGGACAAATGGAGATATGGCTATTATAGATCAGGTTGAAGAGTATGTTTCAGGTAGCACGGTAAATAAACCAATGCCATTGCTTCGTATTGATATATAGTACATGATAGCTTTGCTCTTTGGATATATCTTCCATGTTATGCTGTACAGGTAATGAAAGCAAACTTACCCAAGGTGCTGGGCCGAAAGTCTCGTTGATAGCTGCCATCTCTAGCACTCCATGCCCCGTCAACTAAAAGGATAAGGGCCACGCCGCCTATTAGCCTCAACAATGACAGCTGCTGTCTACTAAAGCACAGGCAGTAGCAGTTGCGGCTACCTCTAAAGATACTACCAGCAATCAAATCGCGACTGCAGACCGGGCGGCACGAGCTTGGCACTACCATGCTGATGCTAAGCACAGCGTGGTCTAGTTGCCAGCGTATAGCGATTGACAGCCACGAACGGCAATGCTCGTCGGCTTCGAGACGCAAAATAATAACAAATAACAGATCAGGCGGTCTTCTTCATCTGCAATACATACACACTATATCCGTTTGTGGAAATCCACGAGACAACGCTGCTGATGGTAATAACTGTTCGAATGAAACTTAGATTGAACCACTGGCTCACGGAAACAAACTGGTTCTAACGTTTTCAGCGCCTTCTTTTATTCTTTGACAGAGATCGTTTGTTGTTGTCGTTGATGATGCTAAAGTGTGTGTATAGCAACAACCTTAGTTGATGACTTCACACTTCGCTAATCCGTCGACGAAGTACGGACGTGAACAGGAGCAATATTCACGCCCTGAGGCGCACCATAATAATGAGCTGTCCTAGGAGACAAAAAACGGAACTAATATGGCCTGTCGGCCTGCTTGTCTGTCTACTTTTGGTTGTGGGGTCAGATAGATGACCTTTTAGCGGTTACCGGTATAATGCTTCGGTGGCATGATCTCGAGTCTAAAACGGAGATGTTTTTTCATTTGTGCGACGAAAATTCTTCATTGGCTCCTGGTTTCTGGCTATCCTTCTCTCTAGCCAGTGCATTTCTACAAAGATGACCATGTGTGCAATGAATATGAGCGAGTGTTCAATTCTGTTCACAGTAGTATTATCCTCTTTGGTTCTCGGCTTCTCCCTCGTCTTCGATCTTAAAGATATCGTACAAGTTTATCACCGCAGCCGGTCATCATACTCAGCGCTCTCCGTGGTTCGCTTCTGACTTCACAACCATCATTTTTACCCTTCTTTGTTTCGTCTTTTATGTGTTACTCATCGCCATGCCGCTTGCGACGAAACAGGCTTTGTTGGACGCGTTAGAAACTAGTTTGCTTGTAGAATCTCTAAGAAGAATACCCGGCTGGATATAGCCACTGTTTATTTAGCAGCTCGTTCGTTGAGCACCCCAGCATTGCAAATAACCAATGAATGAAATCTTCTAAAAATAAAATGCTCGATAGATGGAGAACTTCTAGTGAATCTAGGTGCTTCGAAATTTCGACTATTGGTACCACTTGGTTCGTCTAAAGGTGCAGGGTCTGGGCAGTATGTACTCGCACAAGTTTAAGACAACGTTCGTCGTATTTTTGATTCTGCACAGACAGAACTTGTGCAGCAGCAGAGCACAGCGGAGTCTGTTTTTAACGAAGAGTCATTCGAAGCCGCAGTTACTCCTCAGCGGTAGTATTAAGCACAATTGAATCTGTTGTATTGAGTCACACGTACCTTCCTGCTAGAGTGGGCCAGACTCACTTGGGGGTGGCGGCGGTGAGTTGCGCCGGACTTAGAGCGGCATCAGCAGTGGTAGGGACAGGGGAGCAGTGCAGTTGTTCCAAGGGATGATTCATGTTGGTGCAGCCGGGGGAAGTTGGCGTTGGCGAGGGTGACTATATTGAGGATTGGCCGTGTGTGGCGAGTGGGGTGAAATGGAGCGAAAGGGCCTACTCACGGGTCACGGACTGTGGCGTTAGCAGTCCTAGCATGAACTACACGGGGAGTCCTGTCAGCAACGAGGTTAAAACTAACCTCCGTAAGCAGTTGCGGCAGTGACTAGCAAAATATCAACGGCTACCGCAGTAAAGGAGGACCTCTGGGTCTGTTGTCGCTGCAGTTATGCTCAGGTGTCCTCTACCCAGAGAACATTCGGTACTCGACTTGATCGCTCAGTAGATGGTAGCGCTTGCTGTTGCTGACGCCGGCCGTGCGCTTTGCGCGTTCGAAAAAATCACCACTTGGCATTAGCGGCAAAACTGGGCGCCAAAAATTTACCTGCTTTTTAGCTCACTTGTTTTCTTTGAAAGCGTGAATTGTTGTTTAATTTTAATTAGAAAGCCTTTGAGTGAAAGTTGATTTTTTTTATAACTCATTATACGTTGAACATTCAGCATTTTTCAGGATATTGATACAGAAATGTTCGACTTGTTATATATTCATATAATTGGTAGTTTCATAAACAAATGGTTTATTCTAAGTTTTTCTTTTACTACAGAAATTGTTCCACGTTGCGCTGTCGTTCACTTCTATATTTCCTTTCCTAATTTGTTTTTGCTCGACGTTATTACTACTCATATCTATTCAAGTTGTTGTCGATAGATGTGTGCTGTCGTTTTGTACCCTCAGCGGTGTCGTATCAATAATTTTTAAATCTCCGGCAGTGAATCAGCCGAAAAGTGTACTTTGCTTACGTTGCTTAGTTAAAAGGCCTTCATCGGCCGCTTAACGATAGCCGCCGTCTCTGTGGACAGCGCTGCAGAGGCCCCCTGTTACGAGCTAACAAAATCTTCGCGTTTTACAGTCAGTCCAGCTTTCTCTAGTTTCCCGCGTTTAGCTTTGCGACAGTGGCCTTTTCGTTCGGCAACCGAACTGGGAACGTCAACAACCTCGAAGTCAACAGCTGTTGCGGGTGTCACTTCATGGCAGCTGCTGCACGCCGTTAACGATCATTGCCCCGTGTGGCCGCCTATTTGGCTTCTCACTAGCGAAAAGGGAATAAGGCTCATGATGCCGCTTTGTCCTGGTTTAACACAAGCTATTATACTGAAAGATGAAAGGTATCGTCGGTATCATAGCAGCGAAACCGCTGATTTTAGCTCTTAGAACGTAACAGCCATTCTAGGCGTGTAATGGAAGAGGTGTCTGCGCCTGCGTTGAAAAGAAATACAGAAGCTCAACGGTAGTTTATCTCTCTTCAGCAATAAGAGTCCTAACGAGCAGGGTAGTACTTCCCGTTTAGCCGCTACTTTCCTGTTATAGTAATAATGTCAAAGCGATAGGCAGCCGATAGCTACATATTGAAACAGCACAAAGTTACAGCCAGTTGTTATCATGAGTTGTACAGCGATGGGAGTCCATCCATTAATATGTCCATACGATGATTTTCGTATCTACGTAGTTGCCCAACAGTTTTCCGGCAGTAATTTCTCGGCGTATTTTTTAAACGTTTGTCCAATACAATAGCAAAACAGTGTATCCCTGCAGTCACACCATCGATAGTTCAGCTGTGGCACCGTGACGTTGCTTTCTCAACGAACTTCTCCCATCCTCAGGTTGATTCGCACTGCGCATTGTGTGACCCGTGTCGTATCCACTATTTTCAACAGCCGCACATTTTTGAACTACTGCTGGAGTTTAAGCTGGAGCACCGTCATCAGTAACAACTGCGTCATTATAAGGGGGATTTTTTTGGCGGTCGATCTTTTTTCTGTTCTATAATCTCTATGTCATACTTTCGCCTAGCAGAGATAAGAGCCCGCGCAAAACATAAGAGCGCTACATCGACTGCCACAACAGCGGCGGCGGCGGCGGCGACGACGACGACGATGACTGCCACTAGCAAAAGGTTTGTCGCAAATCACAATTTCGAAAAGCTAATCATCCCCTATATTTCGTTCTTCCTTGCTACATTCTCTTTAAGCACGTCCTCCTCGTTTTTCCTGTGGCATGCAGCAAATGCCAAGAACCGTTAAGACAGTGCTTAGATGTGAGACTAGCCCGCTACCTACAAGCGTCGTAGCAGTGGACGCCTGTATCTTTAGTCGTGCTATAACACCGTTCGAATACTTTGTTCCTCAAACGCGCTTCTAGACGCGTGCTGTGATCTCTCTACCACCTCGCCCAACCGTTATCACATAGCACATTTGGCCCTTGAGAGATTGATGTCTCTCCGCTGGACCGAGACACACTCCCACAGGCTACTGGGTGATGAAAATTGCTAAATAAGACTGCTGGCTAGCTAGCTGCCCGCTTGCCTGCTGACTCTGTCGCTCTGCCCTGAATATCCGAACACCCTCCCAACGATCGAGCTGAGTCACAACACTGCCACGCGACACCCCTCACCCAAACACGCAACCCTCTCCATACAACCCCTTGTCAGGCAGGAAAAGGGCCTTCACCCCATTTTCCAGTTCTGGGAGCAACCAAATTTCAGCATATAAAAAAAAAGGGGGGAGAAAGAGGTACTGGCCGGACCAACAAACTCCCAATCAGCTCACCACAAGCCGATTTTCTATTCCAGCGAACAAATGCTCTGTGTGTAATATTTTCGAGTAGAGCCAGCCCCACTATAAAGGCTTATACTCTGCCTTTGTCCGATGAAGCCAGTAACCCCATAAGCGTCCGGATCCTCATCGTAGACATCGTTCGTCCAGTTTCTCCCAAGCAGGGAGTTACAGGGGTGCACATTGCCTTCACAGACGACGTGAGAAAGGGAAGTTGGGAGAGGGCAGTCGACGGGAAAGGCCGTAAGCATACCAAACAGAAGGACTACTCTAGGCTGAGTTGGTCGGAACGAACTGCTGCCTACCTATCAAGTCAGACGATGGGGTCCGGCGTTTAGGTATAGGCGAACTAGTCTGTAATATTGTTTATTATGTGGCCGCAGCGCTGCATGTCGTCTGCTGGGGAACGTCTTGAATGGAGTTCTCGCAGACAAGAGAAAATCCTGACGAATAAAGCGGTAAGAGAAAAGCAAAAAATATCGGAAATTCACTTAAAGCCGAATCGAGAACAACCTTTGAAATTGAGCATAATGGTAATTTGTTACGTTAGAAGCACTTATAAAATTATGCACCATTATAAAATTACTTTCGGTGTCATTCTTTTAATTTGTCTTTGGAATTTATATTTAAATAAAGATTCGCCGGATATCGCTATACACACATGTGTGTATGTTCTGATTTCGGAATTAGTGTTATAGACAGTACTGACATAAGATTGCCTGGCAGAGTCGACGTCGTTGTTTCTGAAAGGCGTATCTATAACTGAGTCTATGAACTTCATGTTCCCACACTTGCGTTTTACAATACGATTTCTCTTTACATGTTATTACATGTGCAAATAATGTCTAGCTCCCTATTTGTATCATACCCTAGGAAAACGAATGCCCACCGCATAGTCTATGGACGAAGCTTCCTCATGTTGAACCTTTGGACGCTGGGCTAAGTAAAATCACCAGTAAAGGCCAGTTGTATATTATTGGTGCTACAAATAAACTGTTTAACCCGGCATCGGAAATCCAGAAAATGCTAGTTAGCATACTGGCTTACCGTTAAATGTGTACAATTATTATCCACTGAATTGAGCACCAAGGCATTCGAGTGTTTCGTGAAGCTAATTGTTCTGACCGATTCGATGCCCTAGCGGGTTTCACTCAGCGAAGACAGCGCCGATCTTTAAACGCTTGCTAAACATTTACGCTGCAGATTAATTAGCCGCATAAATCAATTCAACAAACGTTCCAAAGTATATCGATGTGAAGAACACGAAACTGTGGTGATGCTTTAAATACTTAGCTTAAACTTAGAAACAAAAAGTTTACGGGTTTACCACGAGGTGTCCTTGTTTTATCGTTTAATTGTGGATTCCTCGCACACTTGTGACCCCGCAACATTGAACGAGAAAAAAATATCAAAATCCTGTAAATCTTGGTGCTCTCTCTCCAATATCGGTTCTGAGCTCTGTCTGTCTCTGGCCCTCTACCAGCGTCTCTAAGATGAGCTAAATAGCGTTTATCTCGCAAATAGTGATTTACCCGAAAAAACCATATATTTAAGCTAAAATTTCGAAAATTTATAGGCAAATGAACGAAAAAAATCATACTCAAGATACAGTATTCCTCGTTCACCTGCAGTGTAAAGATTTAAGCCACTTTTCAATTTTGAATAGAGTACCCAAGGCGATAGGGCAGATATTTTTGCACGGTTGAGGAACGCTTTAACCGATTACGACAAACTCTAAGGCTCCTTGCATCGTTTCATTTCACAGTTAGTAGGGATATTTTAAAGGCACAATATAATGTTTTTATTGTTTGCTCTATTTTAACCATAAGCCCGCTCTGAAACACTTGGGAGCTGATTTTATTCGGCTTGGGCACATAGGCTGGCCTTTCCATTGCACAACCCATCACACTAAGTTTACGTAACAAAAAATCACAGTGTCGACGCAAACACTATTTCATGCGCTAACGAAACTGGCAATGACTTGAAGTTTCAGTTAAATAAAAAGATTACGTTTTCCGTATACAATCATAATTATCAACTTACTCACGCCTGTTCGTTCAAGTTTCTGTGTAGTTTGCTAGTTGCGCTAATACTAAGCCTGTAAAATGATATATTCCAGTATATAATAGTACACGATTTCTACTGACCAGCTGATCGATAGGTTTAAATCATTTTTATTTTTACCATTAGTATATGCATCATTCCAGCCTTCGATTTATGGTCGAAGGGAAATGCTATGACCATCGATCTACGAGGGTCTCTATTGACAACAGATTTAGCTGCCGCTGTTACTTATTTTGTGATAAAGACGGGTGCGTGATATGCCTGTTTCAAAGGTCTTTTTCGCTACTACTTCTATAAAATACGCTGCTTTAATAACACTTAAGTGGGCTACTGCTTGCTGATGTCAAGCCGTTCGATAATAATCGAGTGTCTAGTTTGTAGCGTATCTAAAAACAATGGTGTTCCGTTAAAGTCTGTGACTCCATGCTTTATAAAAACTATAACTTTATATCAGATCTGTACGAAGGTCTATTGAAGAAGAATACAATGAGACCCGCCGTATTTCGGTTGATGTAATTCTTCACTTAGGCTAGTTGCTGGAATTTCAAAATGCCACCCTAGGGATGTCGCAAGAACGAAACGACATAATATAGGCGAAATCATTAGTGAAGATTATGCAACTGCGTCGAACAATCGAGCTTCACGCTTACCTGCGGGTTGACTAAAGTGACGAATATCTTCCAAGAGTCTGTATTTTTTCCCTATTTAATGGTGTTAAACATACCTAAGTTTACACGACTATCCAGCCTAATATTATAATACAAATTATAGATTAGCTGAATATTAAAGGCTTGTGAGATGTTCCGAGCGAATACGGTCGAAGATGGCTTGAGCAGAAGCATTCGAAAGGAGTGCACTCACACTCCGCGGGACTTTCCCGAACATCCATGGCGGAGTCAGGACGTAGTCGGCATAAGCACTCGCTGTACGGAAAACATTTGACGATCAAATTAGCCATTTCAAATTTTCCGAAACGGAAGAGCAAATCTGGACCCTGACGATATTCAAAAAGCGTTGACAATTCGTCCGTTCGTTATAGGCAGCTTATACAAAATGTTCACGGTTGATTGGGACGAATTTTAGTGGGGTATTTGTCATAACGTACATACATTTACGTTCTCCTCTTAGCGTTAGACAAAACTGCTCCTTCCATTAGAAAATAAGGTGAGAGGAGGACGTCTATTTGCCGAATATGAGCCAGGATCAGCTATTTACCCGGGATCTTTAGATTGCATTAGTTGCACTGCTGCCAATAAAAATCGCTTATAGAGCCAAACGCATCTCTGACGACACCGGTATCTCTACCTAGAATTAAAAATTTTTTAAATTAGCGTATCCAATACATCCGGAAATCTCAGGTCTATTTCTATGTAATAAAGGTCAAGTATGTAATTTTTAGAGAGTAATCCTAAACATAAACCATTTCGACCAGCTCCGGCTTTTTCAATGTGAAGATCTTAATCATTAATTTAGACATCACTCGGTAAAAGGGCAGCTGGGTTGTTCACTACGAGAATGATGATTCGATTTGTTAGAACTGGTCTTCTCATATGTTGACACATCTTAAGGAACATGAACTAGCAAAAGCGGTATTAGAGCATTGAGCATCTTTGGTAAAGGTAAAACTATTACTGAATGAATTCGGTAGAAATCGTGGCAAAACCGCAAGTTAACACCGTATTGAACAAAAACCTATACGGCTTTCAGCAAAACGCTAAAGCCCCATTAAATCCAAAAGCTGGCATGTAATTGTTGAAGCCCGTTGAAGACAAGTCTTTTGGACAGCTTTTCAGTTTCAGAACCAAATCTAGTGTAAAGGGCGTATTGGAACTAGAAACTAACGAATCTCGTTTCAACATCGTACCACTTACGACTCCTTCTGAAGGACCGAGTGGTAGGTCTAGAGAAGTAAGTTTAGAAAATAACTTTTAATATGTATATGCCCTGATCTTCTGAACTGGATCGAAATAAATATCAATTATTTTAACTGAACACGACTGTCAGGGACGCTCCGTCGGCACACGAGGGGCTCTAACTAAATATTTGATTCGGATGTGATGCAGTTTGTAAACATACGGCATTAGTCTCGTAAATTTAACCCGAACATCCTGTAGTAGCATGAGCGAATTGAGGATGAAACATTGATGTCCTTCGCAACATTTCGAAACGAGTTTACTGGCAGTTGTACTAGGTGTGTACTTGAAAGGTACCCTAGAGGTTTGGTCTGGTCTGGCCTGGCCCTGTCCCTTTCTTGCAGCATCTCGAATTTACAAGTAGCACCTCGAACCAATAGATCGGCGGTGGTTGTAGAGCCCCTCGGTCTCGCAAGCTGAGCATTGTAAACGGTCGTGGCCACTGGCTGACGTTAACATCTGTTCTAGTTCAAGCCATGACTCAGACCTTCCCCAGGCCAGTCCGACTCAATCCAGCTTCTTGCTCAGGCAATGCATACTCTTTTACCCCTTATGAGGCTGAGCCGTCTGTACTGCACGTGTCGAGAAGGGTTTACTGATCTGCTCCGCGAAAACTTGCGCCCTAAGGCCCCCAATGGATGGATGAATGTTTAGCTGTATGAATGTTTAGTGTAGAGAACACTTCATACAGAGGTAACGGGACTGGTCGTTGGTGACTATGAAAGGGGTAGTGTGCTGCAGTCAGTTCGCTAGCCTCACCGCCAGAGAGACTTGAGTGTTTCGCCCCGCGTATCATCAGCTGTGTACCATTTATTGCAATGCGGCTGTATACCGTGCATTTAGGCGGCCAAGATACAGCAGCGGTGCAACTCGTATCGTCGTACATCAGCAGACACAAAATAAGTGACTCAAGCAGGACTAGGTAGCTTGCACGACCGCCTGCTCTCTTCTGGTGTACTCCATAACACTTTGCGTAAAGCAACGAGATTCCCGACGCGTCGACTTTACAGGGAATAGTTACGAAGGGTCTCGTGTGTTAGTGAAGAGTTTGGTAGAGGAAGGGAGCAAACGATACAGTCCAAGAAGAAGACGAACAGTTCCGAATATTACAAGTGTGCACAAAGCAACGGCAAAAGCAGATTCAAATAACCTGCTAAATGAACCAGACCGTCTGATTTATGTTCGCACAATGCGGATGCAATGGAGGTAAAGGGCATAATTTGAATGAGGTGATATTTAAGCCGCCACTATGACAGCCATTGCTTCTGCCATGGAAAGGAGTTAGCTGGGCTGGGCTGAAAAGGTCGGGGTTGTTCTGGGGCTATCTGTTCACCCAGGTCACACGCACTCTCTCTACAGTGCACCTGAGATTTACATTAAAGCAATAAACGTAGGAACAGACGCATGGACAGATGAATGCAATTAAGTATGCGCAGATATGTGGCTCGTTAAGAGATGGCTACCTAAACATTCTATTCATGGCTGCAATAATATACTAATAGTGATAAATCTGACTTGGACTCTACTCAACTAGTAAATGTAAATTGGGACAGTTTTGCCGGGATATGCTAATCAGTCTATGTCTGTACACAATTATCGTTGTTGTCCTGTATCACTGCGGACGGATTCATTATTAGTTCTCTAACTCTTTTACTTCTGGCCTATTTTAAAGATGCTACATATTAATGTTGTTTTCACAGAAAGATGATTAATGCTTAGTTGTCATAACTTATGACCGAACCCGTGGAGGTTGTGTTTTTCGCTTAGGACTTCAGTTCACGTCAGTGAGGAAATGGGCAAATATTTAATATTTCGATGTAATTCCAGGTAGAATTAGAAGTTGGAACATCCGAAATGCTGGCTTTCGTCAATGGCAGGTCAAGTTGAAATCTGTATTTGTATCGGCAACCAACTAATATTCGAGCAATGCGTTAACGATACACTATCTACGAGGCATATCGGTAGAACGAGGGCTTTCATCATACTGTATGTCCAGCCAGTGAACTTCGCAAAGTGTTTGTAGGAGTTTCAATAACTTTTACTTGCCTCTGATTTCGTTTAATACGTCCGTATGCATCCCAGTATATGCGTAGATTTTCATAATGTATCCATTTGTCTTATTTCAACCCTACCGGGCTGTAATTTTGCCAAGATCGCACACCTGTTGGCAAGTATGGCCGCTAGAGGGATCAATATGGCTAATTATCGCTTGCAGGTTAGATAAAAATTTGATTTGACTTGCGATAAAATTTATCGTCAGCTACTCGGAAGCTTGACAAAATATAAGCTTCATACCCACTTGTTTGATATCTGCGTAAATAATCGTTTCTTTTGATGGGCAATTTGTTAAATCAGTATGGGTTGCAAGAGATAAACAACCCATCGTTTGGACAGTCCCGGGCTTCTCCTGTTATGACAAACCTCAGATTACGCATCTTGTTGTAGTCTCGTTTGTAATAGAAGTTCTACTTGTAGAAGAGGAACAGCAAATTTAATTATACATCAGATACAGCGAGACCACTGGGTATTCATGCTTGATAGCGTCACCCCCCCCCCCCCCCAAAAGAAAAACGTTAATTTAGTCTTCTCCCAACAGCCAGTAAAGGATTCATTCATATAATGGCGAATTACAGAATTACAGTTTATACGTCGGAAAATGCATAATTTTTTTTATAGATTCTTATATTTTTACAGATTTTTTTCACTTTTCGCTATACTATTAAAGCTCACCCTTTAAGTAAATAATTCTCTGAGGAGGCCGGTGTGCTAGTCCCGGTAAGCAAAGGCGAGTCTTTACTTCCAGGTTCATTTGGCTTTTCATCGCAGTCCATCATCGCGGCGCCTGTAACCTAAAAACGTTTTTTAGACCTGGTTGACTCCAATGTTCTTTTCCACACTGCTTGTGCATTGAACGTGATATTTTCGGGTTGTTTTACACTGACTTATGCAGTGTGTTGGCTCTAGGATAGCACATTGTAAATGAAAAGGTCGAATAGGAAACTAATTGTTAGGCTTAATCGTAGGTTCTCGTGTTCGTTAATGAAGAGATCTGGTAAACGCACAAAAAAAACTATATTATATCATTATGCTTACAGTTTTTGTGGTAAGAACATTTTTGTTTAAATTAGAAGAATGATTTTTTAACGAAATAAGAAAATACATGCGAAATCGAGGACCTTGTGATTTTTCTTCATCGACAAATGACAGCTCTGGCATACGCTAAAAAACTGCAATCTGTATTTAACAATGTAATAGGTGCCAATACAGTTATATATTAAGAAGTCGCTTAAGCAACTTTATTGTGATCCCTTTGCGGCCTGAGCTCTAACCTGAAAAGAAGAAGATATCAGTTTGGTATTCCAAGCAATCGGCATCGTGCTTCCTGATCTTCAATAATGATTTCCACATTATTATATTTTCCGCGGCTAATGGTAGCGACCTGCCTAACGAGAGTGTGGCACGTCCGTGACAGACGTGCCAATGTTCTCCTTACGTGTGATTATGTATTTTATTATATGGGAAATTCATAAAAGTTGAATACGCAAGATATTACTTATAAATAGTTTCTACACAGGCTGCAACTTGGTCAATTGCTTGCACAACGTTATTTATGCAACAACGGCAATTTTGATGGAAGGAATATATTTTGTAAACTGCTGCACTCTCTGTGTGAGCACGGTAACACCCACGCAGTGTCATCGCTGGCCGACGCGACACATCTTTTTTTGAATGCAGCATCTCCGTCTGCGTCCACCCACATTTCACCAGAGCACATCGCTCTACCGAGCAAGGACCTTTCCAGGCCGTTCAGCATTCCTTGGAGCATGTCATTTTAAAGCCAAAGTAATAACCGGCTTGGCTGTGTCAGGTCGGCCTTTTTGCATCCCTTCCCGTCGCCTCCTCGCCAACCACAGTAAGAGATCTTCTGCTAAGAATCGCGCATGATGTGTCCATTTGAGTTGAGACGGGATTAAGGTCGGAGACGAAACGAACGAGCACCGGAGCAGCTGGCCCGGCGGAGCAATAGGGGCTCAAGGGCCTCAAGATGCTCCCTTTCAGGGCAGCTACTCAGGGGCCTTTTGATCCGGGCACGGACCCGGGTAACCCGCCGGGGTGTCTCGGTCCATCAACGCGGACCTGGCTCAGGGCTAAAGCACAACGAGCCTCAACTACAAATGCGTTAACAACGACGAAAATCTCCAGCTTCCTGATATCGCTTATATTGTGTGCTCAGGCGTTTCAACTCCTGAACGCTCAGCTTACCCAAATTCCCGATGGTATGTAAGCGTTTGTCTAGTAGATATATTTGTTTTCTCTGCGTTTAACTATTGCTACCACTAAAAAGGAATTGTGAAGGCCGTTGACTGTGTATTTTGTAGGTGATGCTTTTAATTTGATGCTTCAAGTATGATGAGTTAAGCAAATGTTTGCTTTACAGTAGAAATTGTGTGGTCGACTTCTATTTGGAATATGTTGTTGTTTAGGGACGGTGGATCTGCTTGAACTAGTGGATCTCTACCAGCCACAAGAAGGTGTAGCCATCTGTACAGGCTTCTGTGAGGCCCGTCCGGCCTTCGTTGATGACAATGGTACAGGAATGTACATTGGGCCTGATACCGCCTACCGCCTTTCAAATCTTGCACACCTTAGCGGAGCTCTCTCTGACGAGTTGCAAACAAAATTTCCAATAGACTACTCTGTTCTTATGACCATCCGGCCAGAAAAGGTAACAATTTTGCAGACTGATAATTAGGCATACGTATAATAGATATTCTTGTGCTACCTTTACAAGCAAAAATCATTACATGAAAGTAACTGCTCTCCTTTCAAGTTATAAAATCATTAATACATGTAGAAAACGGAGCAAAAATATCTGTTTGCTTAAGTAAACTGTTAAATCTAGTATCGACTGTCCTATAAAGGAAGATAATTGAGTAACTTAATAGATTTCTGAAAATAAGTTTAGAAGTGTTATAAACATAGGTTCGATTACGCAAATTACTGTTCATGCACTAATTGAATAAAATTTTGCTTAGGCTTAGCAATAGGAGTTCTGCTCCAATGTCATTTTACATGCTAGAAATGAAAATACTCTATATTGTCATTTAGAACGCAGAGGGATGCGTCTTTTCGATATATAACGAAGCATCCGAGGAGCAAATGTCATTTTCCGTCAACGCAGATTTCGCGACCTTCACGGTCAAAGGACCTACCAATGCTACCACGGCTGCGGAATTCAAACACTGTATTCTCAACGATGGAAGGTACAACGAAATTCGTTGTTATCGTTATTAAAAAATCTCTATCAGAGAAAGAGACGATCTATATTATCTAAAGCCAACGAGTTTGGCACAAATGATTTTGATACTTCTTTGAATTAGCAAATGCATGTTTTTCTTTTGCAACTAGGTGAGGACAAATGGGTATTTTTATTACACGAATTCCGACTATTCATATTTAGAGAATATACCATTGATGTAACTCTGCAGTTACGACGGTCTCAGCTGAGTCATATTCTGTCAACGTGCCTACATGAATATATATATATATATAAATCGCGAAGGTCTGAGGCTACAAGTAAAGGTACAAGTAATGTATGCGTATCTTGCTAATGTTTCTTAATACTGACGAACTTGAATCTTATCTTGCTTTAATAGAGCTTGTGGAAGAAAAATGGCAAAAATACCCAGGGAACCAATTTTTCATTTTAGCTACAATAGGTACAGCCTCTTATCACGTGAAACGTGCGGATCAACGAGTATAAACGTTTTTGAAACAACGAAATTTGACTCGTATTAATGTGATACTTCATAAACTTCTAGGGGACGCTTTGATACTATTCTGGATCAGCATAAGGATCAAAAGCAGCTTCATCGCAGAAATTCCTAAGTCTGAGTATGCTATAACTTTCCTTAGATCAACGGAAATTAAAGTTCAACATGTAAGCACGAAGGTCAAGAACAAAGCTACAACTTGGTGTACTCTAAGAGAATGGGCTGATCTACTGCTTGCTAATGCAAGTATTGAACGTGACTTAATTCGTCCTTGCTTACTTGACATGATATGTCCAGCGGACACCGCGGCTCGTGGATCTTGCCTGTTCAGTCGGAGAAGTAGCTCATGGCTTATGTTTTTTGTGTCTCCAATTTGTTAGGTGGCATCGTATAGCGCTCAGCGTGAAGGGTGACTCCGTCACGTTAATTCGAGATTGCGACGAACAATTTACGGACGCCCTCGATCGAACGAGCGTTCCCGACATGGGAAACGCGATCCTGCTGCTGGGACGTGACGCAAGCAATGGTACGTGACGCGGTTAATATGGATGCCGCCTTGGTTAACAGTAATTCATCCCTTATGATTACCAGTATGAATAACATTATAGCTTGATAAAAACCCATTGGAAATTCACACAATTATAATAATCGGGCACTCGATAATAAGGATTAAGTTAAGGATTTTTTGACGCATTGAACGGTGTTGAACCGTTTTTAGATTTTTACGCTCCGGGGGACTAAATAAACGTTCCTTGTGACCTTGCGACTCGCTAATACGATTTTATTTAATATAGCAACGTCCTTTAATTTAGCATGGTTGTCGTACATTCACGTCCGGGTAAGCGCAGTTCGATGTAATCACCTGTTGTTTTTCCAAACAAGCAGTTTGCGTTTCGGTTTAGTATGGCTGAGCTTTGTTAAGCGCTAATGAAAACTACAAATTTAAATAAAAGTTTAAAAAAAAGTTTTAAATAAAAGTCGTTTTTGTACAATTGCTTGTCACTGTAGGCATATGTACAATATAGTGATTTTGATTCGGGGACGCTTAGCTCCTGTTTGGCAAACCAGCAGTCTTCTTTAGCTTTTGGGCCGTTATTTAAGGCGCTTGTATACCAAAACATTTCAATGAAAAACGTTGACATTGCAGCTCTCTGATAATATGAGCATCACGTCTACGCTCTGTTGACAGGCATACAGGGGCGTTATATGGGAGATGTACAGCAACTGGTAATATCGCCAACGCCAGAGGCCGCCTACGAGATGTGCTCCCTCTTTATGCCTGGATGTCGACAGCCGATTCCACCGCTGTATCCCCAGGTTGTAAATATATGTTTCTGTAATCAGCAAAAGTAGACTACAAAGGTTATTAAAGCAACGGCATGTTGCTTGGATGTTCGTATGTTTATTATAATCGGATTGCCGCAAACGCCTTCATTGCCTTCAACGCAACTACGTGTAGCTGCCTGACTCATTTTTATCGTATTTCAATGTGTCGTATGCAGGAAAGCTTACCTCGACGTGACCAGGTCCCACCGCCAACGATGACGACGACACAACCAATTCAAAATGAGACCGTAGTCATTAAAATGATCGAAGAGGAATCAAAAACAAAATCAACTAGTGGATATCTTTACTATCAGGTATTTCAGTGTGAAGATGGAATATATCTATTTATAATCTTGGAAGGTTGTGACGCATCCATAGCAAAGACTTTTGAAAAGTCAACGGCAGTGTAAACACTCTTTCTCTCTTCTATTTTTCTAAATGAATTAGGTCCAAGGACCTCAGGGACCACAAGGCTTTCAGGGTCTACAGGGTGCACCGGGACCTAAGGGAGACAAAGGTGACCCCGGTCGAGATGGTATCCCTGGCACCTCAGGAATTTCGGGTCCACCAGGACATATCTTCGTTATTCCTGTTTGTAGATATTCTATGTACTAGATATTTGTCTCACATATTATGCCTTTTGGTTAGGAATGAAATAGCGTCGTTTGCTAACCTTCAGATAACTCCTCTCTTACTTTCACAAAAGAATCACCACAACAATTAGCCTTTTAGTCGCTTTGAAAAGCTCGAAGTAACTCTGGTCTAGCATTAGTCGCCGCTCCATCATGCCTGTAATAGTGCTCAGTAAAATAGGTCCTGTTTCAGTATAGATATACGCTCATTAATTTGCTCCATGGATCAACAGTAACTGTTTATGTGCAGTGCAACGTAAATGTTGAAACAATTTCATTATCTTAGAACCAAACGTAGAATAAGACCTGCACACTAAAAGATACAAATGGTTGTTCCACTGTGAATTGCAGTATCAACAGGCGACCGGCAACACGGGAATCAAAGGGCCAGATACTAATATTAAAGGTCCTGACAATACCGAATACCTTCGCCAGATGCTATCCCAGCATATGGTAATAACCCATTTAGTCAGTTCTGTTAAAATCGTTATGTTTGTTCACAAAGGTCTATTTCGTAATAATTTGGTTAATAGAATTGTCGTATTCAGGTCATGAGAAATTCGCCATGCGTAAGATACGTAATTGTGGAGCACTGTTCTTCAGCAATGGAGGGCAAACTCCTACCTAAACCGATGTTCGAACGTTAAATAGACAAGAAAATTGTGCGACTAGTTAAGAGACAACACCTGCCCCTCTGCGATCGAACGAATTAATGGCTCGAATGCCCCAAAACGTATATATACCTGGCGTAGTTCATAGAGGAAGATAATAAAGGTCTACGGCGTGATCCTTTCTTGTGTTTTAGGCGGCCATGAAAGGCGCCCCGGGACCTCGTGGCCTTACTGGTCTCCCTGGCCCTGTTGGCCCCCCAGGACCCGGAGGTGAAAAAGGAGACAATGGCGACCCCGGACCGGAAGGTGCATTCTTATTTCACATTCGACTATATCTGCGTTTATATTTTTATTGTAGTATACATGTTTTGTGCAGGGAAAACGTTGAACAAAAGTCACTTTTGAATTTGTCTGATTATACATGATTACTGTTTGTTGTGTTGAAACGTACGCTTGATAACAGGGTCCCGCGGACCTCGCGGTCATCCAGGCAGCCCCGGCAAGATGGGTCGCAGAGGACAGAGTGGAAAAGACGGCAAAAGAGGCCTCACGGGACCTATCGGCTTCAAGGGCGAACAGGGTAAGAAGAATGACTAGCTTTAACGCGCCCTTAAGCAGGGCATGAAATACCAATGACTACGAGCAGACGATACAACCGTGAAAACAGCCCCCCCCCCCAAAAGCTAGTTATTTAATAGAAAGCGAACGATTAAAAAAATCTATTGTACTTGACAGAACTTGACAACTTAAATCTGACCTTTTTCCAACACTTAATTACTTCATATTTATGTCTGGATATACTACCGATTATTGAGATTCTCCATAGAGAGGCGCCTGCATATTATACGATGAAAGAATCTTGTTATATTTTGCCATATATGTATTCATGCCACTTTTTTAAAGCAGATAGTTCAAAAGGAAGACAGCGAAGTGTTTTATCAGTCTTTTTTTAGCTTGTATTATCATATACGCGTCGTTTACAGTAATAGTAGTGCCTAATAAGTACTGAATTGTCGAAGTGACGTTTTCTAATTTCACCTTAACTCGTTATGAGGTTTATTACAGGACACCCAGGCCATCCTGGAGTGCCAGGCGATAAAGGTGACCGTGGTTACCAAGGGAATCCTGGGGAATCTGGCCACGTTGGAGCCGACGGCCCGCCCGGAGAGGTATCGTCGTTTCAGAAAATGCTCAAAACCTTTGAACCCTTTCTATTCAGTAAAATCTTTTGCTTAATCGATCGACGCTTGCAGCATTGTTATTGATATTATAACCTATGCTCAATTGATGAACTACGTGTTTTTTTAGCACGAACGTGTAGTTTGTATGAGATCAATTTAAGCCTCACAGATTATAGGCGAACGCTTCGCGTTGTTATTGCTAACATAGACGACTTCCTATTGCCGCACAGATAGGACCCCCTGGATCGCCTGGTCTACCTGGAGAAATGGGTCCTCGGGGCTTCCCAGGGCCTCGCGGCCATGCTGGCATACCGGGCCCACCAGGAATTCCTGGCTCTGAAGGCCCAGTTGGACCGAAGGGTAACGAGGTAAGTTCGTACAGTGACTTAGTGAAAATAGACGAGTATTGATGGTAACATATTACAACGTCCCCAAGCTACAACAGCTATATAAGCTATCAATATCTTTGAAACCGTGAGAAGGTTACGTCTTCGGTTTTCCACTTACGGCTTTTCTTATATGTACGACAATCTAGCTTCATTGTACACTATTTGGTTACCAACTTCTTTGTTATGTGACAGCAAAAGGTTCGTAGTTAGGTTATAATTTTTGTTGTTTCTTGGTACTGATTAAAAACAGGGACCGCCTGGCGCTCCCGGTCAACCAGGTCACATCGGTCAGACTGGTCCGACCGGCCCTCAAGGTCCACCGGGAATTCCGGGACCAATGGGAGCCAATGGACCTCGCGGAAAACCTGGGCTCCCAGGACTGCCTGGAGCTGAAGGACTGCCCGTAAAATTTTTATGAGATCCCGCTTATAAGTCATGTGTTGTATAGCATAATACATTAGGCATGATTGTGCGGATATGAAACAATATGGGTACGGATTCGCGAACGATAGCTTTACATATGTCCTTGAGACAAAGTAACAACAGCTATATTTCCACTTTTTGTTCGTTTAACTATAGGGTCCTTCAGGCAACTCAGGCATGCCAGGAGTCAAAGGTGACACTGGGCTTGTAGGACCTCAAGGGCCGGTTGGATTTCCTGGTCAGAGAGGTCACAAGGGTGACACCGGATCGAGAGGACCACAAGGCAGCAAAGGGGATAAGGTTCGCTTATATTTTTCGTACATTCTGTTCAGGTACATCTCAATAACAGTTCGGTTGCACTCACTACATCAAATAGAGCAAGTACTTGGAAAGATGACGGTATATGAACATTTTTTAGGGTGCAACCGGACTTGAAGGCCAGAAGGGCGACCTTGGCCTTAAGGGTGAGACAGGACCCCAGGGCGCAGATGGTCCAGCAGGAGCTGAAGGCCCTGAAGGACCGAAAGGTTTTGAAGGACTTAGAGGGGAACGAGGACCACCGGGCGATGTAGGTGAAAAAGGCAAACAAGGAATTCCAGGTTTTCCCGGCTATCCAGGTGCTAATGGACCTAAAGGCGAAAAAGGCTTCCAAGGTAAACCGGGTCCAAAGGGATTTAAAGGTGACCGAGGAATGCAGGGTCCCCCAGGTGAGAGAGGGCCTATGGGCCCACGAGGTAATCGAGGACCTCGCGGGAGACCTGGAAAAACAGGAAATCAAGGTGAAAAAGGAAGTATTGGAGAACCCGGACCACCAGGACAACCTGGAGAACGGGGTGAACAAGGACCGGAGGTAAGCAGGATCATGAAATCGAGACTACTTCTCTGGATGTTTTTTCTCCTCCAGGAGAGTTTGTCTATGAAGATTCTAAAAGTAATTAGATGCAACTTCTTGCGTGATGCATGATAATTGGGTGTCTCTTTTTAAATAACCGGTAAAATGAAATCTAGCTTAATATTGCATGTAAAGCGTGGATACTTTTTCTTAGAGAATCGCCATGCTCATTGTTTTTATATTAGGTAATAGAGGTACAGGTCTGAAATAGTTTTCATAATTTATAGGGTCCTCGCGGTTTTACCGGGCTTACTGGTGCCCCGGGTATTCCTGGGAAAGACGGAGGAGTTGGAGGTCCTGGCGAAAGAGGTGCTCCAGGAGAACGCGGGGTAGCTGGTCCCATTGGTCCTCCAGGGCCTGTTGGTCCTGCGGGTCCTAGCGGGGAATCCGGAACCGCCGGCGATATCGGTCCCCCAGGTGCCGTAGGTGTTCCGGGGGAAACTGGACCTCCCGGCGAGACCGGCAAAGACGGACCTCCGGTCGGTATCCCTAAATATCATATTAGACAAGTCTAAACAGCTTTATATTATTGAAATCTTCGGACGTAACTCTCGATCAACTTACAAAACTTCGTAATTTTTTTTAAATGTCTAAATCTTTTTCCTTTTATTTTAAGCGTAGGAACTTCATTACTGGAGAAAAATGTCTGCACAAAAACTCAAATCGGTAATCCGAACTTCATCCTTGAAATGGTCTTTACCGTACTGTGGGATTTAGGCCTTTTGTGTAGGCCTAATGTAGTTTTCACATTGATCATGTGAAAAAAACTGTCCATCATATAATTCCAGGGACCAGCTGGACCGCAGGGAAACACTGGGGTTGTAGGCCCGCCAGGGTTACCAGGACCACCAGGAGAACCAGGACCAGCGGGTCCTCGTGGCCACCCTGGAGGAAAAGGAGAAATCGGTCTTGTCGGTGCTACCGGACCTATGGTATGAGCTCTATCCTAAATAATAATTTGATTTTCATTTAAATCAAATATATTGTTTAAAATATGATAATCAGGGCATAACAGAAACAGATTCTTTTTATCTCCACAGGGAGAAAAAGGAACGCTTGGTGCTCCTGGCGAGCCTGGTCCCCCAGGAGAAAAGGGACATCACGGCGTCGTTGGACCCCAAGGAACTCCAGGACCAAAAGGAGACAAGGTATGTATTCGATGTTAGTGGTTCATATATTTCTTCGGATGCGCTTCCTATTTTCGTATTCCTTTTTGGATGCAGAATAAAAATGACATTTAGAGTCAAAACGTTTGCTAGTAGAATTTAGGAAATCTAACACAGAAAAACGCACGACTTATTAAATATTTTTGAAAGTAGGCAGCTCACGCACAAATATAATAAATCATTTACTACAAATGAACTCGCCAAATACAAGAGAAACTCTACGCAGGCCGTCTAAAATTTTCAAGTGAAAAAAAAGTGCATGGTTTTTTTTATAGGGCGACATTGGTGTTCCGGGTTCAATGGGTCGCGACGGTCTTCCCGGCTCAAGAGGTCTGCCTGGGCTTCCGGGGCCGACTGGTGGCCCAGGTGAAGATGGAGATAAGGGCGACGCCGGAGCTCCCGGCCAAAAAGGTTCTAAAGGCTTCAAGGGTGATGCGGTAAGCCTAAGACCTCTTCAACAAACATTCCTTGCGTTAGCTAATGTTGGTGAAAAAATAAATCTCCTAAAACCTATTTGAGTTACTGAGCATATCTGTATAGCATGTACCTGTCCATAATGAGCTTAATATTGTAACTACGATTGGTAGCACCTATTTTTAAGAATTATATTAATTCCTTTAGGGATCACCTGGACCAATCGGGCCAATCGGACTACGTGGAGAACCTGGGGCTCCAGGCGCGATCGGTGAGCCAGGGCCACCTGGAAGACCAGGCGCAAGAGGCATTAAGGTTTGATACCAATCCTTTAGAGCGTATTGTATATGGAAAATCTTGACCCGTTATGTGCATTAGCCTGAGATAATAGCTTTCTCACCAAATGTACTGAATGTAATTGAAATTTGGCATACGTGCATTTTTTACCAATTACTTCATTAAACATAACGACTTTAGGGTGAAGAGGGGCCAATTGGACCACCTGGACCTGCCGGTGCTCCCGGAAAGCAAGGCCTACCAGGACCTTCAGGTGACAAGGGCATTAAGGGTGACGATGGCAAGCTCGGCCCGCCCGGATCTGCTGGTCAACCTGGTGAACCTGGTCCCGTAGGCCCTAAAGGCGTTGATGGTATACCTGGCAGTCCTGGTCTTACAGGTTTACAGGGTCAAAAAGGAGAAGATGGAAAACCTGGCATACCAGGACCACCAGGTAAAAACGGAATTCCGGGAACCGTTGGCCTACCAGGTCCTAAGGGCGAAGAAGGAAAATCAGGTCTACCGGGACCGGCTGGACCACGAGGTCCGCCAGGAATTGAAGGGCCTAAAGGAAACCCCGGAGCGCCCGGTTTCCCGGGAGCAGCAGGAGAGGCCGGCAAACCTGGAACTAAAGGCGAACCTGGAGCTCACGGCGTTAATGGAGCACCTGGAGAACCTGGACCCCCTGTAAGTATTTGGTATAAAAAAACACCTAGAACCTATTCCAACCCGTTCGATCTTATGTATATTATTCAACCATAACATTATTATATTATTATACATACAACGCAGGTATTTATTATGCACATATATTTATATAACATTCAACATACAATATAATGTATAATACCTGGCTTGCTAGATTGTTGTTTGCCCCCGGCAAACCGTATAAAGCAGCTCTTTTAGTGGGTACCACCGATTAAAAATGAAAAAAAATTACACTTGTAATCGCACGAATTTGACTCAGGGACCTCAAGGTGAACCTGGAAAAATGGGTCTTCCCGGAGGACCTGGCAAAGTTGGACCCATAGGTCCAGCTGGCGCTCAAGGAGACACTGGGTTGACTGGCGAGAAAGGCGATAAAGGAGAAATAGGTCCCCAGGGTGTTCAAGGCCCACTGGGTCCGCCAGGGCCCCAGGGAGCTGTAGGATCCCAAGGCCCACGCGGAGAGACTGGAACGGCTGGAGATGTAGGTCCGCCAGGTAAAGCTGGACCTCCAGGAACACCCGGTGCTGTTGGACCTGTTGGCGAACGTGGCGAAAAAGGAGAACGAGGCAAGAGAGGCTTCAAGGGACATAGGTGAGATTACATTTACACATAATTTTGTTAGGATGATGAAAAAATCTTGCTAAAATGAGTTTGCACTTATTCTAAGTTCATTCTGCATTTACTTTTGGTTTTCTAATAGCCAAAGAGTGAAACAATTTCATTAGCTTAAAGAGTGGAGTTACTCGGAATGGTTTTGGGCTAATAGCATTCATTCGCAGCCATCGTCGAAACGACCAGTTGTCGATGCAAAATTAATTAACTCTGTTCTTCAATCTATTTTACACAATGTGGAATGCAGAGGTATTTCTGGAAGGGCAGGTCTTAAAGGAGACGTTGGAGAGAAGGGCGACAAGGGTGACACAGGACCTCAAGGTCCTCCTGGTCAGACCGGAAAAATGGTATGCTTAATGGTTTCTTCGATTAGAAAGTTTTTTGAGTAATAGTATTATTCCGACATTTCGGCCAGGCAAGACCAGAGATTACCGGCTACCAATTCTCTGCGACATAATTGTAGGTTATAATATAGTTTTAGAGTCTTACAAGCCCTTAATAACCGTAAGTATTAAAAATAGACAAGCATAAAGCATAAAGTACGTATAAACACTGGGAATAAACGAAGAAAGACGAAATCAAAATATTTTACGATGTTTATTTTTCTGGAGCCTTCACAGCTTATTTTTTTGTGGTTCTATAATTGTTCGTTGACAATATGCGTATATTGTCAAATCTCAAACATACCGTTTAATTTAAAGGGCCCACAGGGTTTCGAAGGGCAGAAAGGAGCTGATGGACCGCCCGGACTTCCAGGCTCCGAAGGACCCATTGGACAAAAAGGCAGTGAGGGTGCCACCGGACCGAAAGGAGAGACAGGGCCTCTTGTAAGTATAATTGACGTCATACGAGCTAGTTTTCAAGTATGTATATATGTATGATCAGAGAATACCTGGTAACAAGCAATGTCCAATTCGTGATCCTCCGAGCCACTCGTCAACGGTTTATAACATTTTCTATTCCGAGTCCTTTCATCTCATTTAGTTCCTAGATTGTGATTATGCCCGGTCAGGTGCATTGACTGATTACTGCAAAAACTTTTTTGTATAAAATCTATTTAAACATGTTCATATTTCGTTATTTTTCGTTTTTCCTCTATATTTATTTTTGCTGCATATTTATAGTTGGTCCATTCTAAGCTGGTTTCAATTTGTGAGTTCAAATGGTACTAACAAGGAGTACTATTTGGCGCCTGCGAAGCTTATCTAAGATAGTTTCGTCTTTTCTCAAATACGTCTCTGCTTTTGATGACACAGACTTAAACATCACGCACACAAAACCAGATCCCAACAGCCGCAGGTGTTTTAATACGCGTCGGTTAATAGAGAGCATACATAATCTATTGCCTCCACAGTGCACAACAATATTTATAATAATGGCGGATAAGACATTAATTTTTACGGTTTTTCTGTTCGGTTTATTTCTTTATAAGCCATGTTCCAACCTACGACTACCACAGCCTAACGAGTCACTGAGAGCTCAATGCATGGAATATTCTAGCGCAATAATTTCTGAGGTTGATCGACCAGTGTACATCACCAATTAAAGATACCAGCACTTGATAAGATAAGCCGCAACAACGGTATAAATTGTGATAAATAGGTTTACCCACTTTGTAATTAAGCAGCTACGTCAAACGTTATCATTAAACAATGAAATAGAAGTCAAGTTAAAGACCAGGTAGATTTGGAAAAGGCTTCTGTTTAATGCGATAACATAGTAACGAAGTTACGTTTTAACTGCCACAGGGAGTGCCCGGCCCCCCTGGGCCCCCTGGGGAAGGTCCACAAATCCCTATGGAGGCGCTTTTCCAGGTATCCACTACGAAAGGTCCCCGCAGCCGCCGAAGCGCAAATACAGTGGACTTCATTGAAGATTCGCTTAATAATGGACAGGATTCGGCCGCAACTAATACACTTACCGGTAAAAGCATGTTGAAACCTTTCAGCTTGATCATTATTGCAACGATTTGACGGATGGCTATCAATGCAAGTGGCAAAACGTACTTCCTAAAAAATTACATACCTGTTAAATATTCATTTTACCGTCTAATTAGTTGTAATAGGTAGGACAAATAGGTATAGAGCCACAAACAATAAAATTGAACTTTCCGCCATTTTTGAAAGGAGCACCAGTAACAAAACGTATGAAAATGAATTTTAATATGCCTTTATTGATCCTTGACAAAGAACTGTAGAAGATACTAAGCCCATGTAAAACTGGTCCGTTACCGATAGGCATTTACGCATCCATGTACGTCATTCGTAAGGAGATCTCTTACCTGAAGCGACCCATGGGATCTAAGGAAAATCCCGCCAGAACTTGTAAAGATCTTTTCCTCGCCCATAAGGAAATGAAAAACGGTGAGTTAACAGAAACAAAATGGTATGTTAGTTTAGGGTGAAACACCACGAGCAGAGATGAATGCTGATTAGCAGCGCAGACCTCTCCGTCCTTTACATCCAGCACTATAAAGGCAAACTTTTTTTTAACTGTATCTAAACCTTTATTAAACGCTACTTCTAAATTAAAATGTGTTACCATTTCGCAAAATCATAAACTGATCTGTTACGGATTGACAAGACATATCGTGTAATACAATTAAGAGCTGGTACAAACTGGAAAACATGAGCTTCTTTCTAATATAATTTCTCTGGATCAGGAATCATCACTGATTAAATCTGTTAAACTCTGACACATTCAGCAATAACAGAGTCATCGTGTTTTCCGATCTTCTCACGTCAGGCTGGTACTGGATTGACCCTAACTTGGGTACGCCGGACGATGCCATTCACGCCTATTGCGACCTCCGCGCGAGTGGACAGACGTGCGTGTTTCCAGATGAAGCTTCGGCCAAAACTCCACTCCGCTCGTGGAAGGCGCCTCAAGGTTTGAATCCGGTTACATCTGACGTCGCTTTCAGCCAAATGGAAGACGGCTTCCAGGTATTAATAATTTGCGACCACTTCTATTGTAGGCGCCGTAGATTATGGTTATCTGATCAACTAACTACTAATGGTGCTTATAAATATAATAACTCAACAAGTTTGCTAATCTTTATTTAGTTTTAGTATTAATTATTCTTCTTAAGTAGTTTCTCGATGTTGTTTTTCGCTGAAGATTTCGTATGACTTAGTCGGGTCAGTCCAGCTACGTTTCCTTCGCCTATTGAGCCGTTCAGCTTACCAGAACCTGACGTATATCTGCGCCGATTCCGTCGCATGGTTTTCACAAGAACGCAAAGACTACTCGCTAGCGCTTCAGTTCATTGCTGCCGACGATGAGCGTTTTACAAGCCTTGTCAATCGCCCGACGGTTGCAATGGACCAGTGCCAATATGCCGGAACCGGATCAGCTGAGCTAAATGAAGGCCGAAGTGTGTTTGAATTCAAGACCTCACGTACCGAACGTCTTCCAATCGTTGACTTGATTCCGAGAGACTTCGGCCGAAAACCAAGACAGAAATTTGGATTCGAAATTGGGCCTGTATGTTTCTATTAAACAACAAACTGCCACAACCTAATACTGGGTCATTAGCGAAACACAAGGCAACGCTCAATTAAGCAGAAGCCCGTTAACGATTAGGTTGTTGTTGTATATCTCAAACTAACATATGAGAAAGTATAACAGGAAACACATATTTCATTTAGAAATTTAGAACCGGCCTTGCATCTACACACAAATATAAAATCAGGTGCGCAAGAACGCAGTAAACAATTCCAATAACCAGCTCACGTAGCCTGCCGTTATGGGGAGCGCGCTCAGGCTGAGCACGCTAACCTGGAAAAATCATACGCATACATATGTCCTCATTCATTAAAATAACGTTACTGCAGACGTGGCCGTTGTGTCCTATTATGGTAAATATTGTCTTTGAATATAAAAAAATAGTAGCATCTAACAATAGTTCTGGGCGAGTACACCTGCGACGCGTCTGGCTGCAAGTGCATGGCGTGATCCACGCACTTGCAAGCAGACTAAATAACTAACTGAACACCTACGATAGGAACTTGTACATGCACAAATAAACAGTACTTAATTAGTTTGCTTACTACTGGAACTCCGTCACGCTGCTATCTCTAGCATTGGCTATAACACCAGTTAGAACCGCAATATTATCGAAATCACGCTATATGCGATAATCTTGTCGCAGTCACAGCATTTGTATTATAGCAGTCACTATCTGTAGCATACAGAGAGTATTACATTGTAGCGCGCCTGCACTGTAAAAAGTACTTTACTGCCGTCCAGTGTCACTAGGTAACCAAGTAGACAATATATATATATATATATACGTATGCCTGAAGCAAAAATACATAAACGAAAAGAATTTATGACGCTACAAATAGGTCGAGGTGAAACATACGAAAGTTAGCACAGTTCCAAGCAAGTTTAGGCTGGCAGTAGACCGAACTGCTCGCACACAATGTTTATATATTGAGGTGACAGTGCTTTTTAGACTGACACTTAACTAAGAATAAAGTTTGTAACTCTTACTTTAAAATACTGTGTTTTTCTCTTAAAACTTCTTGATAAACTATATGTGAAATGATATTCAGAACATCACACATCTATGGCACTTGTCAGGTTTCATTCACACGTCAGTTCGATAGCTAACACATGGCAGCGCACCCAGAATGTGGAGAAAATGAGGCCACTCGTTGATTTCTATTAATTTGAGAATGGATATGTCATTCAATAGGATCTGGAAAAGCACCAGGTCTATCCAATAGCATAAGCCATAAACGTGAACAACTGGAGGGTCAGTCAGGTCCTGCAGAGTAAAAAACAACACATATATTTAATGTATATTCGGTTGCAGTGATTTGATTCATAACAAGTGATCGGGGACAGGCAGAATGAAAAGGCTCATCTACGTATATGCCATGTAAAAAACTACTAACTAAACGCATCTATATAAAAGGCTATTAGAGTCTAACTCGTTGTCAGAAAACGAAGCATCTATTATACTCCTCACGTTTCAGCATAATTGTTATTTTTACGCAAGCTAATTTTACTATAAATGAATAATGTGTAAGATAAACTCAGAATTAGGTTTTATCTCGACTGAACCATACAGACACGCACTGCGTTCCTCTAAATTTTCTTGTCTCCAACGTAACAACGGGATACAGTGCTATACGCAAATAGATCGCCATGAACCAACTGCCATCAATGAGGTCTTTCCTTGGAAGACGACCGAAAGAAGCATCCAGCGAGGGTAGATAGACGGGGCATAGTTCACAAAATAAAACCAGCCCGCATATTCTCACTTAGCCGTAGTATAGCGACCTATTTTACCTGCCCTTTTGCATGGTCTAGTTCTTGCTGGACTTGCCACGTCAGCCACCTACAAATGACCACTGGAAGGGCCGATTGAAGAATGACACAGGGCTTGCCAACGGGCTCGTATCAGTAGGCTCCGATCAGGGTCTCCGTGTCGGAACCGCGTAACACAGCGAGTCTATCCATTCTAGCATTAGAGGAATTTTGAGAGCGGACGAGCACAAACTGTCTGGCTGTTTATATGCTTCTTGTTCCATTCAGCTTTTACGATGATTTGAAGTCAACATAGATAGAACAAGTTGTCTATGTAGGTTTCGGAGTGAAGATGCGAAGGAATTTAGATCAGCAGATCCGTCTGCTCTCATCACTAATTATCGGCCTTACGAATAAGATTAACGAAGAATAATTTAGCTCTTAATTGACGAGTTCTCACTTGCTACGAGTTTTTACACCGGAAAACATATACGTTTTGTAATTCATCTTGTTTAAATAAAGTGGTCGTAAATAGTTTCGCTGAGACATTTTACACGCCTCTTTTTTCTGTGCAAACTCGATGCTTTGATAGGCTCTTCTTTAAGCAGTCTGTAAAGGATTAATATTAACATAACGTATATTTAATCACAGAAATTTCTAGAAGGGACTGAAAAACAAAATTGTCATTACTCCACTTCGGTTTTGCACTTTGAACGGCGCTCTAATCAACCAGTCTTTTACGGTCAATGCAATTTTTGCATGCGATAATGCCACACCGAGATGTGCTGAAGAGGCCTATTGCTCAACAGCTGTTGAAAATTACGTTAAGGAATGGTAAAAAACCACCACATAAAGTTGTATAATTCTGATATAGCAGCGCTTTTACCTAGGTATTGTATAATAAATATGTTATATTAAAGTCAGACCTGCAAATTTCTGCTCATTAAATTTATTATCAGGGTATATACCTATAACAAATCAAATTAAAACGACTAAGTAACGAAGCAAACCCTTTTTCACTCAGAAAATCATTTTTGAAGTGCGTTCAGTGGTCTTAACTACATGATCTTCATAATTTTACTAAGGACCCTGAAAGCCCTTAACGCCTGCATCCTAAAACTCCGCTGTTTCGTCCTATGCTGACACGCCCCATTGAGCAATCTATAGATAGGGTTTGAACGAATATCATGTTTGCAACGCGTATTTGTGCATTGCATCCTGGTATTTGCCTTATAGTGACATTTTTTGGCTGCCATTCGGATGACCTCTTCGGCGCGATATGATTCCTTTGGGGACGAGCAGAGACAAGAAGCGTGGGTGCAAATGAGCGACGTTTATTTTCGCACATCTTCACAGAGCAGAACGAAGCCCTTAGCGTTGCAGCTGAAAGATCTTCACATTTGCACGATACGGCGTATCTACGTACATGCGTAAGAAGATTGTGTAACGGGGCTCATCAAGACGAAAAGCGGAAAATTTAAATTTTTAAAACTAGGCTCCCTATACGAACCGCCCTTTATGCTGTACAAGTGCGCCAAACTCACACAGCAACTGCAGACCTGCAACCAGCGTTTTAACGGCGGTCTCCTTTTCAAAAACGAACGTAGCCAGACCGCCTGCCTTCTCTGCTACCGCCTCGCTCTGTCGACAAGGCCGTTTCTAAATGGACGACGACCACTTTCCGGTGCTCCGATCCGTTAACTGCTTGCTTTCGACCTTCCCATTTGCGTTACGGACTTCTTTCATTTGCCCTGCTTGTGCCGCGCTTGTTAAAAGCATCGTCCGCCCATTGCCATACGAAAAAAGCACGTCGACGTGTCTTTAACGGGAATGATCTAGCCACCTTCTTAGTTGGCCTGACGATGCGCAGCAAATTATGCAGATTTATCGGCCGGCATCAGTGACTGGTGGCGCGAAGTGCTAACTGGGAAGCGAGTGGTCCCTGTGGGAACAGACAGAGCCCGCGAGAAGGAAAAAGGGAAAACAACGGGGTCAGAGAAGTAAAAAAAATGTGTCTTATGTCTTTCCTGCTGCTAATACTGGTGTGCTGAAGGCGGCGGTCATTGCCGGGTACTTACGGTACGTCGTCACAAGTTGTCATCACTAACACCGCCGTCATTGCATCTGGCGCCTGCCAATCGTTCTTATTGACTACACCCTCTAGAAACACAAAGAACGTTAAGGACTGCTCACTCGGGAGAAAGTCCTGAAAACTATTATAATTACTTGGCCTCTATAAGAAAGGAAAAGGAGAAGAAACATATTGTAACAACTTTTAGGAACTCTCATGAGTTGGCCTGAACCGAACAAATCCCAAATAAGTCGGTATCTGTCCAACAATCTATAGCATAGCGTATATAAATATACGAGGTAGTACTACATTATAATAATCATTTAAGTATAATTCCTTCAGAAGACGTCATGAGGCTGCATGGGCATAACGGGAGCTAAAAAGCGTTTCTTTAAGAGGTAAATAACCTCGCTAATTGTGAAACTGTGCTAGAAGTTTGTTTTTAGACAATATTCATCCTGGAAATGGTTCCGAACAGGACTTCTTAACTCACTTTTTTTTTTTATAGCATTTAACATTTGTCAGTAACTACACAAATAAGCAAATCAGTTTGCACAAATCATGAATAGGGCGGCGTTAAATGTCCATTTGTTAAACAATATTTGCATTGGTCATCTCAGTGTACTCTTGAGTTGGCAAGGTTTTTAATTACAATAAGATGAGCAGCGTCTACAGTAGTTACCGTTATCAAATTTACAGAATCACAACAACATAGCTGTCTTGCACTTTTAGATTCCTCGCCATTATCAATTAGCTGCCTAGTACACTTGCGGCTAGCTAAGTTTTCCTAGAGGAAGAAAAACGAACTATTAGTCCGCCTGGCGGTACCTGTCGAGCATATAACGAAATAAACGAAACCTAGCGACCGTTCACCATTTTCTCACTATGATTGTGGCCGTTAAACACTATTGATTTCGTAGACTGCATTAGTCCAGTATGGGACTCGCTTGAAGAAAGGCTTAGCCTATGGAAGAACGACCAACTGGGTGGATCGCTAGCAACTGTTTGAACGCGATAGCGACTAAAGAAGGCCCCCGACCTCTGCTGGATTCATCCTTTGAACAGTGACTGTAGTAGGCTGCGGGGCATCCCTGCGCCTAAACTTCCCTGGTCTCAGTTGGTTAGAGACAACGAAAAGGCCCAGAAATGACATGAAACTGTCCCTTGTCGACCACTTCATAGTCAGTTGCAGCTGGAGGCATAGCTGCCGAGTGACTTTATTTCCACTAGTTGGTAATAGTAGACAGCAAGAGCAACAAGCCACAAAGTTTATTTCGCCTGAAAGCTTCATAAGCGAAGGCGACAAAGAAAGTAAGCTTGCTAGACTATTCCCTTGCGAACTTTACAACTATAGCTGAAGCAGAAGAAAGGGATAGACGAATAGTTCATTTGATAGCTTGTTGAGCACTCTGCTAGGATGTTTCATTCGTTGAGATTGAAGTTGAAAATTACGCCAAGATAGGTAAGAATATTCTTTGATGGCATTAGGTACCGTAGTTTTATATTTGTTCACTTTATTTCACGAAAAACAAGTTGCCCTTTGGTGCTGCTTATATTTGCATCCGATTAAGCTACAAATAAAATTCAGTGACGCGATCCAATTATACCTGGATTACCTAATAGTGCTTCTGCGATATGAATGACAGACAGATGTAAAATTGGATCAGTGAATGCTTATATATATATATATATATATATATATACTTATACATATGCTTAATCAGGTCTTTATTGTCGTTTTGTAAAATTATTTCAGATCCTTCCTGGAGGATAGCCGTACGTTAGCCTACGATGAGCATTTGAATGAGCTTAGGTGTCAGGACAACATGTCGTTCATTATTTTCTTTATCTGATCGCACTTATCAGGTAATACATATCAATCGCGTATTACATGTTGTTTATGTGATCGACAAGGCAAGCGGTGGTGCGCATATATTTACTGCATCACAACTAGGTACTATTGTTAGGGGGATCGAGAGCTTTGTGGGAGAATACGAGGGCTTGTAGTGGGACCCGGGGGCCTCGATCCACAGACTCGGAAGCATTTCACCAAGTCCCAATTAGCAGCACTGTATGTCATTGGCTGGCAGGTTCCTGAAGAAACAAAGCGCCGGTCCCAGGTGAAACACGGCGGACAATCCAGACCAAAAGTTCGGAAACCATGACGACACGATGACACAAAGAAGTACAAAGCACCGTCGAGAAATATTCTATTCAACCACCCTTTCATCACCCTACAGTCAACTCCGCGGTCCAAATCAATGACCTCCCTGAGAAATATTTAGAAACGCTAAGTACCACGCTCTAGAATTGTCAAGGTGTCCGCACCCCTAGCTTCCTACTGCGCTCGACCTCTCAAGGCGCATATAATAGTCTCACGTAAAATTTGGACTAACGCACCATCTAGTGTCCCGAGTTTCTACGCAGTGCACTAAGCAACAGCTAAACCAGAAGCTAAAGAAGGGCCTAACCGTGGTAGCGCGTTATTCTATAATCAGTGCCTAGGCGATGTGCGAGTACTTGGATCGTAAGACAACCTACTTGTTCTAGAGGGTCACAGGCTTAGCATAATAGCAGGCAGGCTATGAACGATGAACAATATGAGTAGAGAAATTGACGGGGACATTCAGTACCTTAGCTTTAGATCACCAACAATCGTAATAGGCGACTTCAATTACAACCAAGAGAAACTCGAATAAGGCATTTAACACATCAGCAGACTCTGGATGCTAAATTATGAGCGACATTTACTATCGCGATAGGGTACTCTACTGGTGATGTGCTCACGACCGACTTGTTTGTCTCTTGAATTGCGTGCCTCAGACCAAGGGACCCCTCAGGTATTGGGGCTTCATTTAGAAGTCACTTACCTGTGGCTATGCGCATCTCTCTGCCAAAATCCGATACGTCAATTTTAACGCAAACAGCTCTGGCAAGAATGCTGAACACAGAAAAACTTTGGAAGGGTTGCCATTAACTCTTTTCTACTCCAAAGCGATTCGACGTCAATCAGTGTAACGCCTTCCTTCGATATACCGACGCAATTGGGAGACTAAACCACGTTGTAACAGCCCATAGTTCAACGAAATATGCAGGAATGCTGTCTAAATCCAGATGAATATCTGCCAGCTAGCCATAATTTATTCAGGGATCCGTCCCCTTCTCATTACTTTATAAAAACGGTGCAAACAAATATGCCAAACTAAATGAAGACGACACTTTGATACGCAGGAGACTGCTTTCTTGCTTAAGGCAACACAACATTTCTCTATCTGCCTAGAGCGGCCTAAATATCCTTCCTATCCCTTAAGAACAAGTATTCCTCTTGTTCATTTTCGGTAGATGTACGCCTCCAGGAACACCACGTTGAGAAAATCACTGTGAGTGATAAGCGACATAAGGGCTGCGATGGCTACCGACGTTACGGTCGGTGAGGTGGCTGCCGACGTTACGCCAGTTTAAGCCTAACACGGCCGGTTAGGTCGGGACATCTCAAGGAATTAGTACTGTTAATTCCATAGTAAAGTACGCCTTACAATGGCGGTCTACGTCACGGGGAATACGGGACAGCTGGCGGAAGGCAGCCCTTGCCGTTACCTTAAAAGGCGATGGCTATCTTCAGAAATTGAGCTCGTAAAGACGAATCACAAAAAAAGAGTCCCAAACCAGCCACACTCTTCACGCATCTCTTTGCTATCCTAAAAACTCGAGGCATGATTTCGGATGAGCAACACGACTTCCGTAAATAAAATTCAATGATGGCTGCTTGCTAAATCCTGTTTGCCAAGATAAGACCCGTCGTAAGCACAAAAAGTAGCAAATAATATATTTATGCTATAATTGTCGATTTTAAAGCGGCATTTGATAAAGCACTGAGGGATGACACGTTGTTTAAGCTCGTCCCTACAAGCAACTCATTGCTTCGATTCTGCAGGAGAATCCAATTACGATACAAGATGGCGTGACGGAACCGAATCATTTCCGACAGATGGTAGGACCGGCTAAGGCGATCTCCGAAACAAGATAATCGGAAAACGTAACCTCGTGAGAGCAGATGTTCTACTTCGCGCCAATAATCTCGCGATGTGCGGGGCAACTCGGTTTGAGGGGCAGTAAACATTCGTCTGCTTTTAGCAGCCAATGAAATCAACTTGGAAAAGCCTTGAAGTGCCAAAGAGCAGGACAACCAGCAGCAAGTGATACTCTTCGGTTGCACTACTCGCTTCCGGAACACGTAAAGTATTTCTGTTATCTAGAGTTGATTTTAACGTGTTAGAGTTCACAACATCGAGTACGTAACAAAACCCGTCAGAAAAACATTAGCAGCGAACGCCACCATAGGACAGCCGTCTTTTCTTTCCCTGAATATGGCAATAATGGACGGAATATAGAAAAGACACACAGAAAAAGACCGACATGTGATTGACTGCCTCGCTGTGTACGGCATATATAGTGTTGTATGTGTGCTAATGAATCGTACAATGAGCTAAACGGAAATTGCCTCTGTGTCTGATGCGAAGGCTCCTGTGGACGATGTTATGTCCAAGGGCGTCTCCTTTAAAGTATGGCGTAGAGAAGTACGGCACAATCAATCGTAACTCTCCGTGCTATATATTTTATTTAATTTGTTTTTAACGTTCCTATTCTATTCTAAAAATAACTTGATATTGTCTATATATAAGGTATCTCACAAATGAAGAAAAACAAATGTATGTATATTAAATTCTAATGAACAATCCGGTTCACATCGTTCAGATATGGTTTCGGGTACATAATGAATAAAGCGGGGGGATATAGCTCTGCGCAGTACTAGCACACCCGGCAAGGCCAAAAATATGATAGAGGGATAGACTGAGACAGAACTATTGAATTTACAAATCCACTAACTCTTCCTGCAAGCTTTGCTTTGAAGCAATATTTGAGTCAGTTTTAAACATAGGCCCAAGTACCTCGCAGGACTTCTTCTGACAAATATCTCAGCAATGAAGGCTACGTTTCCTTAAAATTATTAAGAAAACATTTTAAAAAAAGTAATAAAATGACAACGATTTCTAGTTAGCTTAGACTGGTTCAAGTCTGCTTCCTGGCTGAGCCTATCGTTGCTTGACAGAAACGAGTGCTTTACATCTACTCGCTCTGAATCCATGTAGTCGCAAACGTGTACCTTTCCACAGATCAATGTATTATTTTTTCTGCTATAATTCGGTCACGTTTATTTGGTACGATGATCTCATCCTGCACTCGATATCCCCAGAACGAACGCCCAGAACCTCTAGCTTGCTTTTTCTAGACCTTTCTATGTTCTCTTCACGTACTTGTGCGGCAGCATTCGTAATTCTACCAATGGGAACCCCCAATAACCCTTGACGCGATCGGGGTGACCTGCACGAGACTGCGGCAACGGGCCCAGACTCCCAAATCTACCAACAATCCAAAGTGCACCTTGTGTTGTAATAGTGAATCTGCTCACCCTGCTCAATACGGTTGATGCTTACTTGCCAGCTGGGAATCCGCGGGTTCCTGGTCGACGGAGAGTGGAGAAAAACCTACCCAAGCCGGTGCATATCGCAGCCGCGTACGAACTCGTCTGCTCGAGCCTATAGTTTCCTATCCACCAAATAGTGCATCCCAGCGTATGGTTCTGCTAATGTTCGAATACAGGAAGGCTTCGGTTGATTTTGGCAGGACCGATCGTGATTCCGTCGGAATGATCCAACACAGAATATGGTTGTTAAGGGTGATCCCACTAACAATTCATCGTTCTCGCAGCAGCGGTATTACAGCCATGCATTGAACACTGGTTCATTAATTTATACGCTGAGGGTGTTTCTTCAAGGATGGTCGTACAAGCAGTTTCACAGTGTCAACGCGCGCGAGGACTATTACTCGGGAGTACTAACACTGTGATAAAGGACAGAAAGATTTAACAATGCTCCGACGTCTCCGACCGAGAGCCTAGATTCCTCAATAGTATACGTACAACGAAAAGATTTTTCTTTTTAGTTGAAGAAATGTATTTGGTGCTTTTGGCGGACAGTAGTGTGTAATTGTTATTACTGATACATTCCACGCTTGCTAATGACGAGTTCTTTATTGACGACAGATATGTTTTGTATAATTTCTACTACTAATGAGAATAGTGCTGCTCTACGTGCGACGCAAACGGTCATACATAAAATTGTATATTTTCATGGATATATAGACCGTGAAGAGAGATCATCGACTACTAAAAGCGATACGAAATAGGGTGACTGGCCATCAAATGACGACTCGGGTTCATGGAATGGATGCCTGTTATCTGCTGTGATTTGTGCTGTTGCTGGACTCAATGCACGTCACGGATACCATTGCACTTCAGATTACGTGCAATGTATTTACTAGATCATACAGCCCACAGTAGACTCAAAAATGTATCGCTTTCTTTCTTTAGGTTCTTAAAATGAGTTTTAAGGGAAGTGACAGTTTGTCGTTCTAATTGTGGCGCGATGTTTTCTAAGTTTTGGCGCGCATGCCTCCATGGCGCTAGCATCGTTCCTCTTCCATGACAATAACAGACGGGTATCAAACATTCGAAACCTCCCCTCTCCTAGGAGCAACCTTTCTGAACGTTGATGCATGTGGGTATCTAACTTAGTGCTGAGTTTGTCTCAATTTGCCGTTCCCGGCGCTGAGAGTGTCGAGTTTACACACAGAGGCTCATCCTCAAGGCATATCTAATGCTAAGCGTCTTCAAGGCCTCATGTGATCCACAGGAAGTTGAAGCCGAAGTTTTACCGACAACTTCACTAAGGTGCGTGGAATAATATGAGTGTTCATTGTGTGCCACAGTGACAAGAGAAAATACGAGACAACACCACAGTAGACTGTGTATCGTGTCTATTATGAATTTCAATAAAAAAAAACTCTAAAACTATGAACATGGATACCGGAAAATGTATCATCAATCTTATGTAAATGAAATGGCATTTTAAATAGTTGTGGAAATTTATGAAGGACAACACACAGCGAGCTTTGGAAACCAACCGGCCAAAGCCGCTATAGGTTAGTTGGAGCTTTCGAATGTCATCGTTTGCCGAAATTACCTTCTGGGTTATCAAACAGTAAAGAAACAATAAACACAACAAGTTACGAACAAGTATGTGTAATTATGTATAAAACATGTATCGGTACATATCTGACACCTTTTCATGTCTCTTTAATTGGAACAAACTAAATGAATTGCTGATTCTACCGCGCTCGCTGCTCACAGAATCCATAGTCCTTAAATGGCTCAAACCTTCAAAGATAAAGCAAGTTACCTTGTGAATTCCCTTTAACCGCAAAAATTAGGCAAAGGTGGAGTGTTCATTTCACGTACTATAGTTTTATTTTGCTGTGAAGACGTATCAGTTCTACGATGCAAACAAACCCTATGAAATTTCTAAACTTTGGGTAAACGCTTGGTCAATAATAAAATGCTGAAATGAAAAAAAAGGATCACTCGTGCCGCGAACAGAGTTAATCGAGAAGCATTATCTTCTCTTTTTTCAGACGCCAATTTTTTTTTAGAGAAGCTAAACATCCGCTGAAAATAGACATGTAAAGGCAAGGTGAAAGTTATTCAAAAACATATTTTCAGAATAAATACACAGATTTTCTTCTTGAAAAGTTTAGGGATATTGAAAATCGCTCTTGATATGTACGAATAGAATGCACTTACGGGCAGTCATTTTAGGCAGTCTAGGTAACTGGTGCTAATGTTATTTTCATTGCACACAAATGCGCATGACAGCTAGACATTTTTTTCAATGATTAAACCAGTTTGACAGTAATAGTGTCTTTCACGTAATGTAAGAAGGTCATTTTGCTTACTTTTATCCTTTCATTAGGCTTTTTGGAGGGCTTTTATCTTTGTAGGATTATGTCGAAATGCCAAAATATACTAAAAGCTACATTTTGTATCCGGTGGCCGGAAGTACTGTGTTAAAAACAGGCCTGAGGGGTGAAACGATTGTTACAACAATCGATTTTCTCTTGCTAAGGTTAACTTTAGATACAAATGAAAGAAAGAAAATGCTCGTTATATATATACAACGTACTGACCCGAATTTAAGTACCATTGTTTATACTAGTAATCTTATTTCACCACATCTTCCGTAAATCCGGTAAAATTATCCGTAGTTTCCTTTTTCTATTGGTTTATATTGGAAGATCATTCTTTTTGAGCTCCTTTAAACTTTTAGTGTGGGGTGGCTTATATTGGGCCTAGTCCCGTATATAGAATGAGGCAAAATTAATTAGCTTCACAAGAGAGTCTTCATTAAATAAATCCGCTTATAGATCCGTTTTTTTTTTATTGCAATAGTGTACGTATCTCCCGCTACTCCAGCATATGTGACATGAAGACCCTTAAACTGTCAAAAGATCTTTGTCTTATTCTCTTCGTGCTTGGAATTCGCTGGAATATATAATATTGCAGTTGTAAAGACAGGTTCAATATATACAGCTTGGGTTATAATATTTACAGGACGAGACAGTATATAAAAAGACTGCTACAAGAAACCGGAAAAGTATTTAATTTTACTAATGGGAGGAGATTTTACCATGTTGGTTTTTAGCTCTTTTATTCCCCTTAGAGAACCTGTTCTAAAATATTATCCAGTTTGAAGAGTGTTGGGTACAGATTTGATGTAATTAATATAATCTTCTAGTCTAGTTGTTATTTTGATGTAATTTTATAAAAGTGTGAATAAGATAAACAGTCGTACGATTTACTTTAATTACCTCCCGCAGAAAATACTAATGAAGTTTTGGCACATTCAACGCGTTACGTTCTTTACTGTTCTATCACGTAGGAAGTCCCCTTTGTCATATGTCGACTGTCGCGATCAGTGCTTTCATTAAAGTATCAAGCATTAGTTGTTGCGATTGGCATACGCTGGGTTAAATGTGCATTCGTTTGATGTTTACTATGCCGATACTCCAAAACATACTGGATGGACTACGTAGGAAATTAGCTCGAATGTATTCTCAATATATTTGATGAGATAGACTGGTTTCATTAGCCAACCTCCGACTGCTCATAATACCAAGAAGCTTACCTAGCCTCTGCTTTTGCTCTCTTTGCTATAACTGGCGAGACTACATATCGGAAGCCACATCTCCTAAGTTGTAAAGCTGGTTGCAATTTTCGAAATTAGCTCCGTTCAACCTTGTATATAAAGAATATGCACGATGCATCAGAAACCGAAGCGGTGTGTTGCAAAACACAATGCACTAACAAATGTCACAAATGCGCGACATTATAAAAACGTTTACTAGTTAAAGGAATGCATCAATATAGGATATTAATAAACTAAAACAGCATGAAATTGAAATAATGTCAACGAGTTCCTTGTCATAATGGTTATTATTGCTGGTAAAGGCATGATGAAGAGGGGCTTAGAATCAAGACAGAAAGCGTTAGTGCGATATGCAACTCGAATGCGAGACAAGTCAAAGGTCACATTGTTTTTAAAAATTCGTTAGATAATATCTGCCTAAAGCAAAACAGAATCAGCTGCGCATATACAGATTCGTTTATAAAAAGTTACAGAATTTTTATGGTATTTCATCTGCACCCGATTAAAGAATGCAATAGGAATAGGGTACGAAAGAGCCTAGATTTTGCTGTACGAGTGTAGTCGCCAACGGGACACATGTACGTTGCGTTCGATGGTTAGTATGCCGTGAAGGAGATGCGTTTCTGGCAACCTCGAGACTAACCCCGGTACCATTGCAACTGTATATACTGGCGCACTTCATTTTATAAATGAATATCACTCAAGTGTAATAAAGCGTTTACACTAAAAGCATCCCTGGTTCGTATATATTTGAAAAACTGTTTTCCCACTTCCTACTTGCATTATGAATTAACTACTCCCTGTTTATTTGCTTATTAGTCATCGCACAACGTCATCATATAGTGAAATTAATAATCATTCAAGTTGAAGCAGTATATATGCACATCGGCTGTGGCAACGTTGATCAACGCCTACCTTACATTTCACTGAAGCAAACTCTGGTTTTCAGTTTGGTACTGAATAAGACATATTTGAGGTTCTTTACAAATTTCAGGATTCGTGTTTCGGAAAGCGATACGATGACAATCTTAATGGCCAAATTTAAGGCGAATCAAACCAGTGGCACAAGGTACTGTGATGCTAAACCTGCTGCATAGTAGTAAACTAACCCGTTGTCCTGTATGAAATACCTTGACGCTAATTGTTATATGTGAAACTATCGTTAAGGTCTGCTTAAACTAGTGGTTATCAACTGGTATAATATTCAAAGGCTACGGACCATCCTATTTACAACATTGGTCCCCCTCTTCGAAGTTCATACCTATACGTATATATTTAGCAACTATGCGTTCTATTAATTTAAGAACTTCACAGTCCTAAAAACACGCACTGACACTTCCGATGCCTACTTATTGTGTATAATTTTTGTGCTAAGAGGGAAGTTAATATTTATTCGGTGTCATATGTGACACTCTACATATTTGTGAATTGAATCAAAGCTGATGTTTTCAAGGCCAGCTGCTATGTCAGCATTCTGTGCGTATCCGATTCGATTAAAAGTGAAGAATGAGTCGTTGGCGAGATGTTATGTATGACTTCTACCCCTAATTGGTTTTATATAAAAAAAGCAGACGGAAGTGTCACGTTGTGTCTACTATGTTATTGTTTCTTGCGTATCGTTATGTGAGTCACATCAAGGAATCCCACGTAGTCTGCTTTTATATTAAAAAAGAAAGCAAAAAGCATCGTTGCTATGATACGACTATATTCCGCCATTTTTTATGCCGACTTATGATGCCTCCTAGTATACAAGTACTAGGTCAAAACATGTGTAATATTTTGGAGTAATGTGTATTTTGTCTCATTGTTTACGATTTCCTTTCATGTCTTAATCCATTTTTTAATCCGAAGCGGAAAAACTTATTCGGCTAGTTTTTTTTTTCAATACTCATCACTTTTAAACGTATTGTTATCAATTTAATAATTTGATTTTCCAGCTATCAGAAAATGTGGTCATAGGTTGAGACGAAATCGGAAGAATATGGCAAGGGCAGAAATCTCCTATATATATATATATTATACTAATGATCTCATTATGCTGATATCGTTCTAGTGAATCATAAAAGTTGAACATCGATTATTCAAAGGTCAAGAATTTTAATACGAACGAAAAAGTGTTGTCAGCTGGTACTCTTAGTTTTCTGATAACGTTACATGTAATACTGTGGTAACGTTTTTGTTATACTAAACGGATCTCTAATTAATCTGTAAAACAAAAAAAGAACATCTTACAATAGTGTGACCTTACGTCGTCTTAATGCTGTCTTATGAAATAGATAAACCGTTTGTTGGATAATAAATTGTTATGACAAGGAAGCTATACCACATTTTGTAGAGCCAGCCGTCCACGATGCTTTAAAATCCAAACTGGCATGCGCATTGAAGACAACTTCACATATTTTAAAACCGGAAATCATAATGAAACACTCGTAGAGAATTTTATGCTCACTAGAATTAGTTGTAGATTTTTTTCAGTTATGGCCGCATCGTTCCGAATGAAATTTAGCAGATAACTTCAATGATTTGATTGATGTCTAAATGCCTTAGGCTTTACTTCCGTTATTGCTGCACTTAAAGACAGCTTTCGACAGAAACCTTAGATCCAAAAAATCGTCAGTTCTACTCAGCATTGTTTATATCGTCATTGAGACGGCAGTAATTCACGGCATCACTGCAGTGCTTTAGGTGTCCTTATGAATGTAATATAGTAAACGACCCTTCGGTGATGGTAATGCGAAATTGCTTACTTACGGTCGAGGCTTAGTCAACGTAAAACCTATAGTCAGAATAGAACTAAATGACTTAGATCAAATGTTTATCAATTAACTAAGATAAAATTTACAGCGGAACTTATCTTTAAAATTGATAATACTCTAAACAACTGCACAAAAGGAAGCACAATGTCCTGTGCTACATATTTATTAATTTTTGATGCGCTAAATATTGCCGATTTATAGAAACAAGTTCAAACATTATTTACCCCCAGTAAAGAACTTAGCTAAAGCATATCTTAAATATAATTCCCTTTATGCTACAAAATCGCTGTTACAGCCTTTACTCTTAATTTTCATTAGTGCAGCATGTTCTAAAATCATTAGATGTTCATATGATATCGTGATTACTAGCCCACTGCTGGGAACCGACAACGGTTTGAAACGGCTCATGTACGGCTCTTCCATGCTTTGACAATAATTTTAAATCAAGAAGATCGCAGGTCTCTGATTGGAAAGCCTAATTTATCACTAACTCTGATATACCTGAGTAGCACAGCATTAACTTTATATTGTTAAGTGAAATATTTGAAGATATAGAGTTATCTTTATAGGTAAGACTGTTGTGTTGAAAAAAGTGTATCTAAAATGTGTTGTGCCTGCCAATAGATTGCGTAGAGCTCCTACGTTGTAGGTTGCATTTTTGGCATGGTTTCTGTTGATGTCATTTTGCAATACGCCGTTACTGCAATCAAAGTCGTTATTATCACTAAAATTGTTTTTATTAAGTAAGCTGATATGGCTCACACTTATGCATACACCGTAGTATTTACTGTAGATTAGAAATCCTTCTTATCTAGTGGTTATCACAGAAAGATTGTAACATAATTACAGAATTAAATAATTGAATCAGTGGTACTTCGTTTAATTAGTTATTTGTAGAACAAAATAAAGGTTCCTGATTTTGTTAGCAACCTCCATTTCTTCTGCGGGCAATTTAATGTCAGACAGAATTATTATTCTCTTCTTGCCAAATAGAACGTATTAAATAGTTTGATAGTTATGAGTTAAAAAAATCTTCATAAACCCGTCAGAAAGTGAAAGAAACAGGGCCCGACTTATATAATTCTCTGCCATGGCCTCATGGAACTATCATTGGAAGAGATATTGAGTTAACAACAATGCAATCGTTGCCGTAACTATTGATCGCCGTGCATGTCGATGGTGCAGTGAAAAGGTGTTTGGCTAATAAACTTGAGGTCACATGATCAGAAATCTGGAGCAAATATTTCCGTCCAAAGTAATGTCTGCAAATGATACAACGGCAGTATCGGATGTAAAACTTGAAACATTTATTTAAAGGTAGCTGTAGCTGTGGATTTATGATTCCGTCTGATATCGCAATGTAGAGCCGGCCTTAGGTGATGAACCTAATTTATTCCGCAGCCACAACGGTTATGCTACTGTTTGTTACTATTTAAATGCTATTTTTTAAATACTTTATAAATTTTATATGCTTTAAATTTCTAAACAGGCAATCACGCTCGTAACATCATGTGATCTGTAGTGTACTGGAAAGTCCATGGGTTATATTTTTTCTAGGAACTTTGCCTGTGGTTTTGGAGCCAACAGGAACAATAAATTCAAAAAGCGCTGTAAAATCTACGAACTTTACTGATTCTTTGTTTTAATTGAGTCTTTTATGAAACGCGCTTTGCATTTCACAGAGCTGTAACGGTTTTGTAGCGCCAGGCGTAAATGTTTTATCGCGTTAAATATTTGATGTATGTGGTTAATAACAAACCAAAGTAAACTTTGCAGACCTTTTAAGGCAAACGTTGCATGGGTCAAGGCGCATTGAAGGAATGTGATCCTGCTTCATCAACTGTTCATCAAACGATTTGTCCAGACATTTCCAACCAAGCAAATAGTCGTTTTTCCAAAATCGACTGCTCAGTGTAGTTAAAACAGTACATAATGTCAAAAATTTTATTATCCATTAAGCTGCGCTACAGTTACACACGTTAGTAGTTGCCAAATATCCTGTTCCTAACATATCGTAGGGTTGACCACCATGGTTTATTAAGGAAGATCAGTCATCTGCTGTATCATTACTAACATTGATTTGGTTAATACCCCCCCCCCCCGGGCCGATATCATAGGGATAAGGCTCCACACACAGGTATCGACGACTTGCCTATGATCTCATATAGAAAATATGTTTCCGTGAAGATATCTTGGGACGTCTTTAAAAACTGTTATTCACTTTTTAATCGATCCACTCACAGCGACTTGTTTATTCTACTGTAAGCTCCTAAAATACTGTCTCCGTTTTACTAATTAAGTAAACTGAATATCCTCCATGATATACCACTAAAATAATTATTCTAGTGCACTGAATCACCTTAACGTGCATGAGCTGACCATATGTGTATAAGTACAATCTTCCCGTCCCGCTCGGCACAAAACACAAAGGAGAACATGATTAAAGACTGCAATAACACTAGTAATAACTGCTTCACTTTTTTTTGTGTTTGGTTAAAAACATTTGAAGAAAGTGCCAATATTACGAATAGCGTACGTTATGTTACCTAAATAGGATATTTATCTTACAGGACTAGCAGACCTGGTCAATGCAATTTCTATGAATGTAAAAGGAAGCCGATTTTTATATACACCTTACTTCAGAGACGATTACTAGGTTTAGCAAGGCCTATACACTAGTAAAGAAAAACAAATTGCGTTTTGCGTTTTTTATTTTAGAAAATGGTGCGACTTCACATTCGGCCCAGCTTTTATCATGCGCTTCACTGCATCCTTATGGCTGTACTGATGTACGTGTTTGTGGAGTTTTCAGGGGCGTTAAAACCACCTGATCAACAACCTTTAGTAGATCCGTTTAGTGAATACGGCGTGATATTTACTATTATTCTTTACTTATTCCGGCTTCTCCCACTGCTGGCCCTGCCGCAAAGTCTTACCAACTTGTTCGGCCTGACCCTGTACAACGCGTTCCCCCCTAGAGTTCGATTAAAGGTAAGTTCGTAAATGCCTGGTACATATGGTGATCTCATTTTTTACACAAGTAATACTTTTAGAGATTAAACTTTGCAGCGCATACTATGACATATTTATATTGAATTGCACATCAGTGGCCTGCTATACTTTTCAGCACTATTACAGCGTTAAATCTTTGTTCACCAAAAATCAGATTGTCCTATAACCATTCGGAATACTATGTAAATTTTCTCGGTAGTTTTTCTTAAAAAAATTGCTGAGCAAAGCAATATCATTTATTGGTCAACATTACTGAAGCAGAGCTTCCTTCTCAAGCACACTCGGCGAAGTGACAGTGCTATTACATAGGCAACGTAGGACTGTCAATTCTCGACCATGTTATTCTTTATTTATTTAAAAATAATAATAATATTTATTAAAAATTATTAAAAAAATAAAATTTATTAAAAATAATAATAATAGTATTTAAAAATAAATTTAATGCAAATGTAGCTAGGTGTCCATGGTCCATTAAGGTTTAAAGATTTATACACCCACAACTTACAATTACGTGATACATGTTGGATTGACGAAACTGTACTAAGTATTTTTTTTTAGCTACATGGCTTTAGTCACATATCTTAAGTAATAATTTTTCACTTTTATAATGCCAAAGGCGCAACTGCTGAAAATGTATGCTGTGTGTGGTCAAAACGCGTTATCGGAAGCAACAGCTTAAAGATGGTTCTGTCATTCCGGAAACTTCGATGTGAAAGATGCTCCTTATAGTACTGGACCAATTACGGAAAAAGTTAATGAAATTATTGCGAAAACTGAGCAAGGTCAACACGCGAGTGTCCACAATATCACCAGGAAACTAAATGTGCGCCACCAAACAGTTCTAAGCCATTTAAAAGAAGTTTGCTGCAAAAAAAGCTCGATGTTTGTATGCTACCGGTAGCAATGCAAAGGAACTTGTCGATTATGTTTTGATCGGCGAAACTCTACAGAAACGTAATAAAATCAAGCTATTTCTAAAGCCGATTTCCATGGGTAATGAAAGGTGGACCACCACGACAGTAATGTGGAAATAAAATAAATATATTTAAAAATCTATGGCAAATTCTAGATTGACGCCAAAGAAAGCGATGGTACGTATTTAACGGGATTGAAAAGGAATCGTGCATTATGAGTTGCTGCTGTGTGGACAGACAATCGATTCGGAGATCTACTGTCAACAACTAATAGGATTATAACAAGCAATTGAAAAAAAAAAGCCGGCCGGGACTAGTGAACAGAGAAAGCGTCATGATTATACCAGATTACGTATATCTTTAGGTACTCGTAAAAATTGAAAAAACTAGGATGGGAAGTTTAGATACCTCATATCTTGCGCCATCAGGCTATCATTTGCAGAACTTCTTTAATTATGTTAATTTCATATCAATGGAAAATGCAATTGCGTGTCCCAGTTTTTGTCCAGAAAGCATTCAGAAAATTCCACAGTGATAGGATCAAAGTGGTACAAAAAAATGGCAGAAGATTAGTAATTGATAGCGCATATTTAATTTAGTAGTACTATTCTGACATATAAATGTATTTACTACAAATTTGGCTTAAAATGGCCAATACTTTTTGCTAACGTAATATATGACAGCTACACTCTTCTGTGCAGGTAAATGAAAATAGTTAATCTTGCCTTCAGAAAATATTTATATCAATGCAATACATACTGTCTTATCTGATTATACGAATACATTATAAATATAAATTTCAGTAATGAAAAAGTAAGAACGAGGGGCTTATATATGATTTCGAGCTGGTAATATTCAATCCCACGGCACCGCATCAGCAATGAATATCACTAGATCTTTTTCTGTCCGTTTTGCAATACGAATCGTTATACATGACAAAGACTAATGACTTTGATCTTTAAGCATTGCGATACCAAAAATATTAGACTTAACGATTACTGCTGGAGAGCAGTGTCATGCTTCTAATGATTGAGTAAATACCACACCACAAATTTTGTGCATGGTCCTGTAATCCCGCGTAATGAGTTAGGCGAAGTACAATATGAAGACTAGTTTTCTACATTTCGGAGAGAGACTATATTCTTTCTGGTTACAGCTTTTGAGTCATATGCTTGGAAAATGGCACTTATTCTCATGGTCATATTGTTTTACCAAAAGGGTAGAGTCTAATCCAGAGGTGGATTAGACTCTACCCTTAAACGCATAAAGCACCTATCAGTGCTCTCAACGCAACAATGTCCAAGCCTGTGATATACCGGCTACCAGGTAAACAATGGCTTAATATGGCAATTTCTTTTATACCTGCACGTTTAAATGCACAAATAAGCCTAAAGTGCTTCGTGAGTCATGGACTTAGTGGATTCGGGTAACGCGGCTAACTTATTTATACTTGAGTAGAATTTCGATGCCTTCCTCATGCATTATTTGTCTAGATTTGTTTGAATAACAACGAAATGACGCAAGATGTGAATGTTGTAAACGTCTACAATCCATGCCTTTAAGTAAACAAAAAGCATTTCTTTGATACTCATAACACATTTGGCATATGAAAGAGGGCGTAGGTATAAACCAATGTAGCTATTCACCTAAGCAATCTACCGGTAAGCTGTACTGAATTATGAATCACCCAGTATTACACAAGTAATAATATATAATTCCTCTGATATATTTAATATATGTAATGTAGATGTGATTTATATTTAATATATGTAATATAGATGATTCACTTAACTAGAGTATCACAGCGAAATGAGTTATCTACATTAGGGCGGAAATGCAAAACTTTATCCGCTAGAAGTCAAGAGGTATTAGGAAACCGTCTAATTGCGTGAATCCAGTAATTAATGAGATATAATCCGGCAATGTTTCTAAGTGATAATATGTATGTATACGTAAATATCACGTGAGTGCCAGTCTGCCCTCACCAATATCCGTAATCGCTTTTTTTTTGTTTTTTAGGTGAAGCCGCATGAAGCTCCATTTTTGTGTATTCGAGTTGTCACACGCGGGGATTATCCGGGACTCGTACGAGAAAATGTTAAGCGTAACCTTGCGACATGCCTCGATACAGGCATTGACAACTTCGTAATTGAAGTTGTCACAGACAAAGAGGTTTATAGCCAGAACGAATTTCCGATCGGAATGGAACATCCAACCCTCGCGGGCGAGGGTATATCGGGGGTAAATTTGTCACAGTTCGTTCCGCAACTTCATGCACCAACCAGTCCTGATCAGGTATTAGAAGACTACATTTTATGGCAACGTTCATTGCTTGCATCTGCAGATATTATATAGTAAAGCAATGTAGTTTTTAAACGAACTGTTAGGCGAACTATCTGTGACGACATGTAATTGTGCAATTACAAATGTACTTAAAGATATGTATAATTGTTCATTTATTTTTAGCTACAAATTTTCTACTGTGCGTGCTGAAGAATTACTATTTTTTTCGCATAACGTAAATATGGTTTTGTTTTTTATTGTTAAACAATTTCAGGTCGAAGTAAAACTTAGTCCAATGTCGCAGGTAACTGCAAGTTGGCTAAACTCGAAAATTCGCCAAACAGTGGTTCCAAAAAGTTACAACACTACGACAGGTGCAATGTTTAAAGCCCGTGCATTGCAATACTGTCTCGAAGACAACGTAAATTTGTTGGCTGATGGGGACTATATACTACATCTAGACGAGGAGACCTTGTTAACAAAAGACGCTCTAAGAGGAGTGCTCAACTTTATTAGTGCCGGACGCTGTTCGTTCGGTCAAGGTCTGATCACCTATGCCAATGAGCGCATTGTAAATTGGTTCACCACGTCAGCAGACATGTACCGCGTGGCTGACGATCTCGGCAAGCTAAGATTTCAGTTCAACTTTTTTCATAAACCACTGTTCTCATGGAAGGGCTCGTACGTTTGTACGCGTGTTGGTGCCGAACGGGAGGTTAGCTTTGACCACGGACCAGATGGATCGGTGGCCGAAGATTGCTACTTTTCGATGGTGGCCTTTTCGAAGGGTTATTCGTTTGAATTTATCGAGGGAGCTCTTTGGGAAAAGAGCCCGTTTACAATAAGCGATCTGATTCAGCAGCGAAAACGCTGGATGCAGGGCATCTACCTTGTCGTACATTCGGCGAAAATACCATGGCGTTACAAGGTGTGGCTAAGTTGCTCACTATACGCATGGGCAACGATGCCTCTGTCAACGTCAAATCTCGTACTCGCGCCGAATTTTCCGTTACCTTGCCCGCAAACGTTCAACATCATTTGCGCGTTTATCGGTGCTCTCAATATCTACATGTATATTTTTGGCTTGATAAAGTCGTTCTCCATTAGTCGTTATGGATTTTTTGGGTTCTGGCTATGTTTCATGCTGGTCGTGATAGCCATCCCATTGAACATTGTTGTCGAAAACGTGGCTGTCGTCTGGGGCCTTCTTGGAAATAAGCACAAGTTCTATATCGTTGACAAAAACATCAAATTAAGGACACAACCTTTGTTACCTGTATAAGGAATTGAAAGGAGCAGATCCGAATTAGCAGCGATCAAAGGAAAGTAAAATTACTAGGATTATTAAAAAACCGAGACTGTGCTATGCACGTGTACGAAAGTCCCATGGTAAGAAGGAATTCTAAATGCGGTGTTTTCGCAGTATCTATTATAGAAGGGATAACATCATCATAATAATACTATTAGTCCACATAAGGAAGGACTATAACAAAACCATATTTGCAAATGGTGGTAAATTGTGCTGAACTGAGCTGTGTCCGAAGTAGTGCGGAAGAATCAATAGTAAGCGAGAAGATGTATACAAGCGAACCTGTAGATAAGAAATATAACATAGGAAAGCATAGAATGTTTCATATGGTTGACTACTATGATTGTACGCTATCACTGAAAACAGTAGGCCCGTGGTGACCAACGAATTTAATATATTTATTATATTACACTATTACCCGTCCCTATGTACAAAGTTAAAGATACACTGCAAATCTGATTTACAATACTTTTAATGTTAATACAACCACTGCTGTTAATTTATTAAGATTATTGCACAATTTCGCTTCGAGAAGCGTAACGTCGTAAAAGACAAAGATTTTTGCCTGATTTTCTGCGAGTTCATCAATTTTTAGTTCGCGATCTTCCCTGTGCATTTCGCTCATCGATTTCTAGACAGGAATCGGGGTCAAGAGAACGAACCTATTGTCACTATAAAATCCTTTAATGAAAAAAGCTTGCTATGCAATTAAGTAATTTCTGTCGAAAAATTCGGTGCTAAGCGGTAGTAGTTAGTAAACTATTTGACGATGTTCATCGAAGTATGGTGGCAGGGACATCGCAACGGCTCGTGTAAGTTTTTTGTTTTTTTTTTACTCATTATCAAATGGAAATTTAGTTCTGCGGAAGTGCATAGAGAGTACGCAATGTGCTTCCCTTGATAGTAAAAGCGATTGGCAATCATTTTTTCAAATTCGATATATTTTACTTTCTACTCTTCGCTTTTATTTATTTCTTCTTCATAACTCGATATAAGAGATTATTGCTTCCCTTAAGCCATTTTGTAGACGTTAAAAGTGAATCCGTATTCTATATCCGTAAGAATTCTGGGGTCGAAAATAAAGATTGCTAAGTAAAAGACTGATATATGCGGTACCGCCAGATATCAAGCGACACGTATACTGCATTTCGTAGTTTAACATACGGCGCTGCGCAACTTCTGTCAGAGTATAATTAAAGCAAATCGATGCGAATAGGAACGCGAGATCTGAAATGTCTACCTGACCCGCCTGAACAGTATACAGAAGATGACTGACCGATTTTTCAAGTCTGTTTTACATAACGCACACAAGCACCGTAGTTATAAATGTCCAAACAAGCAGTTTGTCGTTTATTGAAATCAAGCCTTCTGATAAAACTTGTCTGCATTCTATGAAAATAACTTCAACGGAAGTATGTCTTACCTGATATGACGAGTATTACATACGGCGTAAGTGGAAACAATCTTTGTGGATAGACTCTTTAGGGAAAAGCGAGAAAAACTAAACAGAACAAAATATACGAAATACAACCAACGTCCTACACTATATTTATTTAATAATAATAAACTGGAGGCATTAGTAATAAAACTCAACGTGACGAAAAAGGAAAACGACAACTATTTGAGTGGTCACGAAAGAATGTGCCGCGTACTCATTTTTATTTGTTCATTCCGTCGCCATTTTTCGTCGGGAAAAGAATGTACCCTTAAATACATTTAGTTATCTAGCTAGATAGGACATATAGATAATTTCATTGATTCGAGTAACAAATCTTGCAATGATCTCCTCATTAAATGAATATATCTTAATAAAGCTAAATATAATGTACACAGTTCACATTACATTGACAGACACAATCAAGAGCACGCTACTCGTTGGCAGATACACTCAAACTTATTGTACAAATACTTAGTACAGTAGTGAAACAATGTAGATGTCTTTACTAATATTTAGATGCTACGAGGTCAGGAAATAGGATCAAAAGGACCTTTAGAGAAAAAAATCCAACTCCAGGATACAAACACCTAATGTGTTTTGATATCCGATATTTGCTTGGGAAAACTTATCACATGCACTCCATTCTTTGTCGCACCTATTTTCCTAATCACAATTCAGTTTTCCATATAATAGTTCGACAAACCGCGTCGGCCCTGGAAACCCGACATCTACTTCACAACATGTTTACACGCTTTCCGGTAGATATTATTCGTGTGGCTTGCCGCTTAAATAAACCCAAAGATAAATATTGGATACTCGGAATTTCATGTAATGTTACCAGAGTATTTGACCAATTACTACGATAGCCAAGTTGCACTTCTTTTCGCCATATTTATATGTATATCTACATGAAATGCTTTTTATATGCCACATATCGTAGTCAATAGAGTACCATCATGTAGACACCCTTTGTAAGCGTATACTGATCTGATATCCACTAATATGTACACAGAGTACTATTAAGATGAATCAGTATAACGCTTGGAAAGGATCTTTAAAAGGTGTCGATGATGACTAATGATGATTATTATTATAGCCTACTCCCGAATCGTATCCGACATATGTTTAGAGACCGATCAGTTTGTCAATCAGCTACCGAAATTCTTTAATTACATACATACTAATACACGCACACATATTAGTATGTATATCGGTTTAGGTATAGCGGTTTGACAACCCACCATAATTAATTCATAATCAATTCTATTAGTTCTGTACTAAAAGAGACACAATATAATCACTTATTCATCTTGGTCAGGATTAATCTGTCGCAATTCTTTTTCTTTGTATATCGACACATGAATTCTCGTTTCACATTACCAAATTCATCGTTTTTTTCACAACCCCAACCGCCCTCCTTTATATCCGCTTTCGACTCTCATAACTGCCCAGACTTTCGACTGTTTAGACTATTTATCCTTTCGGGTTCGTACAACATGTTACATTAGCATTCATGGCATCATTCATTCAACACATATCGCTTACTATATATATATATATATTTATATATATATAGAAAGAGCGATGTTTTTAGGTCGATTATATTGTGACCCTATTTGTCATATTGGCACCAGTAGGCGTGTTTGGTGCTACTGTGGGCGTATGCGGTCCTCCGGCGCCGGGAGGTTCAGGGCTGTGTCGCGTCTTTTTCTTTTTTTTATCTTTCTTTTTCTTCTTTCGCTCCTCATCATGCTTTTTCGTACGCTTGTGTTTCTTCTCGGCCTCGGCATTAAATACACTCTCACTTTGATTTGAGCTGCCTACGGCGTTGCCACCTGGAGCACCTGATCCGATCGGCCCGCTAGAGCCTCCCGAACCCGCCAATCCTGCTCCAACAGCGCCTGGAGCACCCGTACCACCTGCTCCAACAGCTCCACTGCTGCCGGTGGGTTCAATTTCGGATCCACGGTGCTTTTTATGCTTCTTTTTCTTCAACGCCTGAAGATTGGCAGTACGATATTGCTCAGGCAATGGACCAGGATGCAGACGAAAGCCGGCCAGTTGAGCACCACTGAGAGGAATCAGTTCCTTGCCACCTACGGGCGGCTGATGAATCACCTACATAAAGTTAACGAGCATGAAAATCTACCCTTAAGCCTAGTTATCAGGTTAAATTATTGGACACGGGATGTGCCAATAATGGCTCGGTAATTTGTAGGCCAGAAGAAAACAAATAACATTTCCTGAATCTAAATATGGAAATTAACCTTTTAAAGGAAATAAATCAATATAGTAATTACATTTTTTAAAGCTGGAATGGAGTTTAATGCTAGAATTTTGTCTTGCATTTTCGGTCAAACCAACAGCATGCATGTCACACTTGCCTACTTTCACTGTACATTGTGCTCTCCATATTCTTATAATTTAATCATTTGTACACTTAATTAGTAGATTTCTGTAAAGTCCAATGTATGGCCGTTCACTGGTTAAATTATTCTATACACTTTATCGAAATGGTGTTTTTTTATTCTAGTGCAGTGCTGTATTTTTTTTTACGTAAAAGTTTTTGTATTCTATTTGAATCCTTTTAAAATTAACTGTCCCGAAGCTCATTGGAATCCCTCATACTCAAGGAGCTACTATAATAATGTATATCGTCGTGAGTCAATTTCGAACGTACCTTGCGCAGCGACGACTCGCCTGTGCCGTCTGCTCCTGCGGGAATGTCGATATTTCCAGGCAGAGAAGGCAAAAACGCCGATAACTTGTCTTTCACTTTGCGACCTAATATAAATAACATCCGCTTGTTTATCTATAAGGCATTATGGTATAAATTTATCCGGAGTTCCCTAACCACAACTAAGACAATACCCGAAACTTTTGGGATCACAAAATACAAAAATTTTACTGAAAGGACACCTATTTAGAACTGGCAGAACTAATTTTTCCCTTACAGTTGAATCAAACCTCTAAAATTTATCTCCAGTGTATTTCTCACCACGAGTTTGCCAATTGAGCACAAAGTGATACAGATTGTAACTCGTTTAAAATGAAATCCGCAATTCCGCAATGAATCGCCGAAATTGAGCATTTATCTAGTACAAATAAACAGAACATCAACAGGCAGAATAGTGCAATTCGTAGATTCGTACCGATGAACTTGTTAAACGTATGTTCAAGGTTGTAGTGCAGCATCATATTCGTCGCGCCAGTGAGCATTTGTTCGCACTTCGAGTTCTCCTTTAGTAGATAAAAAGGTCCCGAGTGCGACGAGTGAACAATGGCTGGCGTCGACCGAAGAGATATAGTCGTTTTCAGTGTGCCGCTGCTGTCCGGACGAGAAACCACTGAACAGGAAAAGACGAACAGCGGAAGAGTCAAGAATGGTTGCAGAAAACATTTGTTCAAGGCAGCAATCTTTCCACGTAGTAATGAAAAATAAAATATGCAAAACTTCTGACAGTAATATCGGTGTGTAACCCTAGTAAAAAAAAAAAAAGGTTTTCTACCTGATTGTTTCTTTATAACTAAGTTAGAAATCTTATCGAATTCGTCGCCCACATAATGAAACGTCTTTCATAGAACAAATTGTCCCTACCTAGAATTTATTGAATTTTAATGCAAGGTTTTTCAAAATAAAGGCTCCTTTTGCAGAGAAGTTTACCTGGTGAACGGTTTCCTCGGGGTGAACTACGAGGCGAGTAATCGCCCGGTCTCCGTGAAAGTCCGTCATTCATTAGCCCAATAGGAGGAAATTGAGGAGAACTAGAAAACCGATTGTAATTGCTAAGTTATTTTATATACGCTGTGCATGCATTTTAGTTTCGGATATACACTAATATATCTGCTAATTGTTTATAACATTTGTTTATAGATAGTACTAAATTAGTTTATGGCCGCGATATCCAAGAGTAAGTAGCTACTTTGTATCGACCGAAAACACGGTATGTCACGCGCTAAATCACAGCAAAAAATAAAACAACGGAAACTCAGCCTGTGGGTTAACTGTGCAAATTGTATTCAGGCACTGTCGTTACTTAATTTGCACATATCTTTTAAAGGCTTTCTTCCACGCGATTTTTTCCATGCCATCAAAGCGCACCACTAAAGACGAAATATGTGCATTATTAATGCGACTTCATACACTTTTGAATTATACGACCTGAAAAGCACAGGAAATATTACTCCTTGAGAAAGTTTCGTGTCTACGAAATTGCTTGTTTTGTTTGACTCTATAAAGACTTCCGATATTTAACAAGTTTAACAAATCTTCACACAAATCAACACAGCATAAACGTTGATTTTATTTAGCGCACTTCGAAATTTACATTTCGACATTACGTGGTCAAGCTTTTAAACTCTGTGTTCGACTTTCTCGCTGTTTCTTACTAATTTCATAATTGTCAGTCAAATTTAGTTACTTTCGCTTCCAACAAATAATTTTTACTCTTAAAGGTCATAGCAAGTTATCTTTATGTATTCCATCTTTCCTGTAGTGATAATAAAACATATGTAAGGTAATCTATGCACATAATCTCTATTACAACTTTATCCAAATATAAGATGTCTGTCCGATAACTTGATCAAAAAAAACGTGCAACTGAATCATTCGTTAAAAGCGTTCCAGCTTGCATTTGCCCTAGTGAGACTAACCGTTCCATGGTGTAGGCTGAACAGGTTGACTTCCCAACTTTCCAAATAGGTGTAGTAATTTTTTTGCTTTTCCGTCACCATTCATCGGTTTAACTGCACTAGTTGACGGCGAACGATTCTCACAGTTTTGATGGAGCGTCCATCAAGCGTTCAGGGAACTCATTTTAACCTCAACTCGGATGCGCCTTCGCTAGCTGTCTGCTACTCATGTCTAACAAATTCAGTCAGTCGTGCAAATAGATGTCGCTATAGAACTGTTCAGGAAAAAGTCTAGCTTAAAGCCTACTACTGCTGAATTCGATGTTCACCATGTAACGATACCCGTATCAAATAATCTAAGCCTAACGTTAAACGAAAACTGTGCAAACAATGGCTATAAATTAAACCAGACGGCTCTATTTATGTTTATGGTTTCCATCGAAGGCAGCCATCAAATAGATACTCCATAATAACCTGGTGTGTGCGCTTACCTGTCGAGCAGCGCCATCAAACGGATTGCCGCCTTACCGGTGTCAAAGCTCAATACAGTAAGAACGAAAATAGTATGCATGTGTAATTTGAGATTCTTCAGCTAGCAGCAATAATAAGAAGATACTTGCTATTATTAAGGCGGTAAACAGAAGATCGGCAAAGTATATGCAAGGCCCTTGAAAACAACATGAAGCGTCGAGTAAATGAGAGTACTATCCCTGAAGAACTTACTGAAGAAGAACGTAAACTGTATGATCGCCAAATTCGCTTATGGGGCCTTGACGCTCAGAAGAGGCTAAACAAATTTCAAGTCTGCATTGCTGGTATGTTTGATACAACAACACATCAATAAAAGATAGTCTCTAGTGTTCGGATCTACTATTTCTTGCTTTTTACTATAAGCGGATGTTCAGTGACATTATAAAACACTGAAAAACAATGCGTCGTTGTGAAAACTCTGAAATATAATGAACGATTTATGATATTAAATGTACTAGTGCTTTGGCGGTTGGTGCCTTACTTTAGTTTATATTACGTGGTGTGTACTGTGTGTAACAGGACAGAGTAACGCCAGCTGAAATATGATAGTTTGTCATTGCTTATTCCACACACGTTTAGTAATTTAATAATATGTCCGTCAAATCGGTGCTATTCATTCAGGTCTCACGGGATTGGGCGCAGAAGTGGCAAAAAATGTGATTCTTGCCGGAGTGTCTCGCGTTGACCTAGTCGATCACAAGAATCTAAGCAAGGAAGATCTTCGTTCTCAATTTATGGTAAATTGATACTTGCTTATTTCAACAGGAATTACGACCTAAACGAATGCGGTCGTTGGAACAAAAAAATACTTCTATATCTAATAATCATTTTAACCCTTTAGGTAACCCCTGAAGACGTTGGGAAGAATCGGGCTCAGTCGTCGCTTCGTTATGCACGTCGTCTTAACCCAATGGTCGACGTCAGAGTGGAAGAAGAAGATATTCTTAACAAGGACGAAAAATTCCTAAAGACATTCGACATGATCGTCATTTGTGACATGATTCCCACGCAAAAGGTGTTTGAGTTTAACGACTTATGTCGCAAAAACGAAATTAAGCTTATCGTCGGCCACGTTCTCTCCGGGTTAGGCTATTTCATGAGTGACCTTATGGATTTTAAATATGTGCATGAAACTATAATCCATTTAAAGGACGGTAAAAAATCAAAACACGAAGAGATGTCCGAGCGGTTTCCACCTCTCCGGGAGATCCTTAATGCAAAATTTGTTAACAAGAGGAGTGGAGGTGCCCTGAACAAGCGGTCTTCTCGACTTGCCTTTCTGTTCCATCTTCTGTTAGCGTTTTATGATAAGCATATCCCAAAGGCAGTAACCAAGGAGCAACTAGCGAAACTTCTGCCTGAGGTAGCAGCCCGACTCGAAGTGGGAGAGGATCTATTTGCCCTGGATTCCCTAGATGAACTCCTGCAGCTCGAACCTTGTCCTGTTGCTGCTGTTCTCGGTGGAGTGCTCGGTCAAGAAGTGATTAAAGTGGCCTCACAAAATTGCAAGCCCTTCTGTAATGTATTCCTTTTTGATGGTGACAGCTGCGTAGGAACCGTAGAACTGTTCAAATGAGCGGTGTCCAAAGAGGGTTGCGTAGGAACAGTAGAACTGTTCAAATGAGCGGTGTCCTAAGAGGGTTAACTATGTGCGCTTGATGCATGTGCGAAACTGATCGGTTAGCCAATGCAGGTTCTCAAAGAGACAAGAATTTTGATGTATAACAGTTTACAAATATAGAAATGAAAGTCACAGGCGCATTGTCTATATTCTGGCAGCAAACTAGACGCTAGTACTTTCTCATGTATACATTTTTTAAAAAGTATTAGCCGGTAAATGGCATTATAGATATAGTCCTGCAAGAAAAAATAAAAAAAGAACTGTTGTCATTCTTTAGTTTCTCACCTTGACACAAAATCTCGCATATGTACTTCTGCTTCAATATAACTAAGGCAGTCAAGGTAATATATTTATTTATAGAATTAGTTAACAGGAAGATATAATAGCAATAAGGCAGCTGATCATTAAGGACTTTTCTAACCAGATCTCATGCAAAAATAGACATAATAAGAAATATAAATTGCCATTTTTTGCATTAATTCGCCAGGGAAATACAAGATTTTGTAATTAGTAGCGCTAGCTCGCTTCTCAAACCTGTACCTGCTGAGTAGTTGATAATTAATAAAGTCAATGCAAAATAATTATCCCTACCAATGTCCTTGGTATATACCTGAATGCTACCCTTATCCAATATAGTAGTAAAAACAATTTGTAGATGAAAATGAAATATCACTTATTTTTTGGAGAATACTTTTATATAATTAGTTATATACAGTTGTTACTGCTGTCAATTCTGCGTCGCTTAGAAAATGAGCCGTAACGCGGAGTAGGGTTCTCAAGGTCTTAGGATTTCGAAAGAAGCTCATCGAGCGCCTTATTATGATCGTTCTTGTGTAACTTCAATGCGAAAGCAATATCTACCCGATCAAATCCGAGGTCGCTTAGTTGGACCCAGGATTTGAGGAACTCTCTAGCTGTATTAAGATCAGGTCCGTTTAACTGAAGCGCTTGAGCGGCGTCCCGCTCGTCGAAGCCTTCTTCCGTCAATTTCTGAACGAAGCATAGATGCTCCACTACTTTGGGTTCGTCGTTGCCGAGGTCAATGACGGCACGCGCGACACGACCGGTCGGAAAACCCATCGACACGAATTGTCTGCATTCAGCAAAACAGAAAAGATATACATGGGTAATGAAACATCAATTTAACGTACCTCCAAAACAGTGTTTAAGACTAAAATAAGACAATAAGATAAATTCGGATTCATTTAGATATTTACCCGAGTGAGATGGTAGATCTTGTTAACTTACAGTGGTTTACTAATAATTACTTGGTTTATCTTAAAAGGGGGATTGCTATCAGGAATCTACCAACAATGAATACGTTGAAGAGGTAATCGATAAACAGGTTTAAAACAGTAAAACATTTACTGCCTTGTGGTATAGTCGAATAATCTGATTAATTTTAATTCTGGCATCATTAATGTTAGAACTCTACGATTTGTCTTCCGTTTCCATGCGTATTAAGGATGAACCACAGGCGGTACTTAGTGCAGATATGAACAGTACTTATTACAATCGAATATAGCTTTAGATCACGTAGTTCTTGTTTTTCAGCCTGTTTTTCCCATTTATCAATCAACATATCTAACCACGTTATATCTTTAACCTTAACTAATTAAACAAACAGTTATGAGGTAGATGTAATTTTGCCAAGCAGAATAATCTATATGAGGTGTCTGCGGAATCACATTATGAAGATTAATAAGAAAGCTTTTTCCAAGGCGAATAGAACGTGTTTGAATACTACGTACATTTGATGATGCCATCTCCTGCATGTATTAGAATTTGTACGTTTTGCGCATATACCTTTTATATCTACGCATATACCTTACGTACATTATAATAGCCTTTTGTCCTTATTTTTGTAAACGTACCTAGCCAACGCCTGAAGATGCAAGGGGAGATCTTTAATGGGGTCGGATGGAGGCAGTTGCTGCACTGCAGGTACGTATGGCTTTGACACAGGTGAAGCCAAAGTTGGACGATAATTATAACCTAAAAATGAACGAAAATGCGATTTGATTTGGACGTAAATTCATTATACTGTGTCTAAAACCCGCTAATTACAAACACAGGTAAAAAATCCTATAAAAGAGGTATACTTTTCTTGCCATTTTCAGTTGCGGTTTTACATAGGAAAGCAAGAAGTGTTTTCACGAAAGGGACAAATGCACACTAATGACAAATGCTACTACAGGACAAAAACACTACTAAGTCCCAAAGTTACTAACTTTTTAAAGGCCCCAACCATGGAGCTTTTTTGAGTCACACAGGTTATGATGGGTTCCGCCATCCTAGCCATGATAGCAAATAGGAATCTATGATTGGAATGAAAAAACCTGGTCTTTAGACAAATCTAACTGAAACTTCTTTTTTATTTCTTACAATGCCTAACATGTACGCACTGCATACTCGTGAATGTTTAATTATGCATCATAAGCGCAAAAAACTGAGCACCTTTGGAAACCCGTGCGAGCTGTTCCTCATCGAAAAGGTTCTTCATCGACCCGGGTGCAGGCACTGCACCTACTGAGGACGAAATCACTGGTGGCTGACCATTGGCGGTGGCACTGAGTTCATGGTGATTGTTCGTCTGAATAGCGAAACTTGGTCCGACATTAACGCTCCCATAAGCTGAGGCGCAGGCACTTGCCTCTATCGTATTTTTGGCTACAGGAGTCGATGGAGCTGAATTGGACGAACGTAGCTTCCCAAATATCGAGTTGAGCTCTTCGAACTCGTTCAAGGTTTGAAGTTCGACTTGATCGAACGGGCTGAACGCCTCGGACTCAAATTCTGAAGGTAAAGATAGATTCGGAAGCAGCCAAGCATTAACGCATTTTCGAACGCCTTCAAAATATAGTATATAAGCAACCACAGCTTTATAAACATGCAAACATCCGTTTTAATATAAATATGGCATTATTCAAACTATTCCTCGCGTAAACGTGGATACTCGACTCTTTCGACAATAACTCCCTTCTGCAATGAAGATCAGTTTGAAGTAGAGTGCGTGTATGTGAATTTGCAGAGGTCTGGGCGGAGCGAATACGATATTATATACAACAGCATGGCCGTCGTAACGGACAATAATGGTACTTCGGGAAGCAATTGGATATGACAGCTATTTTTAATCGCAATATTTAACTTGTACTCGAACGATAGAAGCTTCAGTAAAACTTGTAAAGTTAACCATAGTAGGAATTTATAAGGCTAAAATCAAAAATGGAGCGGGTCAAATCACCGCAATGCTTGTTCAACGAAAGGGTGTGGAATGGCTTACCGGTAACACTAATATTCGTCACCGTAGGTATTGTCAGGCCACTATCCTCCATGCTGGTATTTTTCGATGGTATCGACGGTGTAAGAACGTTCCCGCCTGCTCCAGCTGCTGGTCCAGCCCCAACGGCAGGTGCCGCTACTGCCGTGGGTTGCAGAGCCTTTAACTGTGCTCGGCGGTCGCTAGAAATATGGGTACCTTTATTGTAATAGTTGTATAACAGAAATTGTTTTTTTTTCGAAAAAGGGAGATCATATTAATTCATGACAAACAATATCAAATTACCATACCAATGCCTCGACGTGTGTTTTCGTGTTATTATATCTGCAATCACTGGATTGATTTGAATTATGTATATGGGGAGAAAAACAACCATGAATAAATCGTTTCTTATAATCTAGGTTCAAGCTTACCGTTCGATTTGTGCTTCAGCAAGTACGCGATGTTCAAGAGTAAAGTCATACTCATAACTTAAACTTGGAGGAAGCACTGATTTGAAAAGGTGGCCGGGTAAAGTCACAGACCTTGGTGGACGAACTTCAGACGATATTTTGACAGGTACGCCATCAAGAGGATGGCACGACGTGTGTGCCATTCTGAAATCCTTGGCGAATTTGAGTAAATATGGCGACCTCCACCTAAAAAGAATTTAATAGAACACTGTTAAAAATGAGTCATCGCTTGAGCAATGAATAAAAAAATGTATCTTTTTTTTTAAATTATATGTAAAATTGTGTTTTTTTCTTAATTTTCTATTTTGTGGTAAAATGTATATTCGTCTGTTACAATTAACCTGTTTTAATACTAATACACCCATACATCTACCGTTTGTAACCTATGTAAATAAACTGAATTTTGTGTCCATTTTGAGAAGACCTCACAAAATGGCCAGTCAGTTATCTTAATTTTTTGGGAATTCATCAATGGGTTATTTATCTGTTACTTATATCCAAACTATACGTATTTTAAGATTTAATATTTACTAGGATAAGGATCAATCAATGTAATCGAAACAAAGCGCCTTGCTTTTGATAGATAATTATGGGAACAGGTTGCTATAATTATCAAAATAAATAATAATAATTATCATATAAAAACAACTCATCAGCTTTAACTGTCCTATTGTTTAAAACAGGTCGATGGTAAAACTATATTGGTTTATGAAGGTTGAGGGTTACTCATTGACGATGAAATCACTCTTGCAGCGCCATAATACCTACTCAAAGAACTATTTTTTCTATGCAAAAACCAAACGAAGTATGTATCAAGGGCCGCGGATGAACAAATCGCAATATGCTTATGACAACTGTAGGGTCAGTAGCTTCTAACATGAAAAGACACATTTACCAAAAAGCTCCGGTATACTTGATGACGGTACCTATTATTTTGTTATGGCATGAAAATACTTGTGTTATTCCTTCTTTTTCGAACTACGCGGCATATCCTTAATTAAACTAAGAGCCCAATCCTGCTCTTCATATGGTGTTCCCATTTATTCGGTATTATTTAAAGCATTGAACAGCGTGCCAGATGGAAGTTGGGTTATTTTCAACAACAATATTTGCAGTACGGGAGACTTTTGCTATAAGTAAGATTTAGATTTTCATTCTCGACAAGTAAATTATTTACTCAGGCAGAACATCAGTAGATTTCTATTTCCACTAACTGCACTCATTTTGTATCTCGATCTCCTATAACTTTAGTCTAGACAGTAAACTATGTTATTATATGTATATGGAAATAACGTAGCGACAAAAACCGCCCATGCTATTTCATTGGAACACAACTATGTGCCCAAATAATTGACTTAAATGATAATCAGAAAAAGGTTGTACACTGCCGATCATGCTCTTCAACTCTTGGACACGTCTATGCCCGTTTAAGCCAACTACATTCTTAAATAAACCTACCTTACGCTAACATTATCCCTGGCAAGTTAGGTAAATATCAGCGCATCACAGAATACCAACTGTATGCTCTCGCTTTTCTGGGTATCCTGCACTTAACAATGGAACGCGAATTGCAGCTCGAATGCGAAACCTTTAATTTGATCTAGCTGTTGTCAATTTTGTTGTGTCACCTTTGCCTTGTCCAACTGCCTACAGAGAAGACCTGCTCAACAGAGCGTCATTAGCAAGTCTTCTTTCCGTGCTTGGGCGCTTTGCCATTGCTGCAGCTCACAGCTGCGGGAAAACTTCAATGTTTGTGTTCGAAACGGAGCGTGTCCGGCATCGGGCTTCGAGGTGACCCACACAGGTACTTGTAGGTGGCGCACCGATTTACCGGAATGCTCCTAACAGGGTTGGACATACGCAATTTACGTGACTTGAATTAATCAGGGTGGTTAACTAAGAAGATAGGACAACTGCTAAGGCTGTCCTGAATTACAGTAGTGTTATTTGACAACTCATGACCATGAAAACGATGAAAGAGTAATGTAAGGGAATGAGCGAAAACGTCGAACTTGGCGAAAAGTCGATTTTTTTTTGACGAAAACTTCTTCCGCTATTTTCTTTTGTCCTTTAGACGATTTAAAGGATATTACATTAATTGGCAACTGAGTCTGCCAGTTGAGTTTTAATAAAACTGCAAAGATAAATTTATTAACCAAATGATAAAGAAGCACTTTTATATGTTATCGATTATGGCTGGAAATATGAAGAACTCTTTAAACGGTTATTTCATGTTTCGTCGATTGTATTCAAAGAGGAAACTTCTGATGTTATAGTGTTATAGCGATTATTAACAAGCGGTATCGTCTACATGTTTAAACAATGGAGCCAAGCAAAAGCTTTTATAAGCTGCTTTTACAAACAAATAAATAGTGGAGAAGTACGTGCATTTGCTGTCATTGAACTAATCCGTTTTAGTATCGTTGGCAGTGTTGTTTTCTCAGAAACAAGTATGTACTCAATATTTGTTGTGGGTGAAATGGAAATACTCCCGTCCTTTTTCGCTGGTGCTAGAAATAACGAACATGCACAATTTGTTTAATCTCATTATTGTTGAACTTTTTACGTAATTGAATCTAACTTCGATTCTTAACGTGAAGCCTGGAAAAAATAGTTACTATCGTACAGTCCATGTTCGTCAATAATGAAGGAGATGCCCTATTAAATCTATAAGAATGCCTATATCTAAAAAAGTAGGTTCTTTAAATACACATTGCGCAGAAAGAAGGCGTGCGGCAACTTCAATGGTTATCGTGATTGCTACTGCCTAGTGCCTCAGGCAGAAGAGAATATCCCGGTGGTACTTTTAAAGTAGTACGCTAAGAATATATATTTCTTTTGTGCTAATATGTAGTTAATGGTGGTATTTTTTCATGCCCTCAACTCTGTTAATCAAGAGTCAAATCGTTTATTTTTTAGCAAAAAAAAAAATATATATATCTTTTTTTTTTTTTTTTTTTTTTTAGTTATTTACTTATATTTGCTAATGAAACAGATCTGATTTTACGTGTAATTACACGCTTTCATAATACCTGAAGTAATAAATGTTCTCAATACATTTGATGTACTCTATTTGTTTGAATTTTAAATAATGCGCAGTGGCACAGTTTTGCATCCCTATTTGCGAAGCTACAACAGTTCCGCTTCAGACTTATTGTGCACCGGGTGCAGCTCTTTAATCTCAAAGGAGTCAGAATACATGTGTAGTCGGTGGAGAAATTACCTTTGCACGATGAAGGTCTGGCAAAACAGTTTTTTTGGAAAAATTTGTGGTTATCGAAAAAAAAGAAAAAAAAAAATGGTTTCACTCAACGGAGCAAACAACAAAGCAGACAGACAGGTTGTGCTGCCTCTTTTCTCGAAGATTTCGCTTGAAAAGGGTCCTTCTGCAGTGCAGACTATCAGTACAAAGGCTAGCGACTCTGATATAGTAGCGAGCTTGTGTTGCAAAATTGCATTGTATTCCTTGCCTTTATAACTATGTATGTTACTGTTTCCCGCAGCACGAATCCTTGTTTTTTCAAGCTTATCGTATCGGAGAAAGAAACGCAAAGATTCCTTCGGTTACATCTAAGGCATTAATCCTATTACGGAACTAGCAGCAATACTCACTTGTCTGGTTAATGTTTCGATAGAGCAGACTATGATCGTTCACAGAGGCGCCTGCCCACAACGTAGTTCACTCTAGTTCAATATTATAATCTGCATTAGTATTGATTGCATGCCCGCATTAAGATTACTAATCCCTGGGTGTCTTGAGTTTGATTTGTTTATTGTTCGCAATGTTCAACTGGTAGCTACTCGTAGAACATTTCATACAACATTTTGACCCCAGCTGATTTAAGCTTGCAATGTCCGTCAAACTAGCAACACAAATATCCCGCATATGAAAAAACAGTAAAACAGGACAATAACCGATATCGACGATAATAAATAATTGCGTTTGAATTGCTAATGTTCAGGCATGGGACACCTAATCTGATATTTTTTGAGAAAAAATACCAGTCGCTCACCAGTTATATTATATGTCAATTGGTTCATTATATCAGTATAAAGGGACAATTTTTTTTGTCCTAGGCTAAATTGAATACTTGTAAATAGAAGGAAACTATACACACATTACTTCGAGCAGTTTCCAAAAGAACTCCCTCCCTGAGGCGGATACCTGCAGTATTGTGTAGAGTAGTACGAAAGAGTTTGCTTTCAAATTTACTTGAACAATTCTATATACAATTGACCGAAAAATCGAACTCCAGGTCAACGATGCATGGGCTAAAGACGACAGGTAAGCGAACCAATTGTGAGTTTTACGAAAACTCTTAGGAACGAAATACATGTTTCCACGGTGTTTAACAGTTAAAGCAAAAGCGTTAAACAGGATATTATTATTAAAACAGGATAAATTGCCGATAAATTGACCGAATTTCATAGCTATGGTTCTTTTAATCCCGCCTTAACGGTCTACAAAAGCTCCATTAATGCGGCGGTTCTAAGAGATGGTGTCTAAATTAGTCGTGAGTGAAATATTTGAGTATATTGTACTCTAAATCTGCTTCATTCTGCGATCAGTGAGAGAAATACAAAGGTTCTCTCCATTTTAGCTTTTTTTCATGAGATCTAAAAGCGATTCCTTGCAATCGGCTCTGTATTGATTTCTTGATGTCATAGGCTTCATTTTGTATTGAGCGTGCAGTAAGCCCAGGGCAAGTAGTTTTCGTAATCAAATAACTTGATTAATAGTGCTTACTAATTTTCGAAAATTTGGTGAAGGGAACGAACAAGCGCACGTTGGAGTAGCGCCCATTTTTCTTGATAAAGCAGTAAACACGCAGTAAACGGTAAAAGCAGTGAACAGCTGTGAACAGAGTCCATCGGTTGTTTAGTGCGCTAGAATCGAAATTGGTGCCATTGTTGCTTTGTTTCACTGCTGCTCCGATCAGCGATTTCAATGTCGCCATCTCGAACAAGCGGAAAATGAGTTGTTCCAGAATGGGCCGCATGCACCAATCCGGTTCGTGAAAAAGTCAAAGCGAAGGCTCGATACGCAAGCTCTATTTTGTGTGTAATCTTCCCCATGTGATTGACGTGTGCTCTTATGTTATTATGTATATTTACTCAACCTGTTTGTGATAGCGGGTGGGGGCCAATTGGAATGACATTGTATTGTTGTTCAAAGCGCGTGGATCGTCACAACTAAGTGCGTTTTCAAAGTGCTACAATAAAACAGTCGATATTATGTTTAGACTGTTGGAAGAAACCGTTCGCCGCTTGGCGTTCGAGTAAATATGAACTATATAGAACAGGCACGCCTCGGAAGTTGCGTAGACAGAAAATGTGGCTTGTTTTTCAAGGTCTTGTCTATGCTATAGTTTACCTAAAGATTCATGGCCCATCATATCTCTTCAGTATGTCTCAGTAATGCAAGAGTATTTCACTTTATTTTACTTTCTCGTAAAAGATTCATTTTATGAACAATTCTATACACTCACATATGCCAGTATATTTTTTGAAGTCACTCCGAGTGTGTCTCATTGAATTCGCTCTATCGATTCTATTAAGACGTCGCCTAGCTAGTGTTCAATAGATAGGTAGACCTGAACAATTTTCGTACGTCTTTTGCAACGTTCATTACACATTTTATATAATAGAGTTAATACAAAGTCAATGAAAGGAGGGCTTTTTGAGTGCAAGACAAAGCGAAGGATTAAAAGATCACTAGTATTAATTAATAGAGAATTAGATCCACTGTATACGGCGTCCGTAATCATTGTAAACCAACTGACGAACAAGTGGGACATTTTATGAGCTGACAATCTTTTGTGCAATCGTGTAATCGAGTCAAAGCAAGGCTAGTTACATGAGTAAATGTATAACGGAATTAGAGCTTGCACATAAGCCAATAAATGGATTCCCTTTTCGCTATGCACTGATTAACTCAAATAACTATTTATTTTCCGATATAAACAACGATTTCTCTTATGATATGCAACAATCTTAGCGGGGCAAACATACGTGCTTCCATGGCTCCTGTCCAGCGGACAAACAAATGACGCTTATATGGAAGGGTCATTTTTTTTATCATTCCCTATCATACAGTAACAACTGTCCGCCAGTTCGGCAAATTCCCACGATTAGGTACGTCTAGGTTACATGATCAGTTCCAGCGGTGTGTCGCCTGTTTTCAGACGCCAAGCGTTCTAAATAAGAAAAAACAGCAATTCCTAACAAATTGTCTAATAAACTATGGCAATAGGAGAACTGAACATAAAGACGAATAGGCAGCTGTTGCCTGCTACTTATCTCGCACTTTCCCGCACTCTCTCTCGCTCTCCCTGCGTATAGACTGTTAACATGGACGTTCTCCATCTCGAAGCGATATTACGTTGCCAGCATTTGTGGCTGCTTTGACTAGTGGAGATCGCATCGGTAGCGGCAGTGTTCTTATGAGATCTACCACTCGGGTTCGCTTTCTCCAGCAGCAAAAGAAGAAGCATTGAGGATATTCACCTAGTCACTAACAAGCCGCCATACGTAAGCAAGTGTATTTTTACCCCTCTGAGTCAAATCATTATCGAATATTCTGCGTGGCGAAACTAAAGTTCGGGTGTAATGCCAAACTGTAGTAAAATGGCTTTTTAGATAAAGAAAGAAAAAAAAAATCAGCACATAGTACGCTAGCGTAGATTGTCAATTGAATCGCCATTAAAGCGTTAGTCTCGAGACGTGAAAATCGGCTTCTAACTGTTCTCGGCGACTGTGAAACGATGGAGTCCGTGCGTGTGCCTAATGTGATATCTAACCTAAGCAATCGGGCATATGGCGCATCGATTTGATGATGGGTTCTAAGATCATTGGACGAGCGGTACTGTGACACTTTTCAGTCAGACATGGATATTACAAATCGAGTAAGTGGCTGTTAAATGTGTTTAAGTAATGAATACAACTAGGACTTGTTTGCTATACCTCGAAAGATATTTGCTTATTCATTTGTAATATCTATTTATTAAATGTATAGCTAAAGTTCAAATGCTCTCTGGACCTACACTTAACAAAAACTAAAATCAAATTTAGATAGGAATCACTGAAGACTGCTCGGTCATGCTGAATTAGGGCCAGATAAGAACAGAACGGTATCGTCAGTCTACTTGTCTATAATAAAAAAAAAAGCAGTGGCAATTTTGCCTAGGGAAAACGATGCCCAATGCTGCTCGATTGTAATAAATTTCATCGTAGCTGACCGTGGTCCCAACGATAGCCCATGCATAGGCAGTAATTCGTTTTCGACTCAGTGTAAACTGAAAGTGCTCCGGTATAATAACTTGAATATAAACACAGCAGGTAGCCATTGTTACCTAAAATATAATACGACATTAACTTGACTACGGATATTAGTATCATTATTATGATTGGAATCAGTCTTGCGCAAGGTTTACAAGGTGGAAGCTACTCGAATCTTGTCGTAGTCGACACGTTTAAAATAATTGGTCTAACTTGAATTATCGAAGCTGCTCCTGTAATCGAGCATTTATAACATATTGGTTAGTTGTATGAGGAGCGATACTTTTTAGCCATTTTCTAGGTGTGTTATGAATTGTTGGATAACGTTGGTTTAGTATGAAATAGTACGAGAATTAAAAGGTTAATTGTTTTGGCCTCTATAGAAGCAAATATACTGCTATTTCAAGAGAAAGCACAAATCCGTGAAAACTCCAAAGATTCTACGGTGTATTGCAGTGTTTTGCGCGGTATTACTATTTGTGGCACACGGAATTGCGAGTCGACTCGATCATTTGTCGGGAGCTCGGGAGAACTGCGGTTCCGTTTCTACCTAAGGCCGTACATTGTGACTGTAGTAAACATACGTTCACCGTTGTCTAACGGCGTATTAGTAGCGGCTGAGCATCAGCTAACCGAGCGAAATTGGATTCGTGTACTCTGTTATGTTACTATTTTAATCTGTTAACTGATTATAATCATATCTTAAAACTATTTTGGAGAAACTATATTCTTTTTTTTTTATTAATAATGGAGATTATTATCAGCACTTGAGTTCTTTATTATTAAAATAATGAATGCTTTTTTGTTCTTATTGCAACCATCTGTATAGGGTTTTTTTTTTTTAGAAAAGGTCAGATTGTAAGGTACGCATATGTGTGAACTCCGGTTTTGATAAAATTATGGTCATTCTACAAATGTCAGTGTTTATTGTTTTACATTTAATAAGGAGTCGTACCCGTTATGAGCGATCGTTGACTATCGCATATTTGATAATAGCGCCATAAAGAATTGATATTTTCCGATATGAACTTTGGAGCAAGGATGCAGCATGGTAGAGTAACGCTTATACGGGACATGGTTGATCGGCGCTGATTGTTACCCGAATATTTGCCGTGAAAATCGAAGAGACCTTTTATTCTGTTTATATGAACGGGCTAGCATGGATTTCTGCGGAATTACAGAACTGGAAATGGTATGGGGGAAAATAATTCCCCATTGCGTCTCTTAAGCCATAAACATACATGCACGAAACTGCTTAGAGCAACTGCTCACCGCCTGAATGCTTGGCAGACTCGTTGACTGTCTCACGCGGGGCTACTATGATCGTTGAATGATACAGTCATCTCTTCTGGTACTGCAAAGCTTTGGGATGATTGAAAGAAACAAGGGCACAAAGCATGGCTACGACCGCTCAGGGTATCACTAACTGGAAACTCTGAGGTAGCTCATCTCTGGACACCCGTTCCGGAGATTGCCAATTTCTCTTGTGAGACGGTACCCACTTACACCTTGTTAAATTCAGACTGCTCGACCTTAATCAAAGGTGGGCATTTTTTCAGTTTCCGCTCGTCTTTTTCTTTAAAAACGTTCATTTCCCTAGCTTGCTGTAACGACGCTCATTTGTTTGTGCGGCTTGAATTGAAGCGTACGAGCGATTAGAGTACTACATAACAAAGCACCAGCGGTACCATCACGCAGCTGTAAGTGCCAGCCAGAGTGCGTTGAAACGAGATCAAATTTTTGATTCACATTTCCTATTTAACTCTTTTTCTGCTCAAAAATCCCTATTGTATGGCATAACCTCTACTACAAGGGAGAGCAGTTAAGCCTATGAGCTGAATGAATGTCTCCTCAGACGCGTGCATCGGCGACGCTTCCGATGAAATTTATACTTCGGTGTGCAAGCTGCATAATCCAGCGTACAAGAGCATTTCAAGCACTTGGCCGCTTTCCTATCAGGAAATAAGAATACGCTTAAAGGTGCGAACCGATAAATCATTTGGTCACCTCCAGCGAAGTGTTTCCTCACAAGGATCGATGTCAGTACTTAAAAGGGAGTAATCATTCGCTCCGTGACATTACTTCGCAAATTAACAAAAATTAGTGGCGCAGAAAACACAGCGCATATAATGGGGTTTGTTAGCTTCCTAATAACTAATTATACTATTCAGCTGTCTAATATTATTGTTAATAGCCCTATAAAGATTGCTGTTAATGGTAATTCTCAATCCCTAAAAAAGCTTGGATTGAAGGTATACGTATGCCGATAAAGGGTCCCGCTTTTCAAATTTATAAAGTCATTTGAGATCCCTATAGTGAGAATATTGTAAAATATGGTGTAGCTATGATGTACAGTAGACAAGTTGCGTGTATCGTCGAGCAAATATTACTATCATCAATGACCTGTTCACCTTAGAAAAGCTTTTACACAAATGCTTATGTCAAAAGGAGGGGTACAACTGTACCAGAACAGCCTGATCACCCAACAGTCGAACATTATTATTTTGGCGGACTATAGTCGCCTTTAAGATCATAGATCAGGCATAGAAAGGCAGGTGCTGTTATATTCGTGAGTCGAGCACAGAACGCCTCTCTTCGTAAACGATTATTAATTATGTTTTTTTTTCCGATTTGTCATGGTATCTCCGTGCAAGTAGAATGCAGTCGCACATTTTATAGACGACTTCTGCTTAGATAGCTCTAGCTGGTTCGTTGCACTAACCAAGCTGCCTCTAAAACACTTCGGGACAAATGACAGATGGATATTTTCTTACAGAGAACTAAAGGATGAATAAAAGACTTGGAATCGCTGGTCGTTGCGAAGTTCCCTACGCTTTCCATGGAACTACGTAGCAAAGCGTGCTAGGGCCTTATCGTAACCTTTAACCCAATATTAAAATTAATGTTTGAAATCTACGTGCCGTACTTAATATTTATGCTGGCTTACTTATATGCACCCACAAGCTCGAACTGCGGAAGAAACAGGTTTTATAATTGCGATTATAAAATACATTCCCGATTATTTGACTAAAAGATTTTCGAATATATTTCCTTGTGCTTTATTAAAAACAGGCCTCAAGCCTTATTTTAACCAAACATATTTGTACGAAGTTCAAATACAAAACAAGATGAACCACTATGACAATAAATAATTGAATAATAAGCAGCAACTAGGCGTCCGAAGATATTCATGTATGAACTCATGCATGAATAATATCATGTAACGCATAGATTAATATAGAAGACTCGTACTGCTACGTATCTTTTTCTGTTAGTACTATGCGGGTTACTCTGTCCTTACTATAAATGTGTCACCCTAACGATACCCACATGTAACCATATAGCGTTCATAACATATGCTCGTTGGAGTCGTTTTTATATTATCAGAACACAAGAAGCAGAAGTGAGTGTTCTGATGCTCATTGTAAATGCATCTTCACCTTGATTCAGAAAGTGTGTCATTCACATGCAGCACGAGTCTGAGTGGAGGTCTGGGGGGGGAGCGAGATGAGCGCAGGAACGCAGCAGTTCCCCCTTCAAGTGGCGACTGCAGATGACGCTGTTGAATAATCGGGTGAAGTTGGTGATGTATCGAGATGTCAACGACAGACCTGCGGCTCAACAGTATTTCCAGTAATAGATAGGGGGTGCGAGACAAAGAGATTGAGAAAGAGAGATACAAAATTTCCCACGCATAGTTCAAGGCTAGACATTATGTGGACGGATCAACACGAACTCTGTTCTGCTGTCATCCCTGACTAGTCCGTTCGATTGTGGTGAGAATCCACCCATGATCCCTATTTAATCTACAAGGATTCTTATAACACTAGACCACTACACAGAAACGTAATGACAATTAATATCATAAGTATCGCAAACTAGGGATACTAGATGACTTACATTCCTGATAGATCTACTTGATAAAGAAGATATATTCGAAATAACTACAAAAAAAAATTCTAACTAATGAAGACAAAACGTCATACAGCTAGATTGAATAAGCTTCTTAGGTAGAAAGCTTTTACTGCCCAATTTATGTGGTAGATTTAATTTCGAATTTATCACATTATTTCAGTATTAGTTACCTGTGAGCTTCAATGTGGAGTTATCGCTCCGTTGATGGACCAATTTTCGCGTGTAGTATGCAAACGGCTGTTAGTCGATTATATTTTGCTTTAGCCTCCAACCACTGTATCTATTTGTTTGTTTTTTTCAACGTGTATTTTTTTCTATATTCTATACAACTGCGCGCGCTGTTTTTCGTTTCCTATCCCAGGTGAACAGAGCAGCGATCCGTAGTCCACCTTTTATCGAATTAGACAACGCAGATAATCTTGACGAACCGTCCTTCAAAGTTGTGGTAGTGAGTAGAATCAAAAGTTTTTGTGTGCATTTTTGGGCAGGAGAAAGTCAGAGATGCTGAAACGAGAAAAAAGGAAAGTTTAAATAGAAAAGACAGGCCGTATATATCGGACACTTTTCGCGATTCTCTGAACCATTTCATAAAGATGCGCACCCGAAACTTACTCGCCTTTGAAATATCAACAGGAATATGTTTTATAAAATACGGAGGACGCTCTAATTTTGTCTACTCGCTTTTCTAAGTAGACAACTGCAGTTGCAATGGTTAGAAAACGTTTTGTAGGGCAATGAGGGTTATAGTAATAGCAGTACAATCCATGAATTTTGCTCCTTATTTTTCGTTTTCTACTGGTCATCACAGCAGTACCCAGTTAGTAACTGTGAGTCGTTCTGAAACGTGTGTTGACGGATTTGGATTTGATAGAAATTTAGAGCTTTCGGTACAGGGTTTGCTGTGAACGTTCTTGTGGCCGAGTAATGTTTCAGGGTGATTTGGTATGACTTGTGAGATACCTAATGTATCTGTGAGCTCGCTAAAGGAGATTCAGTGATGCTTTTACCACCTTCGCTGTGATGGATCGTCCAGGACGAAGATCGTTTTTACAGTTTTCTTCCTTTTCGTTGCGAAACCATTGGTACCGCTGAGGCACTCAACACTGAATTTCAATCTCGCTCCAAAGGCCTTCTCCAGGATCGGCGGCACATACAAGCTCATTATTTTTTCAGAAAAACAAAAAATGCTTAGAAGCGTGCTTGCCAGATATAAGGCATGCGTTCTAGCTTGGTTTGTGAACTGTGGAAAAACTGGTAGGCAGGCTCAGCTGCAGGCCAATCCCTGAACAATGAAAGTGGGGCGTTTCGTAAATACTTTTTCGACACAGTCGTATATAACATATCTAGAGATAATTATATTCTTAAAAAGGACGGGTATTCGTTGGGCGGCTGGCTGGCCGATATTTTGGCTTGGGCAAGCTGAAAAATAGCTAAATGCTAAGCAGATGTACGTCTGGCATTTAGCCAATCTCTTTGGGATTAAGTGAGTTCCAAGGGAAGCAGAAAGTGTACGTCGAACATAGAACAACGTTTCGTTGAGTGAAGTTCTGTAAAGCTCACAGTCCCGATATTTAGCCACTTATTTAACTTCGCAGCTGGATCGGAAAGGGCATAGCCAGTCTTCGAAAAAGCAGTTTTTGTGGTTGCTTCTAAACAGAGATGTCCTTTTGTGTTTCTAATACGGATTTTTGCCCTTACCAGTTTGTTTTACAGAAGTTCCAAGGTAACGATGCAAATAAAATGTACAATAAAAGTATACAAGCTATTTATTGCATGCTGGATACATGCTTTGCTTGGATTCAGCACGAGATCCATACAGAAAGTAATACCGAAGACCGTTCAGATGGTGCGATATGGAAATAGCAATCAAAAAATATGGTACGCTACGTCATATAATCAGCGGCATGGACACGCGAAGCCTGGGTTCCGCAAATTAGACGTAAACATAGTGTTCCCATGAGTATTTTCATGCCATGTACTTATACGTAGATTAAACATTGCTCCAGTACCTAATGTGTAAACAGCGACTTTTGTTGGAGCCCGCTTTATATCGAATGGCTGAGTTAATTGCCACGCTACGAAACATTGTAAGAGAATAAATATTGATATATTATAATCAGGACACCAGCTATATGTCGCTGGTTTAATTCGGTAAATACTTTTTAATAAAGGATTGCATTCCCTCTTCTAACTAAATATCAGCGCTTTTAATTATATACTCGAAAAGACCTGTCGAGCTACAAGTAAGCAACAACCTCTTAAATATAATAAGAATTTAGGATCAGTCATCTGATTGCCGAAGCGTTCTTGAAAATTTCTATTGTATAATACAGACTTAAATAATGATATGGCACTTTTTGCTGCACTAGGAGATCTGTCTCAGATTTATAGGGGCGAACCGTAGAAACAATCCGATTTATTTATACTGTTACTAACTATTAACTTGATCAGGCAACCCCTTAGTGGTTGAACCCATCAGCAAAAGCGCTATTAGTCGTCGAGCAAAATCGATGGAAACATTTTTTCTTTTGAGCTGACTTTTGACAGGCCAGACTGAACAACCATGAACTATTTTATATTTAAAAATGTTGCTAGGTTAGCTTTTTTTAACTTATTAAACAAGAAGTTATCTTAGAATACATCCTACTTTTTATATAATTTCCACTATTTAACTGGTTAGTACACAGATAAATGCTTGATTATTAGGCTAGTAAAGACTAAATAACTATTTGGTATATTCATGAGAGGTGGTCTGAAATATCTTCAAAGTACAACAAGCCTCTGTACATCACATTCGTTTGTTTATTACAACCGACACAATGGCTCAATTACAGCTTTTTTTTTTATATATATAAGGAAATATAAATGTAAGTATTGGACTTTCTCTACTTTCCATTTGCCCTCGGTCCTACATGTATTTTATGAAGCAATTTACATTGCTTAAGCCTATCGCACCATTATTAGATAACTAATATCAAACAATATTATCATCTTTTTATTCGAATCATTAGGATTTATAATACTTTAATTAATTTTATCTAAGAGCCAATAATATCCTTTTTCTTAAAAAATAACTAACTAACAGACGACCGTATAGCCCGTGTGATATTTGCATAGCATGAAAACCGGGCTTAAGTGTGTGTATTTCATAACTTGGTACTTGGGTCTTAGAACTTACGTGAAATACATGATCAAGACGCGACCGTCGAAAGCTACAGAACGATTTTCGATTACTGTTTCCAGTTAGTTAAATACAGTTAAAAGTTTCGGTATGCTGAGATTTCCGATGCTGTCACTTCTTGACATCAAAGCTATTAAGCTCGAAGATTGGTGACGAATCTATTTTCAAGTCAATAAGCTAGTACCAGATGGCCAACGTTGTTTAGGAATAAACGAGTAAACGTAAGATATGTGTTCGTTTTTTATTCGTATATGATTTTATTGCTTGTTTAAGGACGTCTCGCTGCTTATTACGTGCAGTACTTATTACAGCTTATTAGTATAAGAGCTACAAAGCGCATCACGAGGAGAGCCTTGACGTTCTAAAATATTTAATGTTTCCTTGCTATTGAGTTAAAAACCATAATGGTCTTATATGAAGGGGAAAGCTGTTTCGCAAGGCGATGTGCACGGGCCAACTTCGTAAGGATGTCATGGCCTACATGTGCCCTTGGGGACCACTTGTAATCACTAGGGCACCATCGCCTTACAATGACGTCATATTTCACGATCAACAGAGAGCAGATGCAAAGTAGCAGAAAACGTCTAAGCAAATTCAGCCGGTATTGATATATTTATACGAACGTTGACGTTACTTTGTTTGGTAGAAAAATGTAAAAATCAAGAATAAAATTGATGCCACTTCTTTGTTTTATAGTAAGCTTATCAGTGTGTTAACCTACTACTAAAACGTTTAAAAGGAAGACGGATGCCTTTTTTGTGCGGAAACCTGTGTTTTGGATGTTCTCGGCTATGCTGACACATTGAAATACCTTTGACGAGGCTGAACATGTACTCAGATGTACATAAAACAATCGATGAAAATGATGTGATACAAGCGTGTAGTACAATCATTTTCATCGATTTTTACATTCTATTTTGAAAACGACGGTCTTCGCAGGACAATATTCAGCCACTAATAGGTTACGAGTGCGCCAACATGAACTCATTACAGCACGATACTGTACAATCGTCGTTAATGGGCCATCTCGAACAGGAGCAAAGTATTGAACGTCAATGGAAGCAAATACGAGATGTTGAAGATTTCGCACATTCTTCGTCTAATTCCTACATACGATATGGCGCAAACATCGTTCACCAGGTGCCGTACCACCACGATCAGGTTCGTACGGATCATTGAAAATGACAATGCCAGACGGAATATATTATATTTTCTCAAGTTTATATTATTCCTCTATTATTTCCGTCTAATTGTTTTAAGAAATTTCTGAGTACTTCTGCGCCTATACGCTTATAGTGAGGTTTTTTTTGCATGCATATATCTTTAGCGTATAATGGCTTGCATGCTCTCTCTATACAGAGAGTTCTATTTTCTACTACTGTGTTTTCACGTCTAGGTGTCAACTTCAGTAGTGCTCCGTTTTTGCCGGACGCGAGTCTTGCGTTCCTATTGTCGGCTTTTAGCTGCGGTTGGATGGAAGCCACTCCTCGGCGATGGAACTATGCGCTACGATGCTTTGAGGAAGGTTATCAATATGGTGTATGTCCTTGCAGTGATCGGCCTTATCTTAGGTGGCCACATAATTACTATCAAGACCTACTACCGAAGGGATGCTATGAGGAATACCCGGTAGGCAAATTTTTAGTTCCGGTTCACCTTATATATCCATAATAGGTTTCCAAATGTGATAAATGTAATCATGCACTAGAATAATTATTGGACCAACTACTGAGTAAGGAATTATCTTAAGGTTACTTTGAATTAATTCCAGGAATATTTCAAAGTCTTTTATGTACATGTCCTTCCGTTTATTTAGATACGTCAAGACCGTTATTTAGTTTTATATATCTGAATGAACGTCCATTTGAATGTCCCGGAGAAGACTCTTTGCTCCCTTATGGATAGAACCTTGTCGAAAAATCGACCTGTGTATTTAAAAGTTTTTTAAGGAAAGCTTTCTGAACTCCTTTATTGTTAGGGGTATTAGGAGTTCCAAGAGTCCGGAGTTTTTCTGCTACACCGAAATTTCCTTCCTTTTGTAGGTATATTGAACGAAAGGATAACGCGCGTTATTTACGTTTATTTGTAACAAAAGTGAGGACGTGTCCATTTTGAGGTCCTGCTTTGAAATGTGAATATAACAACAGGTGATATGACATATTTATACATACTGTTGATATTGCACAGATTTATCTATTTGAGACCTTGTCACGATCAAATTCCTAGGTAATTCATCACTAGCTATTGTGAACTTCAAAATGAGACCTATTTTAGATATGCTAATATATATACAATAAGGCCTGACTTATTTTATTATTAATTAATTAAAGCTAGATTGGAAACATTCAGTGGGTATGATGGTGCATGTCAACGCAGCCATGACACTTTACTCAGAAACGTTTTATAGGATTTAACTAATCGCTAGAAGAACAGAAAATACTTCTAACGGAAATTTTTGTTGGGGTGACGAACGGCTACGGCGGCTAGTGGAAACCCTACCTACTCACATCAGTAGGCTGTTAATCTTATAGGAAGTTACAATAAAATGATTATTGTCTTTCATGAAAGTAAAACGCACAGTGTATAATAAGCCGCAACAAGAAAATAGTATATTTTGACGTTTACGTCTGTTCATGCATTGAACAAGCTACAGCCAAAGATTGCGGATTACCCTGTTAGGTATTTGACGATATGACGTATTATAGTAAGCTAATGAAACAATCTTGATGCTATCATAGGTAGAAAACTAGCTTTTCATTGCCAGATCATTAGCTAATAGATGAAGGCGAATATACATGCAGAATCTTAGACAGAAACGTCAATTCAAGACGTGCAATGTGTGGATAGTAATAGATCTACGTGTTATCTAGTAACGAAGAGGGGACGTTTTAAGCAGACGACCTGGCCTCGATCCCACACTTTCCCTCGTCTATAGTATATGCACCTCGTAAATATCTGTTATCGTTGTGGTGGACCTCGCTTTAATCTCTAGCGTCCACCCACGCGTACGGACAGACAGACATACAATTGTTGCATACTCCGTTGAAAGCAGACGAAATATAGACTAAAGTCAAAGGGGTTATAAGGGCAGATGCTTCTGATGTTGCCAATTCCCATGACATGCACTGCTTTTGCCGTTGAACGAAAATAACACAGAAGTTGGCGTCTGGGTACAAGCCACACATAGACGCTTGCGAAATGTCCTACAAAGCAACTCGTCGTAGTAGATGCTGTGTAATACACCCAGCAGGCAAAGTGGTAATTGTAGCAGTAGCTCTTGTCATTACAAGTTTGGAACGTGTACCCAACAGAGGCTAAGCGAATACACGAGAAAACTGATCATCGTTGTCAGGCGGTCTACTAATGGCGCCAACTAGGATAGTGGCTAAAAGAGCAAAGAGTAGCCATGAAAACCGGCTTTGTTGTGACCTGCGGGCCTTTTTTTCTCTGTCTAACGGCTAGTCTGTCGTTTTTTGTCTTTTTCTTCCGATACCTAGGAATTTCCCTGCTACTTGTCCCTGCCATATCATAGCTTTACCGTTGATTCTATGTACTGTCTGTTGAACTCCTAAGCAAAGCAGTCCCGAAGTGAATCATCATACAGAGAAGTGAAGAAGCTGCGGGATCCTTATGGGGCGCCAGATTCTGCGCTTCGACTAAACGCGCTAAGAAGGTGAATCCATACGGTAACAGAGCACGAAGTGGGCAACAGCGGCAACGATAACAGCGATCTGCACTAATGCTCAAGAAACCGGTGGCACGCGGTAGTCAGGCAGATAGCGAGCCCTCGCACTAGATTAAGCGATGGACGACGCGCCTCCTCTTTTGCTTACCTTCCCCTTTTTAACGGCCAGTTATCGTTAGTCGTTTACTTTTTACAGGACCAGGTGTGGGTGTGTTAGGTTAAACAGGTATGTCTCCGGCATTAGCTTAGTGGGTAACATATTTTCCTGCTAATCTTTTTGGGGCCTAGGTTCGAACCGGGCATAGATGCTCTTTGTTTCGCAACGGAAGCCAGTCGACTGAAACGTTTAATTGCGATGCTGAACGTAAAACTCGAAACATAGAGGTTAAACAGGTACATGTAAGCGAATACGAACGATCTTGGGCAGAGCTAGTAATTCGCAGACGTCGACTACCCTCAAAATCAACCCTACGATCATGGCTACATAAAAAGAGTCAGGCTTGAAAATGACTATATCTAGAAGGTACTGCTGTTACCACAACAGCGTCTGTGGAAATGCGTAGGCACGGTCTTTGCTTGGTAGTTATAACTGAGATCTTCCTAATGCCGGTCAAAACACAGGAACGTTTAGAACTGCGTTACCTGTCTATATGACGTGATTAAAATCAATTGGTGTCGTAGGCCAATTTTGTTGAGCTCTGCAAGCTGGCACGTATACTATCCCAATGGCAGATATAACAATGTGCCAAACGTTGCTCGGGTTTGATACCATGTTAAAACTTATCTTGGATACGGTCAGTGCTCGTTTGTTGCGCAGTACCCAAGTAAAATTTTGTGAAGCATTTCTACTATAACTGTTTGCTTACAGAGTTCCTGTTGCGAGACTCGACCTTCGAATAGGCTATTCTCATTGCAATACTTTATAGGCAATGTATAGGCATTTGGTAAGAAAACACTTACGAGCAATGGCAACTTCTTTATTTCTTGTGCAAAAAACTAATGATCACATAAAACACCTCGATGAAATTTAATTTTAAAAAACATCTATAATGGCTTTGCGAGTATGGTGGTAATTTAAAATCATATTGATCAGTAGGTCATCAAGTTTAACATCTAAATGTAGACATACACATAACAAGATATGATATTATAATAGATCATTATTATTTTTTTTTTTTTAAATTTGTGTAACCATCTGAGCCTCTTTAGGAGTGTCACAGTTGTCAATAAATGGCAAAAAAAAAAAAGTGCTTGAGCTGATGAATGGAGTAATATAATGAAATGCGTCTCTATTTGTATGTTTTATAATGTCGGCCAGTTGCCGCGAATTCCAGCTTTCTACCGTCCGTAATGGGGAGCCGGAACGCTGTTCGCTTTACCTCTTCTCCGTTTTTATCCTGCCAGCTACTGTACACTTCATCGCATTTATGATTATGCTAGTGCAAATGCGGAGCCAGGATAGCGAAGAGATCACTGCACTGGTCGAACGGGTAACATTAATACTTATCTAATTTGTGCGTAAATTTGACGTGATGTGAGGGCGTGGCAAATTCTGCGCCACCTTGATTAATATGGTGGACAATACGATAACTTTAACAAGAGCGGCCTTACAGGCGGCAAACTTAAACTGCGGGTATAGTTTTTACCACTCTGCACGTCTCTACAGAGTGCTACGTTTCACGACACGCTAGAACATCGTTTGTCATTTTTCAGGTTGTAATTAGGAACTGCTCATGCCACTTGACGTTCAAAAACAATGATGAGATGTTGTATCACCTTTGAGTGGCAGGCCATTACCTATGGGAGGACTAATTTCCCTCAATTTAAGGCACAGATAATCATACGGCTTAGACATTTAATAGTAAATCAATATACTTGCCTCACTGACATGAACTGTGTTTTCGCAATAGGATTTGCTATGACTACATAATTAAAACTACAGTCTATTATTTCTATGTCTATGATATTATCTGTCCACTAGAAGTCCAGAAACACACAACAACGAATGCAACAATCACACATTATGCACGTTGTCTGATGAAGAGCTAACGTTGACCAGGAGCCCAAAGGTTGCTTCCTTTATGCAGCTTTTGTTCTCTTTCGTTAGTTGAGCCCGTTGCATCATATTATGTAAAGAGAAATGGTCAGATATCCGGGAAACGTGTTCCAGATAACTTTTCTGGGTTTTCAGGGGCATAGATACCGCAATAGCGTCGTATTGTATACTGAATAGCGTGCTTATTTGAGTAACTGACGTTTCTACAGTGCAATGATCCGATGTACTATGATCACTGTATCGTAAGCAGCCAGAAAGTGATCGCCTGGTCAACCAGTTACTTAAAATTCAAAGCACGAAGAGAGCAAAAGTTTACAATGGGGATACTCGCGCCTTCCTCGCTGTAAGATTGTTCACAATATGCGTAGATATGTCGGTTAGCCGCCCTCGTCGCCACCTCGATTCGCTGTTATCGACCATCGTGGGCTGTCGTCAGCCACATCGTCCATATCCCGGCCAAGTAAGCAAGGAGTGTTCGGCGGAAGTTCGACAGGGGCTGAACGGGACTCGTCGGCTTTGTGAGAGTGGTGCATTTACGTAGAATTGGATAGTAAACTAGCAAAAAACCGCCATAAGGACAAAGGTATAGAAACCCAAAATCGCATCGAAACTACTGACCGACCGACCGACCGATTTCGCCACTGCCGTTGCTGTCGTCATCGCAATTGTCACAATGCTTGCCTGTTCGTGGGGCGTATCTTTTTCTACCACCGCCACGTCAGCGAAGGCCATCTAAGCGGTCTAGCGAACGATCGTATTGAACGATGTGAGCTAAGGGACCACTCGCTTTCCGAACTCCTGAGTCGACTTGTTACATAGCGGCTTGACTGGTTACTTCGGCCACAGGCCTACTCGGCCGCTCAGTACATGGAGAGCCCCAGCTGGCCACCTATGCATAGCTAGTTATGGACTCGTCTGCAGATACTTGTTTCTCTCATAGCTATAGGTACAGCCGGATCTACAATCTTCGCAGGTTCTGACCCCCATCATACACGAACATTGTAGGGGGTGACGGTAGTCGGATTGCAGGTAGCATCCAATTTACATGGTATTGCGTTAGTGTTAGGTTTTTTCGTACGAACAAAAGATGAGTGGTCTAACATAGGATGCAAGGAACGGCCCTCTTCTGCTGTGCGAGAATGCTGGCCGTCTTGATCATGGACGGTGCTTCTTGGTTGAACAAAAATATCGTTGACAAGTGTCGAACATTTTATGAAGTGGACCAATTCACAACGAGGGTGACTTATACACTACCATAAAGCTTCCTTTCCCAAAGAGGCATGATTCCACCTGTCTGATTCGCAAAGATACCATAGCAATAGACAGAGTATGTTTTGCTTTACGTATTCTATATAGAAAAGACATAAGCTACCAAGAACGCGGAAGGAACAAAATAAGGTTAACTCCGAACACAACTATCGTACGGGACGGCACAGCGGGATGATAGGACGGCTTAAGGACGGCCCCGCTGTAAGCAAATCAGTGCTGCCAACGAGATCGAAGGCCGGAAGAGTTAGAAGAAGGGTAACTATGCACAGGTAAACGGCGCATGCACGAATATAACCCACTTTCCGCAATAAGCGCCGGGGGGTCTTTGAGCTGATGCAAGATTGAAACTTATTATGCCTGGATTAGACGACCTACTTTTAGGGCCACTCCTTAATCTATAGAAAGAGTTTCCCACATTGGAGGTTTCTCGTCGCTTGACTACCTCTTTGCGGCACTGGTGCTGACCTTAGAATGATAACTGAGAAATGTTTCCGACTTCTCCGAAAAGTTAATGAAAATTTGCCTATATTAACATGACGTTCAGCAGTTCAGGTTTGTTGCTCTTTGAATTTTTGCATCGTTTAAGGCCATACAAGAGGTGGCTGTTGATATCATGCCGAAATAAAACGAGAACTTATGGACATAATTTGTTTCTACCATTTACTTATTATATGACTGTTTGCGATGTCGATGAAAAGCTGGAAAATATATTTTTGAGATACAAGCACGTGCGAACTTGCTCTTAGCCAACTCGTTCAGCCTAAAGACTGTTTAGTTTTTGCTGATTACCCCCAAAGCCTACTATACAAAACACGTACTAGTTTATATCATGCCAGTAAAGCGCTACAACCCATTGAAGTGCCTCATTTGCATCTGTTTTGCGGTTTCTGGCTTAACCTCTATATTTAACTTCCATACGATCATCTAGAAGGGTTCAGGAACTTCAGGCTCTGATCACGTATAACCTAACATAGGCCATTATGACTAGGCGACGGTTCACACATGTTATGGGTCGCTCTAATTATAAGAGAATACTGGGTAGTTGAATCTAGATATGATTTGCCCAGTAGTGTATGCTGCGACACCAATCGTACCTAAATCGTTATTCAATCATTAGTACAGGAGTTTGTGCATCCTGAACTAACACGTTAATAATTATGTAATGGATTTCGAAGCCATTAGTCTAGACCTAGCTATAGAAAGTTTTTGGTGGGTTGTAAATTTAGACTTTAGTTTAGAAGTCATTTTTATTTAGCTTCGAAATAAGCACAGGTCGAGGTCGGGGACAGGCTCGAAAGGTTCGATTCGGCTATGTAGATCGATAGAAGGTTTCATCTATGTTATACAGATAAAATAATACAGTAGTAGATAGCTATACAAACATTTGAAAATGTATGCTGAAGCGGTAGTAGAAATTCAATAAACGGAATCAGTCTGTACGAGCTTAGTATCAAACTTGCTCATAGTCGTAATCATCACTTCTCAAAATAGCTACTACGTGATTGCCAGTATGTGAGTCTGAAGTTAGGCCTAAGTTCATAGGTTTATGTATAAGGGGCAGCTTTTAAACCGTACGTTTATGTATCGGCAAAGTATTCCCTTTTGCCGATGTGGCGGAACAGAGAAAAGCTTGGCGTCAATCTAAGTAAGAGGAATCCATTTGATGATGTAGTTTATCATCGAAGAATATACATAAACAGTAGCATTTTCGAGCTGTAAGTTAACCTCACAAGGAATGCGTTAGCACGCTAGTGATTGCTAGAAATGACAGGACGTTGGAGCGAGCTCGCGTGAAGTGTGCACAAGCCCAGTCGCGTATAGCCACTGATAGAATAGGTTGTTTGACTTCGAGCAGCTCCCTACCCGGTGTTAGTGAGATCAAGGTCGGCTTGGCTATGATTCATTAGCTGCCATGCGTGCAGCCTGAGGGTTAACGGAAAGAGTTCGCCTCTGTGCATGATAGGTAGATGATGACGCATATTTAACGTATCGCTATATTTGAACTTCCGCAAGTTAACGGGTTCCTCTTATTTTGCACACTCTAGTATCTCGAAAGAACATATCCATTAACAAATATTTTTCATCTACTATATCGCCTATACGATGCCATAATATATGCGCAGGTGGCTAACGTCGCTATTCTTCAAGTAAAGCGATCACTTTGAACTGAGTTATAACAAGCATACAGTATCAATTATTTGTTAGTAAACCATAAAAGGATTTGACGGAATTTAATAGAAGAACAAAAACAAAAACGTAAGACTGGCTTATTTGTAGGTATTCCTCCAAACGACATCAGTATGGCAGATCGCTCGCCGAAAAATCCAAAAGCGTCTTAAAGCCGTTTACCTGCTCGGACTTCTATGGATCTTCTTGGCATTGGCAGCAAATATTATCAACATATTGTATCGCCTGAAAAACAACCAGATCAACTGCACTCGAAATGACAAATTGGTTCTGACCTTGCTTGTAATTGGTAAGTGCGAAATAAACTGTGAGATACATAAGTTGGCTCACGTATGTACTTTTAATTTATTAAGGTATTTTGTACTTAAAGTTATCACTTTAATGAGCTATTGTGTTGCATTTTTTTCGGAGTGTCAGCATCGCTAGTCTTGCGTTGTTTCAATATTGGAGTACCGCATTTTGTCAAATAACGCGTATTGTAATATAGTAATGAAAACAGTTACTTGCCATAACTGAGAAGCACTTGACGGTATATATTGAATTGAAAACCACCAGTACACGCTTATATTGTGTAGCCCTTAAACTTATCACAGAAAACGTTGATCACTGAGGGTGCAATGAAAAAGCTATTATATCGCTTTGTATCTTTTCTTATGAATACGATACGCCCGCCGTACGGTACAATTACCGATTTCGGCAAAAGCGGGCTTCGATCAAAATTAATGTTTTTTTGCCATTTGCTAGCATTGATTAGCGGAACAGGTGTAAGAAGACCCAATAGCTTAGTAGCTTTAACAGAGGAAGCATTAAAGTATTCGGATCGCATATTACTTCCTCCCTGAGAAATTATCTAACCTATGGCAAAATTACTGCGTTACAAAGGCTGCCGCCGAAAGAAAATCGAAGTACAGCTTAGAATAAGCGACCACAAATAAAACCCAAAAACAGACCTTGAGTGTTTCGGCAAACGTGTCTTTGGCGTCTTTTTCTTCAAACGTTTTTTGTCGGTCAGCCTTATTGGCGTTCAGTACTAACATTGCCAAAGCTGTATTGAGCATCCTTTATTTCTACATATCTACCCTAATTTTCTTTGTTGAATCTGACGTCGAAAGAATCTCGTTTCCTGCGAGATCACCTTTAACCCGCATGAATATCGTTGTCTTTTTTTACTGGTTCATGTTGGAAATTTCATTTCCACTGCAGGCTATAATGGCCATTGCATGGGTAGTGGTACTAAAACAAAGTTTCGGTCAAAAACTGACCTGCGAAATTTGATTTTGCTTAACTTGACTGGTTAGGTTCCTTTTGCGCTCTGAGCGAGAAAAAAATTTATGTCAGTGGTCGATCTTATTGAAGTTTTATTTCGAAAATGATTGCATCATTTTATGACTAAAACCGTTATCCAAACAAACTATTCTACAAAAAAAGAAAAAACTATGTGCGAATTGCAAGAAACTGAAAGATCCTCAGGCCGGTATCGATAATCCATCGTAAATACCCTCACTAGATTGAGAGCTCCAGTAACGTTTCGACAATAAGCAGGCATATTGTGACGATACGTAAGATCTTGCCAATTGCCGTCCTACAGGCTTTGACCAGGTCAACATGATTGAGCAAATTGTCGAGCCAGAAAAAAGCTCTCTGTATATACAGTTCAAAGATAACTGAAAAAAAAACCGGCTTCAGGATGAGACCGTGAGATCTACGCGTTTCAGCCGGACCAAAAAAAAAAGCCAAGAGAGCTTTTGGTCTGGCCTGTTTGAAAAGAGAGGTCTCCTGCAGGACCCTTTTTCTGTAGCGTATTCCTGCTAAATACAGGCAGATTGAGGATGTGATCTGGCGGAAAATCCCATTGTATGTTATCTAAGGGTCGATTAGATGACGGGAAACTTCAGCTCCGAAGAAAACTTTGTTGAGGTAAAAGGCCTTCACCAATCCCGTGATGTAGGCGCAAGATCAGCCTGTCGTTTCTTGATGTGGCAGTTCAGTACTGCTGATATAGTTTATATATATATATATTTGGCTTGCGTTAATCCTCATCGGATCCAGTATCGTACTACACGGGCGGCTTCTACCAGTAGGAAATACGTTTCTTCTGCCATTACTATGTCCATTGAAAAAAGAGTTTACGAAAGACGGTTCTAATGTCCAGAGTGAGCAATGGAGTATGCAGGTATTATAATAGGAACTTTTCATGTTCTTCATAATTTAATTAGCCATTCGAATCGAACGAAACCGGAAAAACTTACAAGTGTAGCAACTTTTTCACCTAAGGTATTATAGAATTCAATTGTTAGAAATAATTTCTTCTCCGAGACCTTTTTCTCAGCACTTCGCCGTGATCTTCTCAAGCATAATAATACATACACACACGGTGCAACCATAAATCATACAAACGATTGCGTTTCACAATTCCAAATGAATGAGCAAAAAGGCTAAGCAAATTACAGAAGATGATTGTCTCCTTAATTTAGTTCGGTATGTGACGCAGGACATCTGCTACAATGACCATGACCGAGAAACAAGTCATAACGTTTCTGTTAGTTTAGTGTACTGTTCTCTTCATTACGTCGCCTCAATATAATAGAGTTCAAATTATTTTCTTCGTCTAGGTCTTCTCGCGCACGACGTAGCGTCAATGTGCATGGCGGTAGCATACACCATCCATTGTCAGCTTGCGATAGTTTTCGTACAAAACCTTCAAATGTTGGTGCGGGATGGTAAGATCTCTCTACTTGCCTTTTACAAAGGCACCTGCGAAGCAACGTGCACCATTCGACAAGTGAATGGACTGCAATCAACAGCTGTTTTTCTTCAAACTGTGTGGTTACTCATCAGTACACTGGCATCAATAGTAGGTACTCCGCACTAGGGGGCAATGAACTGTATAAGGAATACATTGGAGATAGGGCTGGGACGATACCGAAAATGAAATAATTAACACTCAAGTATATGCAAATACAATATACGCTTTATAAATAAGTGTGAACTAGGCTTGTCTAAAATTCCGGGCTGAAAAAAATACGCATGATGACATAAAATGTTTGTTTACCCCGAATCTCTGACTTAATGTTGTATATAGTCGACACCAAGTAGCGCCTAGTTGTCGATGCTTTCGCGATACGTGATCTACTGTATATCCTAACATTTTTAAGACTCACGGAATAGATAGATATGCGAGGCAGCTCTGCTTCGATTGAATTCTTAAAGTTTATTTCGACCCATAAGACGTTCTCTATATACATAGGCTAACGATGCTTTACGCAATCTCTAAATTTCGCAGGTGGGTTTTGTGCAATCGATTGATTCAGAGGACTACCTTCGTCTGAGTGTGGCTATCATCTCGGTGCTTGTGTGGGGCTCGCTGCTTGTGGTGCCTCTTGGCCAGGCCGCAAGGTTGAGCGAGGTTTGCAACGGAATTAGAGATCTTGGCAGGGAACTCCGATCTCGACCACTCGTTTACCAGGTAAGACAATCTTAAGCAAGAAGTCATGAACATATAATTGTCTTTATTCGCATAGGTATTTATCATTGGGGAGATTTGAAGCAGCGACCTCTACTTTCTTTTGGCCAAAGGCTTGGCTTGTCAAGCCACCAGGTAGAAACGCGCTATATGTCATAAGTTAATGTTAACTGGATGAGAGCTTTTATTGGATGAGTGTAAATCTCCAAAACAGATGTGATACGCAAGAAGCAGGTTTACCTTCACTATCAAGAGATTCATTTGTTGCCTTTTTTAGGCTTTTTTTAAGTTCCGACACAATTTTCTATTTCTCCTGCTGCTATATAGGCGGTATACATCACTTCTATTCAGAGTATTTGACATGTGGCTGGCCACTTCGAACCAACGTTCCGCGACTGCCAGTTAGCCCCCATATCTTGTTTTCTACAGAAATATAGTATATCTACTAGCACCATGCGTATTTTGCACTTGGAGTGAGCCACCAATTAATCAACCGCTGTCATTATATCAATTATTTTTTTCAATAGTCACTCTCTATAATATAGCAGTTCGTGTAAGTAAAGCCTAGTAAAATTGTAGTACGGTTATGGAAAAGGCGTTAAATTGACTGTTTGTGGGCCACAAAAAGGTTAACCATTATTCTGTCAATTGAACAGTAAAAAAATTGCGTATAACGTAATGCTGACGTCAATATGTGGGTATCAGAAAAGCGCAATTGGCCATAGATTTAACGTAATTCAAGTTCTAGATTGCTCGTAAAAATATAGCTCGTATTTTTGTACAGGTGAGTAGATTAATATAATAACCATACATTGTTTGGATATGACTGCTTAATAAAAAGTTAAGATTGAAATTAGCTTGAAAAAAGACAATGTAAAACAAAGCTTCTTAAATGAGTGTTTTTGTTTTTTTCTGGCGCTTTTCACTACTATAGGACACGTCCTTGCAGGAACTCGATTCGCTAGTCCTGTTCACAGCCAGCTTCAATCTGACGGCTGAACTCTGCTCGGTTCGCATAACAAAGGAAAGGCTCACACTGTGCTGTCTCGTCGTTGCCGTAATAATCTACGGGTCGGCGCACTTTGACCTATTGCACTTCTGAAGGCCATTATTTATATGAAATAATATCATCCATTTATCAGATAATGCAGACGTAATAAAAGAGGAGATACAAACATTTTATCGCGAAGCCAAGTGCATTGTCAGTCGGGAACGGCGAATGTGCGCGGTAGAAAACGATTTTCTTGTTGGAAGTAGCCTTTAATAGAGTTCATTGGGCAGTTTATTTCAGGAAATGCGATAGCTTTAATTAGCCATAGCAAATTCAAGGATTCAATTTCGAAACCCAGGACCCGAATAAGGGTGAGGTCCTAGACTGCTGCGAAGCGTCTGTAGACGATATAGAATTAACGATTTTATCCAAACATAGAATCAAATATGCTTCTGCAATAGGGAAGAAAAGGCAGAACGACCAACAGTGAAGTCATTTCACGACCGTGATTATCATATGATTTTTCTTCATCATATTACCTTCTTAATAAAGATATATGATCTATCTTTTCCCATGATCAAGTCACGGTCTAATGTTGAATGCATGCTCTTACTCAGCCTTACTGTTCTTAATGTCACAAATCCGGCATTTCAGACGTTAGGCATTACCTCAAATGACTATCACGAAACGAAGTGGGTCTATGTGCCCGATTTCGAAGTTAGGTTATGTTACTTGCACCTAAATTTAGTAGGCAAACATGTAATCAGTAGTCTACGTCGAAGAAAAAACCCCAGTCGTGTTCAAAACGCGTACGTAATACAGAGCGCAGCCCGACTATCTTAAACATGTAAACTTTAACTTAATTTAAACATGTATCTTAACATGTAAAATGAAGCTTCTGTCTACTTCAAGTGCGCACGCTGCTGCGTTTCTTAGGTAATTGCCGAAGCGTACCAAGCTGTTAATGTGTATGTATGTATGGGATCGAATTCGAGCTAAAAATTGCACAGAAATGAGTATACATATAAAGCGTAGTAAATACAGCATAAATAGAACACTTTCGGTTGCGGCCCACTGAAATGCGCTAGGGGGACGTTGTGTAATCTTTTTTGAAATCCTTTAGAAAAACAGTTAGCATGAATAAGTGATGAAATCCAATGACGACGACGACGACGATGAAGAAGAGATATTGCGAGGCTGCTAGTGAGTCTTTACCCCCCTGCCTCATAGCGTATAGCAAGCAACGCTGATCAATACGTCGTATATTTTTGCATGAATACGTACGTGTAGGCATAGTATGACGAAAAGATTGTCGAAGGACAGAATCACTTCAGACGACAGAATGTTGTTACAGTAGCGCAATCAACGCTATACTTGTACAGATTCACTGCTATTGGACAGAAGCTTGAATACGACCAATGCTGCGTGAGCCGCACACCGCACGGTGATATATATATATATATATAGTATTGGAGAAATGCATAATGAATTATGTCCATTAAAAACTTTCCCACATACTTCACAATTCAGTTGTCGTCAGCGTTAACCGTACAATGTATTTTACTCCATTATCCATTTACCGACTGCAGTACTAATAACATAAATATTCATCCACATATCTCGTCTATGTAGGATAAGGGATTTCTAAGTCTGATAGAGCCACCGGACCTGTGGCGTAGCCAAAAAAAAGGGGTGATAGATCGAAGTTTACTGGGGATGCTGTTTGTGTGACTCGAGTGTGCGCCCTGCTGTCTGCATTTACTCACTTGTACAGATTTTACCAGTTTACGGTGACTGCAAGCGAGGCTACGAAGAAAGACCTAAAGGGCACGTAGCATATGTGAGACAGTACGTATGACCTTATTCAACCGAAGAGATCTGTATCCTTGTATGAAACTGAGTGCTGATGACAACGAGCTTACGTATGGCGTATTCCCTAATAGCTGCGAACGTAAATGCGAATAGAGATATTATATATATATATATATAACCACTTGCTTTTGGGTGGTTTGATTTCACTTTAATTTCAATGCCTGACTACTTACAACTTTTAATCGATTCTCAATACCGTATTTATTTCGAATTGAATGAATGAATAAATACTCGACTCGACGGAAATAAAATAGGAAGACCTTTGTTGCACCTCGCGTAAAGGTTCTATGCAACGGTTCAGGTTGTTCTTCGCTGCAACCATGTGTCGTGTCCTTGTTCAAAAGCTAGAAGCCTCTCTCTGCTTTTCGGCTGTGGCTTCAAACGTATTTTCTTACTTTTTAGTAGGTTTTCAAGCGTCTCAAGTCGATCCACCGCCCTCTTAACATTAGCTCCCAGACTGCGGCCATAATCCTTTCTCTGCGCTACTTAGTTAGTTACTGCATGGAGTTTTCTATCCTTTCGAGTTGGGAATCGCGCGCGCAGCGAGTTTAAGCCGCTGATGTTGATTAGAGGATAGAATAGCATAGTAGCCTCGGCAGGCTCACGATTAGCCGCAGGACCCTGCCGCTGCCACTCTGCGGTTAGAAAAAGAGAAAGGCTGTTGGGCGTTTGCGTTAAAGTAGTTGCGGTTTTGCCGTTTTTGGGTCGCAAGAGAGTTTTAACGGTGGACGTCCATGGTGTCTAGGTCGGTACCTCGTCCTTTTCCAGCACTTCCTAACCTGGCCTGGTGCCGAGGAAACCGCAGTACGGAAAAATGGGACGAGATGGGATGATGTGAGCCGGGCAGCTTTAAGCTAGGTCTTTTTCCTTAAATGAACGGCAGACGGTATGCAACGAAAGGGTCCTGTGCGTATATGCCTGCATATATGAGTCAGCATGTGTGTGTGTGAAATTCGTATTTACCACTTTTACATTTGTATGTTAGGAACAGCTGTAGGTACTGCTGCTATTTGTGTATGTGCACGGATAAAATGATATTCTTCTAAAGCAGTCAGATATTAGCCAGTCGGGGCCGGAGAAAAGTGGGCTAAGTTAGGAGAGTAAAGGGCCAAGGGATGATCAAGCATAACGAAAAATTCTGCGCATTTGCGTAAGGGATAGGTGCAGCGGAACGATCCTTACAAGTGTGGCAAATACGAGTCGCTGTATAAGCGTGTCGGTGCACATGTATACTGTATGCATGCTCGCGCCTGTATGGCCCTGCGTGTTTATGGGTGCATACTACACGCTCAAATATGGCGTCCTTACCATGTCTCTTTTGAGCAAGGAACGTGTGTACCACTGGCTGCACTGCTTACATAATGTACATGAGACAAATTTCTGGTTGAAGATAACAACGCCTGGGGGCTTCCCTGCATGACAGTAGGAAATATGCTTATGATCCTGTGGTTACACCACTGCGGCTGCTTATGCAGTATCCTTATGAAGATTGGATCCGTGATCTTCTGACGTCGAACTGAAGTGATCGTCCCTGTCGGTGTCCAGCTTGGTGACTTGTGTCCACAGCTTCCACAGAGCAAGACCTGATTAGATCAGGTGGACTAGTAATCGTATTTACGTTTTTGGCCTGCTGCGTTCGTTATGGCCCGTAAACGTCGTAGAATCACGATCATCACTATCATCATCAATAGCAACAATATCTTAAGAGTGACGGCAGAAACCCGAACAATAACAACGGCGGCGCTACAAGGGTGTGGCGTGTCATATAATCTCGCTTTGTCTCTGTTTGGCACAAAATGTACACTCTGTTTTAGAACCAACGACAGTAGCAATGGCTACATCGCTACAGCCATTGCCGCTGCAGGCGTTGCTATGACCAGCACAGTAGCGGCAACGACCTTGCGCAGACGCCTCTATAGCGAAACCTTTAGCGCGTAGCAATGGCTGATACTTCGTCGGCACTTTGCGGCAGTACCTCTGTTGACTTTATCGCTGATTCCGCTGCGGCGGATGTTGAATCGAAAGTAGGCTGCTTCTGTCTTTGCTACCCGAACACCGACCAATTCAGCCGTTTGTACCAGCAGAAAGAACCCCAGTGCCCGTTGATAGGTTCTAAGGGAATTCGTAGCTATGAACTTTGTTGCAATCGATTAGTTCCCTACGTAGCCTCCTACTCTAGCTCACCGCAAACTTACATCTACAACGTATACGGTGTACATACATAGCCATACAGACGTACAGGCAGACTGTCCTGTACGTCTGTATGGCTACATATGCCAGCGGCTTGAAACTGCGTGCGTCTTACGTCAGTCGATCTCCCGGTTCTACTTGTTGGTCACTCGACTAAGTCGGCTTTTATCGTGTCAACCGAGATGGTACATCCTTGTACAACGCGGTCGGCATAGTTGTCCAATTTGACGAATGTATTGTTCTTTGCGGTCGGTATTGACATTTCGATGAACAAAATAAAAACGCCAAGTTTCAAAAAAAGTCAGCGCCGTAAGTGTTGAGAGTTAAGAGACGACACGAAATTCTGGCCGGTTGTTATTGGTCTTCTCATGCCAAATCGAAAAATATAAGGTTTAGGTGCTGCATATAAATAAACACGGATATACAGTGAAATCTGCTAATATGAAATGCATACGCTGATAAAGATATTTAAGGCGGACATGTTTGTTCAGTGCGACCTCCGTTCGTTGCAGTTCAAGTCTAAGCCGCTATTATGTCAATGCTAGGGGCAGATTATATCAATTAGCGAATAACTGTTAACGTTAATCGTGGGCGAAGTTTTGTCAGGAGCCGTTACAATTATTAAATAACTTATCTACGTCTACCATTTCGTTCAAAATCATTACATCTAAAAAGGTAAGCACGTTCTAATTTCGAGCTGATAATAGAGCAAAATTTTTGAGCATTGAAGGTCTGAAAATAGTAAGGCGTCTAGGCCCAAGCTGAATAAAAATAGTCGAGGAAAGAGTAACCATTATATTCGTATTAGTCCCAATGTCCTATTGACCCGCAACTAATTCTTCGATACGCACACAAATATATCAGTAAAAAATAAAAAGAAAATCAGTCCTTCTCCGATGGCGTTCTATAGCATGCTCGAAAGCGAGTCAGAGTTTGTAAACAAATCTAATTATTTCTATTATTCTTCACGTGCGACCCTGGAGCGAATCTTCTCCATTTGAAAACATAGTAAAGCTTTCTCGAGAGATGTAAGCTAAAGGAAGATGAGCTCCCACAATTTTCATATTCGACAATTGTCTCAACAATGGCTAGGAATTAAAGGTAACTAAATAATGGTTAAAAACACATCCGAATTT